TGCAGTAATTTTTTGGAAGGTGACTAATGCACTAAAGTGAATTTTGAAGCACTAAAAGTGAATTCTATATCATTATGCAAATTAGGAGTTGCAATAACCCGTTTCTACAATCCACCAACCAAACATGTCCTTCGATACTAAAAATTTGAAGATTACACTTATTCTGTATTTCGCCGTGATGGATCGTGCAGATAGGAGGCTTTGCAAAAACAAGATGCTGTAATCTGAGCCCGGGACTTGAAGTGAGAAGAAGACAGCGCCAAGTTCCGTGGAGCTCATCAGGAGCGGCGGGCACTGGAAACTGCCTTAACTCAGCTAATGCTGCACTAACCTGAGAACGGCAGCGTTCACGTGCAATAAAGGAATTCACCTGAACATGAATCACCAAAAACGTAGTAATGTTCAAAAGACTTAAAAGTCATCATCTCTCAAGACGTTTTTCGCACCTCCGTCTTCGCTGATGCTCTATCTACGACGATTGTTTTCATATGTAACATAATTTTTTAGTTTTCTTAGTGCACAGATATAGTTAATATTTATTGTACTGTACAGTAAAGTATTTTTTAAATATAAATAGTACTCTAATACTTTTTATCTTCATAACAAACTTGCACTGATTCTTAAGTGATGTACATCCAAAGTAAAGCGGAATTGATAAACGCTGAAACGCAGTGCTAAGCTGCGATGTGTACGACGTCGATGCCGCGGGGCTCGAGCTCGGCTTAATTTGTCTCGAGATTTGTACTAACGCGTCGACGATTCACAGCGAATGTCATGCAGCAAATGATTCTGAAAGCATTAAGAAGATAACTCGCTTGAGTGGCCGTCAAGAAAAGTGCAATTGAATGATGTTCTAAGTTAATAAGAGGTAACGATCTAGCAGGAAGGTGCTTGAGAAACGAAGTCTACTTGATGTCGTATGTTGGGCGAAGCACCATTATTCTAAAGCTAGTCTTTGTTTAGGCCAAGTAAACATAGCCTGATTAACGCAAGACTCGATGGAGACTAGAGAGTGAACATTTGAAAAAATTTCTGTATATTTTCTTTGAACATGCACCTTTGTAGCTGAAAATGATATGATTTAATTTTCGATATTTAAAAAAAAATTGTGTGACTACTGAAGGCCAGAAGACAATTGTGGATTAAGTTCTATGACGATAATAATGATAAATAAGAACCAATTAGTTAATGCATAGAAGTTTTGGCAATGTCTGGACTGTCGCCTATTCTAGACATCACAAAAAAATGATGGCAAGTTAAAGATTCCAAAGCGGCACCTCACTGCTCAACTTCGATGAAGGTGATATTACAACCACTCTGCCTTACTGATATAATGTTTATTTGCTTGCTATTTAATTGCAAGTTATAACAGGGTACATCAAAGATTGCGACAAAAGAAGAACCATAAGCGAATATTACGTATAGTTTTCATAAAAAATTATCTTGAAAATAACGAATGCATTGTTGGAAATTTGCCAGTTTCCCACGCACCAAAATGATGAAGAGAAATTTATGGGGCATATTTTATTCAAAATTTTACTGTGCAAATTGGAATCGTCTCAGGACGGTCATTTTCGCAAGATGAATATGCTCCTTATCGTGAATTTTTGATTGGGTTAGCGTAAGTGGATCAAGAATCGTGTCCCCATCTTGGATTTCGTGAGAGGATTTGATAAAAGTTTGATCATTTACCACAAACGTGGTTTCGATAAAATTGATGGAAACTTCATCTGCATGGAAACGAAAATTCATTTTTTTTAAACCTGCCATGAGAATTGGATGCTGTCTGGTCTCCGGTTGCGGGTAGCGAGATTTACACTGAAAGTTTTATGGAGCTGCGAGACAGGTAAGAGCTTTTATACGCCATTATAAACATCAAAGCGACTGCCCAAGAGCTCTTCATTGCTAGGATTAGCAATGACAAATCCTCAAAATAGCGCCACGCAATTCTGCTGTGAAGTCATTGCGCTATTTATTAGCGTGACTTGAGGAGGCGTCAATTGCGCTTTGTGGCCTCGTCATCATGTTTATTAATTGATGTAGAGACTTTCAATGTGAGGTAACGTTGATTCAATTCAATTAGATGAAGTTAGATAAAGTGTCATTCATATGCAAATTCCGTACTGTAACTCAAATATTTCGAGCTTAGTTCTCCAGTTCGAGCTTGTTTAAAACTATAATAAGCATATATATTCAACGAATTATTAAGCTATTGATATATCCATACATTTTTCCTTATTTTTATAATCTTTTCCCAAAGCTGTCAACAACACACATATGCATTTATAACTATAAGGCCAATCTCACTTTTTGGCTACAGATGCATCTATGAACACCAATCTTGATACCCTTATAAATGATATATGTTTGTTCGTCTAAAAAAACTTCAAGCGTCTAATGAGAGACGATTTTTTACAGGCTATCTAAAGATTAACTGTCGCTATCCATGAACCCGACTGTTATTTTGCGGATGTATTAACGATCTCAAATTTGCTCCAATAATCGTGAATTTTATCCATCAATAACGTCCTTAGCTAACTTGTCATAAAAATTCATTTCAATTTAATCTCATGAAAGTTGGAAACATGGCCACTCAACATGCGCTTCCACCGCTCGTAAACGCCACACATCAACTTGATGTTTTCGACGAAAACGACTGCGTTACATCGCCGGCTGACGACGGAAGCAGACAAATTAACTTACATATTTTAGCATGATTATTCGCGCTGTTGGAACTTAATAATGACGATGCAATGTCGGCCGCAGGCTTGAACAAATTTGCTTACCATGAATCCTGAATTATGTCAACGGTCGCCCGAAACGAATAGGATTGTGAGTGACAATCGTGCAGTTCTTACTCAAGCTCCTTAGGTAAATTCAGGACCACGCACCTATGTTTTTTTTTGGTTGGAGAGTTTTTTTCCTAATTCAAATTATTTGGAACGAACATAATTGCAGTAATAATTAAGTCGGAGCGTACAAACTTCTGTTTATTTATTAAGCCACATTGCTGCCAGATATAACTGAAACAGTTGTTATTGCGTTATCATATTTATTTATATGAGTTCGTGTCCACTACGTCGGCATTACGTACTTGACGCCACCTACAATGAACGATGCAATGACCAGCACGAATTCGTAAGACAAGACGCAACGTCACACTGACATAACGATGCTGCACTCGGCACGACGTTTAAAGCAAACGTCCAAGGTATATGCAAGCCGTTCCCCAGCTAGTGGGCGCCTGCGTAATGCTTCTTGCTGTCACATTTGCCAGAAGATCTCATCCCTAAAGCCTCAGTCGTATTGCCATCATCAATAAACCCCTTGTTGGGGGCATTATGAGATGAACATGCAAGACTGCCCAAAATTCCTTTTGACGGCTCCATAACGCGACCCGTCTGATGTCCATTATGAAGATGGCTCGCGCAACGAGGAAGGTTTTTGTTCAATGCATCGGCTGTCCGCTTATGTAATGCGGTCCGAGTTCGTAAAGAACTATTAATGACCAGATGCTTTCCGGCTAAATACTGGCATGGCTTACACTTTTTACAAAAATACAGTAATCACAAAAAATTATTTGCTTCAAGACGCAGCTTCTCAACATAAATCTTATTATCGTGTGTATTTTAAAATATTTTTAAATTAGCTAATGAAATAATGCTTTTAGTAGGTAAATGTAATCGGATTGGGAACTGAACTGAAGAAGGCGATTATTGACTTTTTAGAAATTAGATAACAGTAAAACGAAATTGTATTTAACTTAACGATCGCAAAAAATATTTGAAACTGAAGAATAACGCACTTCGTTATTAATCAAAGTGTAATATTAAAACTTTTCACTTAATTTTGCATTAATTTCAGGTTTCAGTAATACCTGTAATATCGATGCAGTATGGTACTTCAAGAGAGTTTAAAAAGTTTTAAGACATAGGCGATGTTATTCTTTTTATTGCCTACTCTAAACATTCACTTCGCCTAACCTCCCACTTACCCTCAGTAATTAAACTGGATTACTTTAAATCCTAGCATCTCGGAGATAAAAATAGATCAGTAATCTCCTCTTAGTTTGATTAACTTATAAATTTCCCTGGAACTGTCGTTGCTGAGATCGGATAGCTAATGAAAGAGGATACAGTTGATATTATTTATCATTATTTTGCTCTCTGTACAGCTTCAGAGCTTGGAAAATGTATCCCGATAATAAAATTCGTACCACATTTCCAGATGTCGGGAAAAGTGAATGGTTTCAATGATGGGATATTTACAGCTGAGTAGGTTTTAGTCAAAGTAAATGATATTCAATATTTTTGCATATGGAGTGAAGAGAAAGAATTTATAATAATTTTTCGTTGAAATTATCGCTCTAAAGCTAGAAACAGCGTTCAAAAAATGTAAAGATATATGGAAGCAAATGAATATTAATCCGCGCTGTAAGGAAAACTTTGATCACTTCTTTTATATCTCCTGTTGCTGGTACGTTGAGACGCAATAAAAATTTTAAGCATAACTTAATCTCTCAGACGAACATACTTCAAAGTCATTTGAATATCATTGAGTAATTAGTTAATTGAAACCAAGCTTGCCACAATGAAAGCTTGATAATTGCTAATTGCCTAGAAGATCTTGTAACTTCGATAATTCTAAAAATTACATAAATATTCTGATGTTATGCATTGAATTACAATACAACAAATACTCTGATACTACGGAAATTTATTAAATATGAATTTAAAAGGACGCACGCATTGAATTAGCTAAAATGTTAGCCTAGTTATAATTATAATGTAATCTATACTATTTAATCTATTATGTGGTAATTATATAGTAATATATAGTTTATCATACGTAATATATAAGGTTCCCCTTGTAATAACTTCACTGGGAACCTTATTTTTAACAGTTATTTCCAGGAGAACCTAGGGAAACCATATTTTATTGAGAATTAGTTGTATATATTATACTATTCGTAAATTAGACAAAATTTCTCCGTGTGACAGGAAGGATGATTGCCCACCCTGCACTGCTGCTGCTCGTGTCAAGTTGCGTGGTGCTGGCGAGTGTCGCTGAACGCGTCCCATACGACGGCCCTCTCACCCTGGCCAGCGCGTACGGCAGAGGGTATAATGAGGGTAATGCCCTCACACACGACCTCGACGAACCTCCTGCTGGAGGTGACAACCAAGACCTGCAAGAACTTAGGGGAAGCAAAGTTGTATCTCCGAATTTTATACATTATAAAGGTGAGGCCATAATTATTTACTAAAAAATACTAATATATATATTTTTTATTTTTATGGGAAGAGATATTGTATTAAATTTCCATTTAATCACCTGTTATTTGTTGAAACTATTCATGTCAAAAGAACTGCTTATTAATGTAAGTATATTCACTTGGAAATGCTGCTATGCATTCTTGTTTCCGAAGCAATATATACAAACATATCTCTGGAAGCAGAAGTACATCAGTGGGTCAACGTTATTTATTATTATTAGTAACTCGTAATTATTAGTAGCTCAACGTTATTTATTTAAAGTCAAAACCATGAATCGCATTGCTGAATACAACCGAAATTACCCATATCCAAGTGTAATTTGATGTAAATTCTGCAACGCAAGAGCATGTATTATATGTAATATTGGCCAATATGGAATGATTGGCACAAGCTAAACATATTTCTTGCGTGTCAGCGTGATGATTTGTGTCTAACCATGTCAAAGCCCAGGAGGTTCAAAGCTACAGCGAAACATTTATTTAGTAGCTGGCCAATCACAGTTTCAGTATTGAAACTTCAATGATTTAGTAATGAATCTTACTTGTGCAAAGATTTACTGCTACGAAAAGTAAATGAAATGTCAGGTGTTATAACCGTGGACTATATTTGTACGAAGTATGCAGTATAAGAAACATTGAAGCCATACCACAATATTTTAAATCTTGCAGTTTATTCAAAGTTCCTAGATGATTTATTCATGCATAATTACGAGACTCGTATGACACATAACAGATAAAGATACATCAGGCATGATGGGATTGAGAGACCCACAGCTCGATGAGGAAGAACTCGAACAGGCGTACGGGGAGGATGACGTCACATACGCTGATATGAGGAACGCGTACGGCCCTGTGGGTGTAAGGGAGAAGAAGACGCCTAGAGGTGAGTGCATCATGCCACAAATTCTTTAATTAGATCTTTTTTACTCGTGCATTATTATTTTTATTGGGTACTAGTCCTTAATATAAACGGATTCAACCTTCCGTCTTTCTTTCTCAACCCTTATAAACTTTCTTAAAACTGATTCAGAAATAAAGTTTATACCCGCCAGCCACCGATTATACAAGTAACGAATATTCAATTAAAATTAGATGTAATGTTTGATATAAAGAGATATTTTTCGCAGGGTTCGTAGGTTTGCGTGGCAAGAAAGCACCATCAGGCTTCCTGGGCGTCCGCGGCAAGAAGGAAGCTCCGCAGAACCTGGGCGACCTGTTGAGGGTAAGACAGCGTTGTATATCTTCTTCATTTAACATGATGATATTCTTCGTTTTATGTCACTGAAAACTTTTTCTTTAAAGATAGGAGTTTTTCTTCTTTCTGTGATCCATCAGATCCATCATCTTCAAGAATAATAAAACACTTGAAAAAGTGGAAATAATTTTAAGTAGAAGTTGAGTATGAAGAATATCCGTTTTACATAAAATTTAAAAAGAATAATCTGCACAATTCAATAATTCAATATTAATTTGAAAATTGGAATTCAAAGCATGGGCTCCGTCCCGGTATTTTATTTTAGAAATTCATCACACTTGAGCCACATTTTCGTCCTAAAATTATTGCAGAATTGTAAGTGGCCGCTGACATCCCAACCAAGATTTTGAATAAGGCAGTGCGGGAAGCCAGGAGGCAGAGCAGGGCTTGTTAGAGGCTGTCAAGCAACAATATCTATGTAAATGACAGGCGTAGTCCTTATTTAACGTAGTTGAGGGGGCGAGTCTTCAGTGCCTACACTGGGAGTGGCAGTTCAACGCAACACTCGGCTGGGGATTGGAATTGGCTCGAGAAATGCCGAAGGGTAATGATAAACTGTAATTAATATACGAATGCACGTGCCTGGCGGTAGAAAGTGACGGATATAGCGCAGAATGTAGCCGTGTTTTTGACTTGAACTTTCACAATTTTCGGACTCATCTAAACGTTTTACGTTATTCCCAAAGTCCTGTTTTTTATCCCAAATTATGCCAAATAAAATGAGTAGCTATAAAAATTACGTCGCAGCATTCCCTAATTTCGCGGTCGCCCACACACGGTGACACGATTCATCATCAGTGAACTTGACGTCTCGCTAACCCAAAGTTTTCATCGGTCAATGATGACTTGGGATCGCCACTTGTAATTATAATCAACAGAATGGATTGAAAACATGCATGGGTGACACGCGATTCATACGTATATTCAGCCCACACTAAGCCTAAAGTACCAATCAGTAATTTTGATAAATTGCTGTGACTGCCAAAATAACAACAGAACGAATCAATAGAGTGCCGATAAAGTTCTTTTGAGTTCCGTAAAAGCAGAATTTTATTTTTTAATGAACTAAGAACATAACTTAAAAATCTTTCACGGTATCCAATTGCTACGAACGTGCAGTTCTGACTTTTTTTAATCGTTTTTGCAATTCTCTCAGTATTAAGTAACAGAGTTCAAAGAGACTTGTAAGTCACGATTCAAGTATGAAGTTTAAATAGGTAACGAAGATAAGTTAGAAAATTGAAAACAACATTAAAAGTTGTAGGATTTTTTAAATAATGCTTCAAAAATACGATTGGAAGACCAACTTTCTTACTACAAATTCATCATCGGTGGCTTGAAAATCGAATTTGTGCAACAAGATAAGGGCCAATTTCTTATCCAAGATTATTCAAACGACAGAGTATCCATTTTATTAATATGAATAAAATGTACATAAAACTTCGCATCCTCATTTGTTAACATTGATGTACTCTCAATATTTTGTGTGCCTACTTACAATACCGATTATCACGGGATGTTTCACAGGCCTTACTGTCACGCTATACCAGCATCAGTGCTCAATATTCCGTTTATTATTAGATGGCAGGATTTACTTGTTTACACACGTGCGATTGATGACCAGAGAATTCGTTGGTTTATATTATCAGGGAGTGGAACTTTTCTTCAGATGACGGTAGATAAAAAGCTAGCAAGTTTCAGGAAGTAGTTTTTCTTTATTAACGACGTTTCGAATGCAACAAACATTCATTTTCAAGTTAGAAGAAGCATTCAACATCGAAATTTTGATGGAAATAAGTACATAATATAAATAAATAGGATACAACGGTAAAATTTTGGACCAAAAATTACTCGGAAAATTCTTTCAGAGTTCAGACAAATCCGGTAGTCAGAAAATAGATAGCTGGAGTCTAATCTGTAGAGATGAGGGGTTCAGCTATCACCGGTCGGTTGTTGTCGGGCCACTGCTTGATCACGATGCTGGTGAGTACATTCAGCGCAATGCGAGTGACGGTCCGGTTGTGAGCTTGTCTCGCGTGGGTCACCTGCCCTCCAGCTAGTTTGAAGGTAGCTAACGAGACAGCGGCTTGGTCTCTTGATTGTTAGTCCAATCTGTCCGATGTTGTCTAAAACCTGAAGAAGTCTACAACCTTCTTTGAAGTAAAATTTAGATGCGCAATGCGAGTGACGGTCTGGTTGTAATATTCTGTTTGTCTACTTAGAAAATACCGGTTATCGCGGGATGTTTTGCAAGCCTTATCGCAATGCTATCAGCATCAATGCTCCATATTTGGTTTGTCTACTTACAATACCGATTATCACGGGATGCTTTGCAGGCCTTATCGCCGCATTACCAGCATCAATGCTCCATATTTGGTTTGTCTACTTACAATACTGATTATCACGGGATGTCTTACAGGCCTTATCGCCGCAATACCAGCATCAATGCTCCATATTTGGTTTGTCTACTTACAATACTGATTATCACGGGATGTCTTACAGGCCTTATCGCCGTAATACCAGCATCAATGCTCCATATTTGGTTTGTTTACTTACAAAACCGATTATCACGGGATGTTTTGCAGGCCCCATCGCTGCGATACCAGTATCAGTGCTCAACATCCGGTTTGACAACTTACAATACCGATTATCATGGGGTGTTTTGCAGGCCTTATCGCAGCGCTACCAGCATCAATGCTTAATATTTGGTATATCTACTTACAAAACCGACAAAACCGATTATCACGGGATGTTTTGTGGTTCCTATCGCAGCGCTACCAGCATCAGTGCTCAATATTTTGTGTATCTACTTACAAAACCGATTATCACGGGATGTTTTACAGGCCCTGTCGCTGCAATACCAGCATCAGTCGAGCTACAAACGCGCCCCTCTGGGTTTCATCGGCATGCGGGGGCGGCGCACGGACACAGCATCGCTGCATGAGCTGCATCGCGCCGGAGTGCAGAGCGGCCCCGGTCGTGGCAGCACGCCGCTAAAGAGAGCGCCTCCACAGTACGGTTTCATCGGACTTAGAGGGTGAACGAAGCTACAGGAGAACTGATGAATGTAAAATCTCGAACATTAATATGGTTAGTGACAGGTTCATTCGCAATCAGGCTCTTGGTAAATATTGCTGGCCTTGTTAAGAAACAGAGTTATTTTTATAAAAAGCATTACGCTTTGATTCGGAATTAAATTCGATACTTTGCACTAACACCCATTTTTGCTCGCAATATTCGTCCAATTCTATTCCCGGAGAAAATATTGGGAGTCATTCGATGAATACAAAAATTCTTTCATATTTTTTAGATCAATTCTTGCAATTGCGAATAGTTAATTTATTGGGAACGATCTTGTGCGAATGTGGTGACTCCTTGTCTGAAGCGGACCGAATTCTCAACAGAAGATGACACGCAAGACTGACACTTCAGGTCATTATTACGTGGTTGAGATTGTTAGTAATCGTATTAAAAACGAACAAAACTTGAAATTGCCTTGTCATGAGTATATTCAAGGGCTCGTTCATCACCACTTCAAACAAATATGAAAGCGCCACTCATCGGTTTCAGCTTTATGAGCAGGAAATTTTTCTGCCTCACGTAGAACTTGAATCTCACACGTAACTAAACCGTTTTTGTAGCATCATCTTTTCACGTCTTATGTTAATGGATGAGACTTGAATACAGATCGTAATGGAATAAAGACCACACAATTATACAGCCGACACAAGGAAACGTATTACCTATTACACCAGAATTCTATATCTCGTCAGGTTTAGAGTACAATTTATTGAAAGTGAACGGCTTACTTGCTTGATTAATTTATTTATGGCTACAGCAGGTCTGTTAGTCCCCGCCTCCTGTGGAATTATAGACCTGAATATGTAAAAGTCTTACCAGGAAAATAATATCAAATAATAGCTTTACTCAAAGAAAGCAAAGTCGGCCTTGAAGCGATCAGTTGTGTTACTAATGATATGATTCTGAAAACATATTCTACGTATTAGACTTGCTTACTCGCTCATTCTGATACATGGAAACTTAGTAAATGTGTTCAGTGAACTGCAATGCCGTGTCTAACAATAACTTGCAGTTGAAGGAACAACTCGAGTGCTCTGCAACGACGCGGCTTTTTCTATGCCTTGATGAATACTGCCCACTGCTGTATTCATTGCGCTATTTCTCCCTCGCTCTATAAAAAATATTAATAAACTCAACTTCCTAACCAAATACCATATCGTGGAATGTCAAGTATAAAATATAAGAAAACTGATTTAAGAATAACAATTAACATATTCATGCCGCAGATAGGCCATCCCAATAAACTTAATAAAATCTTGACGATTTAAAAATATTAATTTTTCTCAAAATGTTGGAACTTTTCAAGACATAGAAGCAAAGGCTGATCAGAGGAAATTAATCCCGGCGGCAAGTTGAAAATTTGAAAGCATGCTTGAAGAATTTCAAGCATGAAAATTGGAAAGCATGATGAAGAATTTCAACATATCCTTTATGATCGTTGTCGAGATATTACGTAGTTTATTTAGTTCCTAATACACCATACATGACAATTTAGAACTGGAATAGGAAGCTAGGGATATTTTATGTGTACGTACTATTGAATAAAGGCTTTCATCCAATGCTCTACACTTCTTTGCCATTCCTTATGCGGTGGAGAATTTCTACTTTAAACTGGCAGCTAATTCTCAATTCAAGCCCTAAAATGCAGATCATTATTTTTGTTGAAGTGTAACTACAATCTCGTGGTTATGTTCGGGGAACTGAAACTAATGTTACAGATAAATGAAACGTTTTCAATACGTATCGGACACCAGAATTCTATAAAATCACGAATACTAATTATTTAAATTTGAAGCAAATTTTGAAAGTCGATAAAGTCACTGCTTGAATTAGTTGATCGTTACTTCTAGTTATGGAGCGGACGAAAAGCATTACTCGTCAAAGAGTGCCTCGTTTGTCCCCACTGATTCAGTGTCAGTAAAAAAATCTTCTGAAGTTAGTCCCATGATGAGAACGCGAATACAAGTGTGTGATGTGTGTTGGTAATTTCGGGGAGACCGATTCCGAAGATACGGAATTAGGCGTGGTTAACTGACAAAAAGCGAATGTCCATTGCCAAGAAAGTCTAGTGCAGCATCCGCATAAATTGCGTATTGGTTAACCACCAGAAGCCATAAAATTACCAGCTGGATCCAACAGCATAAAGGCAAGGCAAGCAACAAGTTCCGTTCCAGCAATCAAAGTTTCAACAGAACTTCGATGGCACCGATTGCGATTGACTCGCAGAGCACGAATGTGGGGCCTTAGAAAGACCTCTTACATTAGGTCTTAGACCTATCGCTAAAACATAATTTTTCTATTTTTGAGTGGTATTTGCCGAATGGATATAAGCAACCAGTATTTTGTTATAGCATCAATTGTAAGCAAACTAGAGCAAACATAAAGGAGAAAACGCCTTCACGTTTCGAATGCTATTCAAGTGAAGAAGTGATCAAATTCATTATTAATTTCAATGAATACACTACCACACGGATATGAAAGGCTAGGTCAACAGAGCGCAGAATTACAATGGATCAAGAGGCTTCCAAGACGACATAATCACGGCAAACGGCGTCTCCTTTTGTTGCCCGTCACCAAAAAAAAAACAGATGATAATAAAAGACAGCTTCAATAGTTAAGATATATCACTAAAAATAATTAGAACAAATCATCCGTTAATATATATAAATATATATTTATCAATGTAAGTGTTAACAAAGTTGTAAACAACAGCTCTGCTGAGCGGGAAGATGGAATGAGAGGAGCCAAGTGATGGACCTCTAACAGGAGTGTCGTGTAGCCAGGCGCTAGCGGGAGGAAGAGCTTTATTATTGCAACGTCAACAACTGCCAAGTTTAGAAAGCCCAAGTAATGAGGCTATGATGGTATTTAAAAGTGATACTTCAAAATGATGAGGAAATTTTAGCAAAAATGAAGCTTTCAAACTAAGAGGACAATGAGCACAATGTTCGATTACGGAATCATAAGTTAATAAAAAATTGAGACATTTCAAGATGTAAAACACTAAGTGAGCAAACTAAAACTACAAAACCTTTAATTGGGAACAAAATATTACGCATTAATTAAAAAGTTGGGAATTTGGCGAAGCCGTCATTAAGTAAGCAGTCACTAGCATAGTGATGCAAATTTAAACGTTAAATGTCCCACACATAAGAAAAAGCAAAGCCATCCTGTTTATCAGCCCATCAGCATTACATGTTCAACCCCGCACATACATGCATTCAAAACGGTGTTATGCATCCTGTTTTCTCGTGTACAATATATATGTAGATTAACAAGTGTAGATATGAATAAATCTCCAATGAATCACCGATATGAACGCAAAAACAAACACAATATAATAGAAATGCATGTTTGAAGCTTGTTAAAAACGCAGTAATCACTGGTGAAACAACTATAAGACTATACTGCCAATGTCAGCGACTATACTACCGATTGATACTTAAGTGGATCACGGAAAAAATTAATCGGCATCATGTGAGTTCTTATTCCTCAAAGGAATTATAACGAATCATAGATGAGAGTTTAAACTCAGCACTAGAAGAAAATAAAGGACAAGACAAAGCTCCGCATGTCCACCGTAAAATTTTGGAACTAATTTATGGCCAGACTTTTATTGTTTTATTGGGATTATGAGCTTCTAGAATATTTCGAAAATAATATTTCCGAAAATTTTTCTAAATTTGTCGTTTAGCTCATAAAGTTCAGTTATTAATGTAACATTACAATCACAAATAACGTGAGTCGAAGCTGCTGAATCTCAAGAACACAAAAATATGAAGGTGTTTCTTGGCCTCAATCATCAAGATAAATCAAACGAATAAGAGACAAACTATACATAAGACTTAGAAGCGATGTTAGTAACAATAGTCGACAGTTTCTATCTTCAAGACTCAACTATTTCGCCTACCGGCTTAATGGAACGTAGCAAATGAGTTATTATTACCAGAAGATTACAGCAGATATTACAGTATTAGCAATGATCCACAAGTGAAGAATTGAGGTCTGAGTTGACAACTTGAAAACTTCGATACAGAATCACAAAATTTATTGTTCAACATACACATACACTGACGTGAATATGTATGAGCATATATCTCCAGAGCATTTTTATTTTGCGGGAAAGAATACTAATAGATAACAACTCCATTAAAAATCTCAATTGCTATAAAAATGCTAAGTTAAGCTATCATCCCTTCTGTATTGCCATATGATAATTACACCTGACTTTTACCAGTCACGAACAGTCGTAATAAAAGTTAGAATTCTACGTTGTAATACGGTTAACAAGTGCTACAATACACAACAATACATAGATCCACTGAACTTATTTAACATCGAAGTCATGACAAAAAATCTTGCCCTCGCGCGCTCGATCGGCTCAAAGAGCCGCTAACAAGTAACTCACAGGTCGACCTCTTAGATTCTTGGGCACTGAGCGATCCTGCGAGTTAATTGCTTCAGTTCCTTGGTTAATGCTATTGAAAGGGCATTATTCTCAAAACCTTCAGGTAATAGTTTAAGTAGTTTGAAATCAAATATGCGTAACAAAATACATTATGCGTTTGATTATCTAATGTTATAGAGCTCCCGTTTTTACGTTACATGCACACGACACGAATCTCTACTAATGCAAAATCGATGGATCAATGGTGTTGAAATAAATTATGTGAACTGCGAGGCTTAGCAAGCGTTCCGAGCCATTTTTATGCATGTAAAATAATGGCATTATGCACTAATGCAACGACCAGAGAAGTGCGTGTATTCGACGGTATACAATGCAGAACTTGTTTATTTCGAGACTTCCAGCAAATTAACATGGAGAAAATGTCTCAAAAAAACGAAAAACATAGTTAACCTTTCAGGAAGTAAGTTTGCCGATGTGGTGAATGATTAACCATGTTTTAGAACCTCGAGCAGAAGAACTGCTGCAAAATGTACGCCACAATTTCATTTGAGTCTGAACACATATAAAATTGATTAAATTATTAACTTCATGAATATATATATATATTCAGTCAAAAAAATAATCTATTAGTTGGTACGAAAAGACAGATTGATTAAAGTAATTTAAGTTTCCATTTGAAATTCCAATCTCAAAAGTAAATGGGATAATTGAAATAAAGCAAAATAGATAAGACTTACTCACTGCAAGTGCAGAATATAGCGTTGCAATATTTTTTAAACGAGCCAATAATGCAGAAGCTATCTATTACGACAATAAATGTTTATATACAAGAGTAAATAAAGAATAGAGCACCAAAAAATCCGAATAGCATTATTGTAACATAGGAATAGAGCGAGACACATATACCGGATTAGAGCTTCCGTAAAACAAATATTCCTTCATGATCAGCAGACGGTCGTCACTAATTCATGCAGTCTGAACATAGGTTTCCTCGGATAAAAATTATGAAGCTAATGAGCGGACTGACAGAGGAATTTAAAAACTAAGGTTCTCGAGTTAAAAAAATCGCACAATGAAGTCAGAACGCAAATTCCAGCGGCTTATGAGCTGCCCAAATTCAAGCAGGTACAAACGCTGACGAAGTCTTAGCTTAAACCATTCCTGAAGTCAACATTAGACGGATTTAATCATTTCATCTTATCATTTAATCATTAATAGACATTCCAAAACTCTGTTCAAAACCTTAACCGCACAACAGCGGGCATACGTAGGATGTTCACTGGCCGCTGTCATCACGCCTTAAATTTTAAATACGTTTGAACAAACACAAGACACCAATGCTTCAAGAATCATTAATGAATTTAAAATAAAATAAATCAAGTAACTCACACGCTGCCTCTATTTTATCTATAAAGAATAAAAAAGAATCTTGATGAGCTCTCTCTTCTTTAGAGTTAAATAAAAGTTAAAACTCTCTCTTCCTTAGAGTTAAATATGGCTAACTTTTTAGCTGCCTCAATTTTATATTTAATGCGCATCAGAGCGTATGAAGTCTGCCGACAAGCTGCATCCTTCGTACATCATTAAAAGACCATATTCTCTGCCCGAGCTCAGCAAGCATGAGCTGTTAGATGTGTTTTTCATCACATTCTCATTACAATAAAGAGGACCTCGTCCATATTAACCGTTAAATAAATCATAAAACTTAGAAATTTAATAAAACCCTTTAACATGAAATGCAATGCCGAGAATCAACTTTCTCCGTAAAACCTAATCATCAAGCTGGTGTGTAGTTTTTCAGCCACACAGTTAATTTCTTATCCAAGACATGAAAGTCACGGTCACTATGCGAATTTAATAAAGGTATCGATATAACAGCATACACGTGCTTCCAATATTATTCCATCTATCATGCAGAATTAACCTTATTTAAGTAACGACACCCTTAGAACGGTTATATGCATATTTTTCAAATAATTACAACGATTAAACTTTGGAAAAAATCTCCTCACAAACACTTCAAATCCCGACAAATATTATGTTCATCAAACCTCGTCCAAATGGGCACCGGCAACTGTCCATATTAATTTAATTTACATTAATAGCATCTCTTACATTAGCACAGAAAAAACTCCTGGTTCAATAACAGTGCACTGAGGCAACGTGTTTGTACATCGACAACAGAAATACTACGAGAAATTAACACACACGCAAGGTCGTACGTGATGATGAACCAATAGGAAACGTGACCACGAATTCCCACATCGATTGCACACCACATAAAAATTTTCTACAAATCGTTAAAAAATCTTTATCCTAATTTAGCTATCAACTAACATCATAGGCCTTTAATAGAAGATAATTTTATTCTAAACCTACATCACTTCACATTCAATTAATGATGCTACAAACGACATTTCTTTTCACGATACAACCAGCTAAGGTACTTCTCTAGGCGCTGAACTTGCCTAACATCAGCTAAACGACTAAACTACTATAATGCCACATGTCAATAAATTCCATACGTGAATACTTTCCTTGTCTAGCTAACAGCTAATTAAACCTGATCAATTCTCTACCCAACACACGTAATAACATAGAAGCTCAGGGCCTTTTGAAGCTTATGAGCGATATGTTTAGAGTGCGTAGTGAGTTGTAACGGGACAGAACAACACCTATAATCAATTTTCAATATCTAATAGGAGCAAAAAATCTAATGGGGTAACGGAAACTATTTGGGGGCAATAAAACATTAAAGAGAGATAAAAAAAATTCAAAGGAGTTAAGAAACCCTCAGAAAAGAGAAAGAAGCAGTGACAAGAGCAACGGAGATGCTATGACGATAATATTTTAATTTTGAAAGGGCGAGCGAGATAAAAGATGACTTTTAGGAGGAAGTTGAATCAACAATTGATGAAGTAAGATGTTAGTGAGAAATAATTTATAATGCGATCTGTGGCCCGCTGCTAGTTTAAAACATTGCTTAAAAAGTTGAAGCATAAGTACCTAAAAAAATAGTAAAGCACCTTGCGTCGAAAGATTTCTCATAAAAGAAAGGTGACAGAAAATAAAAAGTTTGCACCGTACATAAGATTGACCTGAGACAGAAGCAGCCATTACTTATGAATTATAATTTTTGATTATGCTTGAACACTCGAGACAGCAGCCAAACTTGAGACTGGATAACTCTTGATTATTAGCCTAACTTGAGACAGCAGCCTTGATTTGTCAGACAGCAGCAGCCTTGATTTTTGAGACAGCAGCCTTGAAACTTGAGACTTGATATTTGTGACGATGAACATGGCGGTCCTCACACATAAGAGAAATAATATACTTTAATGAGGATATGACTGATGAATGATCGTCTACAAGAGGCACTCGCGCTGAGCGACAGTCAATCGTAATTAAAGTTATCGGCAAAGATTGAGCAAGAAACAAAACAAGTGTACGATTATATAACCATAGATAGACAATGAACGAGTAAAGCAATTACATAATCTTGGAGAAGCCGTCGAGGAATCAGCATAAACATTGTTATCAAACCTGGGTCAACTCCACACGCCCTTGAATATAAACTCAAAAATACTTAACTAAATCGAAGTTAAGAAATGCTTAATCACATCAACGGACTAAGCAGCACTCTGATACATAGGTTTTTAATTTTTAGGTTTAGTAATCAATAAATGAACCAACAACAAACAGTGCTTACATACCGTAATCAGTAAAATCAAATTAAAACCTTCATATTCTAGCAGCATTTAACAAGGTTTAAAATGTCTTAAAAACACACAACCAATTCAATACCTTGCCTCATATTTGTATCAATAGATAAGTCGTATAACATCTGTGAATCATGAAATTAAAAAGCTGAACCTTGGTTAGGGAAGCTGCTTGCCGAGGATAAGATTAGTATACTTGAGAGAATAAATAATGGAAGTAACCTCACTTCCTACATTGCTGGACCTTCAAACGCAACAAGATGCCGACAAGAACATGGTCCAGCAAAGGAATTAAATAATTCAAGCACCATCAATTCATAGAAGCCCTAATGAGCATGAAAACGATACTCATATCGACAAAAATACCAAGCATAGCGTACTTTTTAACTGATGTTCTTGAACAAAAATCAACATGCAGTTGCGACTTAAGTCAGGTTGCCAGATGATATAATCGTGTTGCAGCATTTCGGTGTAATTGGAATAACAATCCTCGGTTCTGTACCTAACTTCTGGCCATTCCATAAGGTGCACAACCACAGCTTATGAAACATAAAATGGAAGATGAAAATTCCCTCATTGTACGGAAATATAATTGCCACAGAACCGATTATCGTTTGCGTAACAAAGATGATGATAACCAAGAATTATAGGACATAAGAACAAGTATGAATACTCATTATATCGTAACACCAGCTCATTAAAAAGCATTGCTTAGAAGCGGCATCGAATCGTCATTGGTAACGGAAGACCCTGGTAACATGCTTCATAATAGTTCAATAACTATGGCATTTTCACCAAACATGCACATTGTAGCGGGCAAGGTATTTTACACCGGTTGCAATTCTTATGATAGTAAAATAAAATAGTTGTGCGTTGAATTCCACGTTAGAGGATAAACCCTGTAAGAACGCGACATCTACGTTCGAAAACTTTTCTCCGGTACAGCATAAAGCTGAAGGTTTTTTTAAGAGAAAGAATGGGAGGAACTGATTAGGATAGACTTGGCACAATCTAGTCTAGACGCCATTACGAACTGAATATGAAGTATGTAGGGAATATGATATACCGCTCGGGAGGTCAGAAGCTGTCCTAGGAGAAGGCACTGACCAAGAGCGATTATTCCGTCGTAAGTACCTACTAATAAGCCAGACTGCTAACAGTGGATGCTGCCTAGAGTGGTGAAGGCCGATGACTGGGAATATGCCGCAATAATTTTTGGCCGACGAAGAAAAAAAATGTAAGTATTTTCGTATAGACAAGACGCCAATGAATATGTCATCGCAAGAAGTGATTACCGATGCACGATGATATGAAACTCGGAAAGAAGACGCCGCTGCACAAATCGACACCTCCAAAGAAGACATATGTACTATCTCGCGCAGCCGACTCCTGCTTCTAGATATGAAAAAATCCTATGAGTTCCTAGGCGCGGCAGCATTGATGAGCTCGACGTAGTTGGCGGGGAAGAGGCCGAAATTGCCACTGGGACTCACGCCCTGCCACCAGCCTTCGTCGATCTGCTCGATATTAGAGATGATCTCCGAGGGGTCGAACGAAATCTCGGTGTTGTCGCTGGCCTGGTAGTCGTAGAGGGCGCGCGCGCACAGGCCGTGCTCAGGCAGTAGCTGGTACTCAACGCCCTGTGGGAAACGTCACACATTAATTTGAAGAATTTGCTCAAAATTATAAATATTTCGGTGTTAGTTACACAATTTTAATCTAGGATTATAGATTTTAGACGCATGCAATTGGTTAAGGATTGAAAGATGAACCCGCATGCGATGAGGAATCAGATGAATAGAAATGTATTTTTATTGACATGAAATTGAATGAATTTGGTTAAAGCTGGTAAAAAGCTTGATGCTCACGCTGCTGGAAACGGTAGAAAAAGCAGAACCATAAAGTAATCAAGCCTAGAGCGGTTAAATGACAAGTTTATTATGAAATCCCACAAATCCCCAAATCACATTCGGCGGATAAGATTTAACGAAAATCCCAAGGAAATTGTAATATTTCCAACTACGTGTTGAACAAAAAAAAAACATGGAAATATAAAAAATAGCAAATAAGAAATTGACAAATACAGTCTTATAGTTCGACAGGTAATGAATGGATGAACCCCGAGCAAGTGAAAATACAACGTGTGAACAAGACTCAGTTTTTTGTTTCACTTAGTTCCATCTTACAGAATATTCCGACAGTTGCACGGAGAGTGGCGGGATCAAAGTTCCATATACAATACTTGTGAGTGACCCCGACAGCTAAAAATATCATATATTATGTATCAGCAATATATATGAATATGATATAAATATCATATTATATATAAGCATGCTATAGAAAAATATCATGCATAATGGGAACAGTCGTGGGCTTGACAGTTGTTCATGCAGTTACTTAGAAGATCATTGGATGAGTATCGCTATTGACAGCCATAAGCTACAATTAAGAAGGTTAAAGGCTGAAGAAATTACTACATACAAAGCAGTCAAGGTAAGTAATATTTAGAGCAGCCCAAAGTGCTAGCTGTCAGAACAATTGAGCCGCGCATCACGCTGAGTATAGCAGAGTAGCCAAATGTTGCAACCAGTGCAGCGTTTATATACAATAATAGACAGCAACGAGAGAAATAGAAAGCCATGCAAAATACCAACTATCAAGCAGACAATGACAATTAACAGCCTTTCACCATCAGCCCGAAATATTAAAAAATATCACATGTACATCAGAAAAGTTTGTTATAATTTTTGTAGAGATTTACCATTAGCCCGAAATATTAAAAAATTTCACATGTACATAGGAAAAGTTTTTTTTAATTTTGTAGAGAATTGGAGCAGCCTCTCGACATGGAGTACTCGTAGGAGGAGCAGTAGACGGCATGCAGAACTCACGTCCACTTCGTAGGTCATGGCGACAGAGGGCGTGGTCTCCAGGTGCGGTGACGCCGGTCCTGGCGACAGATCTTGCTCTCCCCTAGCGTCCTGTGGTCCCGCAACCCGTCTCACTCATGCCACGGTCATACCATGTCACCAACACACGCGTCGTGGCATGCCACCAACACACGCGTCGTGGCATGTCACCAACACACGCGTCGTGGCATGTCACCAACACAGGCGTCGTGGCATGTCACCAACACACGCGTCGTGGCATGTCACCAACACACGCGTCGTGGCATGTCACCAACACACGCATTTGAAGACGTAACATGGAAAACGCGATTTCAATGACCCCGATGGCAATAAAAAAGTGTTACTTATCCAGGCCGAAGGCATATACTCTATGAATAATTCATAGCGGAATTATGATAAATGCTCACAAATAACGAATGCATCAATGAATAGTTTCATAATTGAATCCACTAATGGGAAGGCGTAATGATACAAGTTTTAAACAGAGATCACCAATAGGAAGAAAGGTAAGCCAACGTTACTGCACAAACACCACACAAACAAACGGGCGAAGGCGGCAACCACACGAGCAATGGTGACGTGGTGACGACGACGACGACGGTGATGATGATGATAGGAGCAAGCATGGCAGAGGGCATCACAGAGGGTAGAAAATGCTCATATTAGCGCCATCATTTGATGGTTACAAGTTCAGTGATACAAATTCCCTAGTACAATGTTTTTTCAAAGTGTATTTTACGATTACTTCCATAAATTTAAACATCGAATAATGAGGCCATGATTCGGAAATCAGGAAAGTTTTCAGTTTCTTCTCAAAATAAATGCCTGACACCTCGAAAATAATACACAAGCATAATAATGAGTAAACTAAATATTAATATTGGGTGTCTTGACAGCTGTAATGAGTAATCAACCCTTAATTGGTCCACCGGAAAGCAAAGCGAGAGGAGGTTGGAAAATGTGCATCTTGTCTTGTTGGAAGCGTCAAAAGCGAAACGCTAGCAAACGAACTTTTAAAACCAATCAGTATTGCTAAATCAGAGTTAGAATTAACTGATAATAAATTTACTCTAAACATCTTATTGAAAAACATCACACGGTGAAGGGATGAAGGTGTAGCTGGAAGTCACGTAGAAGGCTATGGCTTTATCATATCAGTGTTGATATGATAAAGGTTTTTATAATACTTGTTGCTCTAAGGGGCTGCAGCCAGAGCATCGAAAACTTATGGAGCAGCACGTAGATCCTTCAAGACAGTTATAAACTAGAATTAATGAGATAATAGAATCACACGTATCTAAAAAAATCGACTTGAATTTGAGCTGAAAGTTGAATATTGTTCCTTAAACCTTGTTAGTGTCACGAGCAGAACTGAAACGTGAAGCCAGATTTAAATTCATCAGATGATGCACCTATCTTGAGTAATATTTGAGCTGACTCCTAAACTTGAATCAGAAACAAGCAAGATTCCTGTTAATGGAATTTGATGTCCGATTGAGTTTGAATTGTTAACAAAAAAATTAAATATAACATAATACAAAAAATGCATAATCTGACCTGGCCTGTTACAGTGCGTGGAACAGAGAGGTCGTAGTCTTCAACAGGCTGGTCGTAGATTCTGTCATCAGGCTCGACAGGAACAGAGTCGTAACGGTGTTGGGTTGGCCCGTTACTGGCAGCATAGTAACTCCTGTTACTGTTCTCCGTAAATCCACCAAGTTTTTGCTGATTTTGGTGGTCGGTGAACTCGGAATCATCTTCGTAGAAATTTTCCGGAGCCGCAGCACCAGACATGCTGCGAGCACCAGAATTTCTGTCGCCACGAGGCGGCTCGCTGACGTACGCGTATGTAGGTAGTTTGTCTTCCTTCTTTAGGAGCGTTTGGTTGCTCATGTATGTGGAATGGCTCGAAGCAGACACTGGCTCAGAATCCTCATAATAATTCGAGGACGACATTTGCCCGGCATAGGAAGCTGGCGCGGTGTTTGGAGGCTGAGACTTAGGCAAGCGCGGTGGCTCGTCCTCGTACGTGACTGCTCCATAGGTGCTTTTAGGGGGTAGTTGGGGAGCTTGGGTCTCCTCGCCCTCATATAAGTTGTCCTCGCCGTCGTACAAGCTGGGGGTGAAGCGTTGTTCGTTCTTGTGCACGTTGTTTGATGGAACTCGCCTAGAGGCCGGGGGACTGGACTGCGAGGCTCCAATGGGATTAGGACGAGCAGTGGCGGACGAGACGATTCCCTGTGAAATTATAATGTTGTTTTACGGTTTGAATTAAGATATTTTGTAGAACTCAGTACCGTATTGCATGAACCACTCAACCTGAGATACCCAATGAATATTTCTAGCGCGATAGAAAATACAATATCAAACAAGGCAGCAAGCAATATTAGTCACAGCGAGCTTTGAAGCCAAAGCTGTATATTATTATTATTATTATTATTATTATTATTCCACGAAGAGATTGTCGTGGCGTCTCGTTCAGATCGAACTTCGAGGGCACGTTACAAGCGGCTAAAAAATTCGCGCAAAATCGGCGTCACGTGGTCGAATTTCCGCCGGGCACAAACGAGTCGCGCGGCAGCGTTCATGACGAATTGCAGTTTGTCAAGTGCAGTGATGGGAAGTCCGTAGAGTGTGGCATTGCCATAGTCCAGTCTGGTCAGCACAAGCGCCACCATGAGGGCCTCGAGGACCGGCCTCGAGAGACAGCGACTGATGCTACGAATTCGCCGCAGGATGCCAAAACAGGCAGCGGTTACTTTGGCAATGTGGTTGTTCATAGATAGTTCTGAGTCTAGCTGAATGCCGAGGCTGCGCACAGAGGATGAAGGTGCGACGAACTCGTCGCCCACGCGCACAAGGTTGGTTGGAAGCTGATGTTGGCGCCGAGCGGTCGCGAACCAAATAAATTCAGTTTTCGATGCATTAAGCTGGAGCCGGTTGGAACGCATCCAATCTGAAACTGCGTCCATGCAGGCAGACATCCGGTCTTGCAACGCTGCAGCATCCGCCGGCGCACAGTAGCCATAGATTTGGGTGTCGTCGGCAAACATGTGCGGATTCAAGCTGTGTGAATCAATTATGTGCATAACAGATAAGCAGATAAGGAAGGCATACTAACCTCTCTTGAAGCATGCACGTCGCTGTCCACAAACATAGGCTGTCTAGGCTTTCTTTCTTCTGTAGTAAAGGGAAAGGAAATGAGGTGAATTGAAAATTTGAATGCAGTTATTTCAAGTTAGTTTTTCTGTAGATACTCAACATTGAATATGTGAATTGATATAAAAGCATACAATCACATGATAAAAGCAAATCAACAATCATTGACAAACATCGCTCGTCAAGCAAATCCTAACAATTAATGATTGCTAATATTTTTGATAACACAAACATGACAATAGCATAACACTAAAATAACATTATTGAAACTTTCTACTCGAAAAATATGAATAAAATCATCATGCAATATAAGCATACCTTGGACCGCTACACCCGAGCTGTTGGAGGGAGGGGGCCAGGCACGGGCTACGGCTCCTCTGCTGTTGCTGTTGCTGGATATATTGTTGCTGTTGTGGTGACCGCTGTCAGAGCTGTGGATGGGAAGGCTGGTAATAAGAGCTAGTAGTGCACTACTAAGACAAAGAAGTAAAGACTTCTAATAAAATGATTCTTTGGGAAGAAATCGGAAAATTAGCACAAAATAATTCTTAAGAACAAAAAATTTTAGCAGGAAAGAGTGAAATCTCTCATGCAATCTACACAATCGAATTTATAATTAACCCAAAAAATTAACCCAAAAAGCAAATGAAACATCAGGATATGATAACTCATTGGAACTATCACAGTGACGATTCCATCTACAATTCAGGAGTAGACAAAATATTCATAATGCTAATTGCAGATAAAACTAGTGAGAAGAAGTAAAGTCTTTAAAATATTTCATACAAGGTCAATTTGGCAAGAAATTTCAACGGGCAACACGGGCTTGTTGCATGAGAGTATCGGGGTAAATGAAGCAATGAATTTCAATGAGCAACACGGGCTTGTTGCATGAGAGTATCAGGGTAAATGAAGCAATAAATTTCAACGGGCAACAAGGGCTTGTTGCATGAGAGTATCAAGAAACTAACGTGTTGTTGAGAGGCGTGAACTCCTTCAGTTTCCTTGCAGGAGCGCGAGCGTTGCCCACACCGTTGGCCACTGCCGCTCCCTGACTCTCAAAGACGCTGCGAGCAGACTTGGTGCTGCCACCAATAACACTTTCTGCCTCCTGCTCGTTAAATTTGTTCAATAAGAAAAACTGTACTCAAAACCAGCTTTGAGTTTGAATTACATTTCAAATTATTTCATTGATTTGAATTACATTTCAAATTATAGGTAGAAGATACCTAAGGTCTAGCTTGGCAATAGATCACAATAATGCCGACTAAAACATAATATTCAAATGAGAGGGCAGGAAGGAATGTCAAAGGTTAAACACCAGGGCCTATACTTTCAAAAAAAGTTAAGAGATCGTAAGTTCATTAGCCAATCATTGACAGCCTTTCAAGCAAAATCCACCAATCATAGACAAGAAAATAGAGCGTAAGTACTTACATTAACTTATCGAGTTTTGAAAGTATGGCCCCAGATCTACTTGTTAGTATAGACAAAAAAAAAGTTAGGTTAAATTTACTGATATAAATAATAAAAGCTTCTGTACAATTTAGCTAGAATGCGATGTAGAATAATCTAAAAAAAAGTGCGACGCTGCAAATGTTCCTTACTTGCTTCCTCTGCTTTCTCAGGAGTTCAGCACGTCTGGCTCTCTCTTGTTCGTCACGTTCAGCGTCAGCAGCTGTAGGGCCGTCACCAGGCTCCCTAGCAGCTCTCAGGCGCTCGTCTGCCACCTCAGACGCCCTTCGTGATGCTGCCACCTTCACGCTGTGCTCCTGCTGTTGCACTTCACGCTCCTTGCTGCTTTTCATCTGCAGATAAAACACCTAATTAGGTTATTTCAGAACAGTTCATTCATTATCTCTATCATACACTCTTGAATGCGTTCTTCTGAATTTCATAATTTGGACATACTAACTCTTTGCCTCAACTTTTGTGTACTCACAATATGAAACTTGGCATTAAATTTTCAGTAGGAAGTGCCCTAAAACTCAACTACAGTACAAAGAATTCATCGCTTCGTGAAATTTTTACTATTAACAATCCTAAACAGAATGTATTATTAACCATCAAACTACTGTTCACTGGAACTGCTAAACCAATTCCTTTGTACAGGCACCCTTTAAACCAACATATAATGCAAGGAACCATTGATATTTCAAGAAAGACTGGCAAAAAACTATTATATAAGGCCTACATTCAAGTTCACTACAATGTATGCTATGGGTTGTGCACAGAACATGTTACCTCAGTTTTTCTTCTCTCCTGGTCAATAGTCATTTCTTCTAGTTTCTTGCGCTGGATTTCCTCTTGCTTCCGGACCTGTTCTTCATGCTCTTGTTCCTCCCAAAATTTATTGCGGGAACTTGTGTTTATTTCAGATAGAGGGTTTGTGCGCTGATAATTGGTGCCCTGTAACATAATTCACGTTTCATGCTTTACGACTCAATTTTAAGCTGTGAGATGCATACGGTACCGGTAGTAGGTATATAAGATGTATACATACATATGAACATTGATTCAGTTCATATAAAATTTATATGGTACCACTGACTCTGGACAGGTTATTAACAATCTTTCTCATGTCATGTGAATATAATTAAAAATTTTGTTAACACTCAAACAAATAATTGTGGACATGTAGCTGGATTTGTAGGAGCAAAACAGAGAAACATATATTTGAGGTTAATGGATTTGAAGCAGAAGCAAATCTTTATCACGATTCCTCGCAGTAAATTGCAAGTTAGTAGCTGAGGAGAAGAGAAGACTTTGATTAAAGACAGATTCAGAGTTCTAGAAGAATTTAGGCCATGAAAAACAAAGAAGTTGAATGCAGAATCAAAAGGGATTAAAGCATCAACTCAACAGCATTTAGACATAGCACAGCTTAAAATGAGCACATGATGTTGTGGTTTATAAAAAAATTACTCTTTTTCTATCCTACCTTTTAGTAACTATATAATTTAAACAATTATAATTTATGAGTGCTAAAAAAATCAGTTAGGGAGAAAAGCCAGTATTAGGAGTGAAACCAGGAGATTACCATCGCAGTGACAGCACTGCCTTCCCTAAATTGAATCACCAGACTCTTCTGAAAAGAATAAAATAGGTACTAGAAGGGAATTTACCTATGCCTATGATTGCAAAATGTTTGAGTACACCACATATATTATATATTGGGAGTACTCCACACAATATATAAACAAGAATAATAATTTACTACCCCATAAAAAATCCTCTCCTGAGGGATAACTTAAATCAAACAAATTTTCAGTTTCCATTCATGTTCATCTTATGATAAATTCCAGCTATTTATCCAACTTTGATGAATATGCATATTAGAGAACTTTCTTGTTATACTTACAACAGGTGCATTTCTTTCTTCATTTTCAGAACGATCAGAGAAGTTGTATGAGGTGGCAGTTGCTTTAGCAAGAGCAGCAAACACCTGATCAGCTTCAACCTCTTCTTCATTACGAGCATTAATTGTCACATGAATTCCTTTGAGAAGTCCCTTCACATCATGCAGATGTCTTGCACAAATGCCCTTACGGAGGTTTGGGCAGGCTTCCCCTATCTGTTATTAACAAATTACAACAATTCTTTCACAAGAATAAAAAATTTTGATATCAATTTAGTCTGAAGCCTACTTCTTAATTTGATTAAATAACGATTCAAAATATAGACATGTTAATGGATTATTTTCAAAACATTACCATAAATTCAATAATTCTCAACTTACATCATGGAAATAAGAGTACTATTTGAAAGAAAAGATTATCCTTGAATCAAGTTCTATAATACTCATCTGGTGGTATACACTTAATATTTATAACTTTTCAGGCTGATTCAGAACATACATAGTTAATGAGCACATGCTTGGTACGTGTTGTCTTTGGGTCGGTGACACGCACAACTGCATACATGACCTTGCTGCTGTTAAGTTCATCTGCCAGCTCCTCCAGCCCTCCATCTAAAATTGTAACAAAAATCTTAGATCTAGAATAGTGTAAGGGATGTCAGTGCTGATGAATTGGCCTGAATAAGAATACTTTGGCCAGCACCCGACTCTTGAAATTTTAAACTTATTCATAGGATAGATAAGAAATTGGCTCTAGGTCAGATCTTTCTAAAATTGCCAATGAAATAGATACCAGTATTTCACCAAGTATGTTGGTCATGATAATTTAAATTATAAACTTAAATACATAATACTTGTTTGCAAAACCTCATCTAGTCTGTTTTTTAGTGCATTCATACTGACTAGCATCAGTGATGCAAGCAGAAAGTAAGTTTAGTTCAATTTGTTGATGATGAAGAGCAAGAAGTGTTATGGTATAGAAAAATTGCACCACAGATTATCAGACAAGATTATTTATTTTCATCACTGATGACAGAGGAGGACAACAGAGATTATTAAACAAAAAAATTCAGTTTCTTTTCAATGCTTTACATTGAAAATTTATTTCATAGAAAATATTGTAAAATATTTATAATAACATGAATATTTTCTTCGTTTTACATAGTTCTCATATTCATGGCTAAATAATAATTACATCTCTATGTTCTCATATTCACGAGGCTAAATAATTCTCTCCACAAACTCCACAGTGACCATGAAAGACATTTAGGCTGCATAATATCTTTATAAAAAATGTGAACAATTCACTGAATAATAGGTATATAAATTACTAGTTTGAAAACTCTATACAAATACATATATTTACAAATATTTTAAACTTAGAATACTGCATACACAGTGACCTGCCACTGCCAGACAAGGAAGATGTACAAAGGTCAAGAGAAAATTGTGAAACCTTACCTCCAGTGCCGATGAGCTTCAAAATATTAGTTTGGCCTTCATACCCAAGCAGTATCCTGAGAAAAGAATGGTTATTATTAGTGAAATGGCTCCAACAAAGCCAGCCTACCAGTTTTTGCTTAAAAAAATGTTTTGGTAAAAAATTAGCACTTGAAGAAAATTTTGGGAGTCTAATAATATAAGACAATTAATAAAAGTCTACCTAATTAAAACCATCATAGATAGAAAAAGTTAACATGATTGAAGACTTTGACTTTTGTTTGATTGAATACAATCCAGATCCCTGTTTTATTATTTTTCCTTTTTATATTTTATACATTTACATACATACCATCAAACGGGGTAATAAGGGACGGTTTTGAGCATTTTTTGTTAATAACTTCTGACCATGAAACATTTCATAAACATGTTTAGGCTCATTTTATAGCTCTTTGCGAGGGCTATCGTATGGCATCTTAAAAAAAATTCCATATGCTATTCGTAAGGTACCAGATGCAAAATAAAAGCTTTCCGAATTACCCCTGGAAACAGGGTAATCTGGGACACTTGAAATAAAACTTAATTTTAAAATGTTTGAAGCTTGCAGAGTGTACTCATCTATTATTAACAGTGCTTTGATGTACTCCTCTTTTTTTGTAGATGATGTAGATGTAGAATATATGACATTTTGGTGATTTTTACTTGTTTTTCCTTTATTGATTTGATATTACCATATCCATACATTATATATACCATATTATTAACGTGATTACACCACATCCATGAACATGCTATTGAGCATTTACAACAACCTTGTCCACTGCAAGCTTCTTATCAGCAGCCATATAGCACTTTTCTGTATCTGTAAGCTTACAGGATGGCTTGTAATTTCACACCATTTTAATTGGGTCAAGCGAATTCACTAAAACAAAAAAATATATTTATTGTAAAAACATACCTGAAACAGAAAGGTATATTCTAGTTACAATCATCATATTTCTTAAAGAAATAAATCTTAGATTAGGTTAATTACTTTTCATTTTATGTTGCCTGGTGCCCAATTCTACCTATTACATTCTCTGCACAATTTTTTGATGGCCGATGATGCATTAATTTTTCATCAAGTGAAATTTTTTTTGCTGAGCAAGGTAAATATAGATTAATTTTTTCATTAACTGGAGCCTTTGCTAATCAAGGTTCTACTGTAAATGACATTTTAGTAGTGTACCTTATTACCCCGAGTGGGTGTTCCTTATTACGCCCTCCTGTGGATATGGCCGCCAGGCCGCCATTTTTTGGAATGAGATATGAGAATTCTGTCTATCAAGTTTTTAAGCCAAAACCTGTGTGCAACTTTTATCTAAGAAAATTTTTTGATACAACAAATATTTTTTTGCTACAGACCTTAGCAGAGGAACATTTTCAAAATCTCACTTTTCACACTTTTTTTGGGGGATTTTTCAGAGGTAGTAAATGTATGTTTCTTTACTTATTCTAATGCTACATAGATAGTAAAAAGAATGAACTGTACACCACTATCTTTAGTTTTGCAATATTTTAATTAGTTAAGTGGCTACAACATTTCTATGAAATGTGGGATGACTGTCCCAAATCCCAATTTACCCTGCCCATCCCTTCTTACCCTGGCTTTGTCACTATGATTAAAGATAATGAACTAAACTTGAATGAAATGATAACATCTCATGCTTCAACAGGGTAGATTGTGGAGTTGGAGTAGAATTCCAGGAAGGGAGGTCCTTATTGCAGTCTGACTCTCCAATTGTGCGCTCTGCGACTCTGGTAGTATTATGGAATTTGATGATCAATAAAATAATATGTTTTAAAATTATTTTATTGTTAGCTATTTAATGCATTGGGTGAAATTCAAATTTATCTGTAACTACTTGTACATTCATAATTATTTACACATTTAAATTAACAATCATTTCATTTTTAGGGACTATATAAATTTATTTTAAAAAATGGTTTTAATCATTGAGTCCAATAATTAGATTAGGCAATAGCTGAAAGCCTGAAAAACACCCTTATTTGTTGCAGAATAATTATGCCGTCAAATGGGGTAACTTAATTATTGTTAATTAACTAATACATCTTATTGTCTAGCTAATTAAATTTTTTAAACATCTGTTTTAACTTGATAATATGGATAATCTCATATGAATATGATATTGAAAGAGTGAGTAGTATGACTTTGTCTCTAATTATTAAAGAAAGCCTTTCAATTTTTCTAACTCAAGTTTTTGGATTAGCTATAGCCTTATTTTGCCCTTATAGGCTAATGCATTGGCCTACACTCCTACAGTACAGGCTATACATGGATTACATTACATGGATTGAAACTTGAAAGAAATATGAACCAAGATTTTGAGAATTCCATCCTGCACGATCACGGATATTTGAGGAAAGTTGAAATCAGTGGTATCTAATTTCAATCATTCGCAACAGCCAAAACAATATTAATAGACTTGAATACTTTATTTCACCAGACCCAGAATCACCAGATAACTGATAACTTCAAGTGATAAGTAAATTTTACATAGATTGCATCCAGCATCATTGCAGGTGCAGGGGGTTGGCACTGGCAGGCTGGCAGCGGCAGATGAAAATAATGCTATATCTGGTAAGTGGTAAGCAGGTAAGGAGAAATGTGATTTCTGAAGTACTTCAAGTTCATGGCATGTTATGAATGCTTATGATAATAATATATATAATATGATGTTACTCACCAGTCAGTCGGCGTTTTATCGCTCAAAACATCATCATATGCTCTCAGAATCTCAGATTTGTTCTTCTCTAAATCGATACTCATTTCGAATTAGGAAATAACACAACCTTGGGCTTGAACATAGAACTTGACAAGTTGACAGTCCTAACTTTTGTGATCTAAAATCCGTTCTACGTAACTTCGACAGTCCGACCGAACCAACGAAAGCTTATCGAATGTCAACACGAAAGGAAGCGCATTCAGAAATACTGTAATTTTCAACTATCTCATTTTCATATGCGATAAAATGAAACAGCATAAGCACTTGAGATTGGGTTGAAATTTCGCTGCTATCTCACGCATAATTTTATTTATTTATAGGAATCTAAGCTTTTTACATCACATTCCTTATTGTGCAAAACATTAGCAGCTTATATACTTGGGCAGTTGAACGATATTTTAAGAAGTTTTGACAACTATTATAGATCCATGAAGTGGGTAGACAAGATACCAATACAGCATAAGAATTTATTTTAATAACGGCATTATACAATAGAATAGTAGGGTCTATGAGACAATTAGGAGATTATCCATGGCTTTCGAAAAATTTGACACCAAGTCTCACACGCTTTGCTGAAAAAGATGCTTATAAAAGGGGTTCATCTGTATTCGCTTCAACTTACAAGAGATCGTGGAGAACATGACATCCTATTCAAAAATCAACTTCCCGGTGTGAAAATGATAAGAATCTAAAAATGATTCGAGACTTTGTTACAAACAAGGAAACCAATTTGCAATCAATCTTCTAAAACCAAGAAGAATCGGACGTACGCTTCGATGACGAGCCGCTTGTGGAACTGCAGATGAGATTTCGAGGTCCCGAAGAAGAATTAATTGTCCAAGAACAGATGAAAGTGCGTCTATCCGATATACCGTAACTAAATATTTCTGTTAGGTAAGTTGAAGTTCAGATTTTGTCACTCAGAAAGGCCGAAGTTAAAATTCAAGTATGGAACTCTTCTAGGCCAAAAATTAAATCCACCAAAACTTTATCATGGAAAACTGGAGCGCCCAAAGAATATGTAATCGAGAGTTTATACCTCAAAGTGTCACTCATGGTGCTTTCATTTGCAGATGGTTTGGAAGATCTGGAAAGATTGACGAAGTTGAAATTGAAATCACTTGCTTGGCCAGATCCAGTTTGTATCGCATCATGCAATTAACGCCCAGTGAAATAGAACCCGGAGGAACGATTCGTTGAGGCTGTGCCAGAGAATTTTGAACAGCCACACTATTTTAATTGTACCTTTGACAGTCCGCGTAGTAATTCGTAGTCTTGCGATTATTTCCGTTCATCGTTTGCTTCTATATCTTCAGCATCCTCCTCGAACTAAGTGTAGATGCATCACAAGAATAAACGCTTTAGAAATGTAGAACATCGAGTGTCTCATCAAATGAAATTTTGCGTATAACGTAACAGCTTAGAAAATGAGCCCGAGGACTGCGCGACTTCGGCATTTGAGGACCACCGGGATCATGATCCTTATGAACCGAACTTCCACCAAGGTTATTTTTCTAAAATCAAATAACGTTAATAATCTACTCTAAGTAGCAATGAAGATGACGCCTGTTCTGCAATGAGTGGTAATCACAAGAACAAAAATAATAACTTTTTTCGGCGCACGGAGAAATGCCAGCACGATAGGAAATAGAAAGGCAAATGTAGAAACCAGGCGGTTTATTATCGACATGGTTGTACCATGCATGAACCAAGCAAGAAATAGTCGAATTAGTAGATTGCTTCAAAAGTTTTCGAGAAAAACAAAGGAATAAATATTCATTGCGGTCCGTAAAAGGACAACAGAAATAATTGTGAAAGTAATCAAATCGATTCAGGAATCATCTATGAAGAAAAAATACCCAGTTAGAAAAAAATTGGTTCATATGAACCAGTGGTGAGCTTGACCAGTATTCCTTCATTGCAAAGATACAAGGTCACCAGCAACCCAAGATTAGATTAACGATGTCTTCACAACAGCGGCGGCAGTGACTTGACTGCTGCAGGTGCTGCTGAATCAGCAAGCGGGTTGGCTGATGAAGCGGAATCTGACCGTAACTTGTCGTTGCCTGCTCTGCTCGATACCGTCTTGAAACTCAACGCGATGAAGTGAAACTTTGAATATTCATGACGTACAGTGATAAGTATGAGCCTCAAATAACTGAAAATAGTGAGAGATATGCGTCTTTAGATTGGATTTTCAGTTTTTTTTCTCTCGGTAGAAAGTCGGCAAAGTGACAAAATTACCGGCCAATTTGGTCTCGTTCATTAAAAAATACCGAGCTGTTCATTGATTTGAGTAAAATTCTGACCTTCTCGTTGATAAATCTGGGCATCTCTATATTGAAATGAACTTTTCTCTGGTTTTAAGTGACTTTGGAAGCCATGTTGCCTTGTAAATTATTCTATTCATAAGCAATGAACAAACTAAGCAATGTGGTGTTCATCTAAAAGTGTCACGGTTGTTGTGAATTTCATAATACACTTTTGATGCAAGCCTACCTTAAAATTTACGAATGCTAAGACTTTCCAATTAAATTCAGTTTCAAATGTGTTTAATTTATTACCGAATCTCGTATGAGTGGCCTTCATTATCGATTTGGCAATTTAAAATTTCAGCGTATGCTACTTAGATTTTTACCACTAATCACAATTATGCCATCCTCATGAATTGTTAATACGTGTAGAAAAAGGTTTAACTTAGGAATAAATTTTTTATCATAAACGAAGTTTTTCGGGTTTTCACCCGAAGAATTGGACTTTAAAGAAGCACTGTTTATCTGACATTGATTGATCATTATCTGGCATTAATTGATTATCATTGATTATTATCTCTGACATTGATTTCTTACTGTTGCCAGTCAACTTCCATCATGTCAGGTCCTTGCATACTCCTCTTAAATCAAGAAGTACACTAACTTAATACTCTAATTAGCAGCGCATTTAGTACTATATATTGCAAAAATTGTACACAGCATTAGTAGTATGATGAGATACCTGATATATCAAGCGCCGTCTGTTCTGTATCTCAAAGTAGTACTCGAACACAAAAAGTTTGAGAACCACTGTCCACTGCCATGGACGCTTCTTATTGATTTAGCCTTATAGGGAGTACATGAATGAGTGAAGCATTAAATTACTTCCTATTGATTGAAAACAGCCTCATGAAAAAGGTACTGTTGGTACTGTTTCTTGTAATTCCGTCGAAAAAGTGATAATTCTTATTATAATAAATAACAATGAAATTAGTGTAAAATGGTTACAAGAAAAACGGCTGCAGTCGGCACTGCAACCGTCTGTGTTCTGTGAGACTGTGACGTTGTCAGTACTCAGAGTCTCAGTCCGTCAGTCGTGCGCTGACTGCCATGCTGTCAGCAGGTGAGTTTTGTTATCTGTGCAATGCGAGAAACTTGTCCCATTTCCTCCCTGGCTGACGTTGCAATGAATGCCTGTGAATGGGCGAAGTAAATAAACCAGGAGAATAGAAGCTTCTTTGACTTGAGCCTCAAGGTTGCTGATACTAGGAAAGTGCATGTTATGTTAAATCAATATTTGGTAATGAAGTTAGCATGACGGTATGTGAATTGAGTTCCATTATTCTGTGGTTCGAATTGCGGAGGAAATAAACGCAAATTTGATTGCGGCGACCGTAATTGAATCGAAGGTATGAGATTTTGCTCTGTATCTGATATTGTTCAGCTTTAGTTGGCTTTGAATCAGTTTCCATTTGGTAGCCCGTAGCCGTAGGTAGCTGTAATGAAGCTCAGGAAGCTGCGTTGACGAATCATGCTGACCAAAATACATCATTAAATTCACCCCGTAATGGTTTTTTATGTATCCTTTACTCTTACATGAGACTATAATAACTACATTATGAGCATTTTTTATTATTCAATTTCAATCATAGGAAGATTTTCATTTAAAAAATCCTTTAACCTTTCATTTGACATTGAGCAAGAAAAAATCCGGGCAATGTGCATATCTTATGAAATGAATTACTACTGTGGTAAAGATACACAGGCTTTCAAACTAAAACATAACAAATTGAAAATCCATATCAGCGACGAGCAACGTTTCCTGAGTCTGCCATAGCTTCTGAGCCTTATTAAAAATTAGAGACAGTCTGCCGATAATGGCCATAGTAGACAGACAGTCGACTTGAGTCGATCATCCCTTCACCGGAAGGCTCAGTTTGCCGGTTATAGAAAACACGACCGCTACCAAATAACAAGGCTCATTCAGTCATTGCAACTGCAACAACGACGGCATCGTGATTATTGTTTGTTATACAATATTTCCGTACAAAGTATTGACGGATCACAGGAAGCGCCAGATTCAATGCTTGCTTATGAGGATCCACAGCTAAGTAATTACCTACTGGTGTTATTTCGCTCTTCGTTAATTAAATGATTTTCCTCCCAACATGCATCACGAGTCAGATTCTCAATGTCAGTGGATGACAAACTATTTCTGTCGAGACAGCTGTACTATAAAGAATATTATGCCAGTTTTATGGACGATAGAGAATCTCCGCCGATATGGCGACTAATGTTCCTAATTACGTAAGTCTAGCCACGCTTGTTGCCAGACAATGCCAGTCAAAAGACTCACGCACTCACACGAGCTGGCGGTCCAATGTGGAGCATGGATCATTTGTTCGGCATAGTCAATATGAGCTCAGGCCGTCTCATTTATCAGCCTCAGCTTAATTGTCTTTAGATGATTCCATGAACACAAGTTTGTTTGATGTTTGTTCGTACATCATATCTCTTGTTTGTTCATAATATCTACGTGGACAAGACTATAATTTTAGAAGGGTTGAAAATTCCAAGATGCTGCCAGGATGGACGTCCGAGTTCGAGGTCGCATGACATCTTACGTACTTACGTAACCTCGGATACGCATGATTACATTGCACATTGTTTAATGAGCGATACGCCTTTGTTACGCATCACTATCTTTGCACTTGGTTGGAATTTCCAAATTTCGTTACAAATATATGTGAAGAGCGAACGAAAAATATCAATACATACGTTGTGAGATTTTGCAAAAAATATTCAGAACATATAGTATGAATGAAAATGCTGCTAATGCCCGTTATTCAGCTGTACGATTCTTGAAACTAGTTCATCATCTTCTCGTGTAAAGTTAAGTATCTAATTGTAGTCTGTGCATCATTGCATACGTTGCAGATCACCTCGAAAAAGTAGTATCAAAACTATGTACATGCCTCACATTGTCAGAGAACGCTCAAGGTCGACGTGCTTGTTTTAAATAGAAAAACCTGCACCAGTGAAGTTGTTACCCGTACCCTGTGCATGACTCGCCCAAACTGCAGCGCATGTTTGTAAGCTTTGCCGAGGACGTAGCGCTTCTTCCAGTATTTTTGCCTCTAATTTATGAAATCATTTTAATTAGAGTACGGCGCACCGTGAATGTATTATAATGTTCACTAATTGTTGTCCTCATTATCTCATTTTTCTCAGCGTGTATTTTCATTGCAGTGCTGAGGTAAATCATTTGTATATTCCAACCAGGCGGTGTCTGCAAAAATTATGTGAATAGCTAAATACTGAATATATACAAATACACCTGATTTTTTTAAGAATCGCCAACGACTCCCAGACATGTTTCCGCGCCCTGCCAGGTAAGAAAACAATGATATTTGAAAAAAAAGTTAAGCATTACCGACAGATTTTTGTAGTAACATATAGATATATATACATATATTTTCAGACGCTGTGTTGTTGATCTTCAAGCCATTTTTATGACACTGCTGTTTTCTAAGTGAATGATGTTTTTTTATTACCAGCAATATGTATGCTAAGACTCCAACAGAAAACATTGCGAACCAATTGATATTTACACGTATTGATGTACACAGCAGTGTCAACATCGATGCTCAAAGTACATCTTCGAAATAAATACAAGTATTGCTTACTGATCTATAGCATGCAATTTTTCCCCCTAAGGACCTGCCATCCTATTTTGTATAATCATTTAGTTCTATTGTGTTCATACAAGTTGTTGTATATATTTTATACAAGTATGTAAAATTCTGTGTTAAATTAATAGCCCGGGTAAAGCTATTCTGTTGTGTATACTCATCCGTGGTCACGCCTGTTCAACAATTATATGATAATGATGCACTCGATTACTTCTAAATTATTTTAGAATCATCTGAAGAATTAACGTTTTCGACAATCGATTATAAATTTATTTTCGTTTGAAGTATATTCTTTCTCGTTCTCGGCTCTCTCTTGTACAATGAACTGTGTTTAGGTAACTTAATTTTTCTTCACCTCATTTGGAAATGAATCTTTGGTTGTCAGCTGTGTTTTTCTCTTCTGTAGATGGTCGAAAATTTTAACGTAGGAAAATAGCTCGACTGCACGGCCAGCTGCACTGATGTCTTATCCATTTTATCAATTAACTGTTCGTTATCGCGGTGAATTTTCTCCGATGTTGTGTGCATGCGACCAATCTAGATATCCTCTTAAAGTTTGTCTCAATTTCATATTGAAACTGCGTGTTATGAAAAACATCTTGAAAATAATTTCCAGTAAATCATTTTACGGGGTTTATTCGCGTTCATATTTCAGGTTATTTTGCACTTTTTCTTGTCTTATATTGTCGCTTGTCTTCAACTGTAACGAGACTTACTTTACATGTCAAATTTTACAAAAGTTCTCTTTAAAATATCATACTGAAATATTTACACATTATGAAAACAGATAATTCATTCAAATGTTAACAATTCAATAATCGTCTCTATTAGCCAATAGTCAAAAGTAATCTTTTCTAAAATATTCTATAGGATTGTTAATCTTATATATAGTAAATAATTTATTCGACACCGTAAACTTCATTTCTTCGCATCGAGAACCAACCTTGAGCCTCGCAGACTTCTTTGTCCTCCGGCCGACTCCTGTAATAATTAACAATATCGATCGTCTGGCCATGCAGGTTGGCCCAGTTTTTGCACTTAAGAGTGCATCTGTTTGATACTGACACCATCCGTTGTGGCAACAACTTCATTATCTGTTGATAAGTGAAGATAAAGGGCATCTATACTCGCGTTAAGCATCATGATCTTCTAATGTATTTTTACTGCCTCTGTAATTTTTTTATTAATTTGATGCGTTTTTATAGTTATCTTTCAGTAGGCATCCTAACCTTTTTATAAGGATCACTTGATCCCTGACTCCGTCATAATCTTTGTAATGAACATGAGCAATAATTTAGCGACTATTTTGAATCCAATTGCGATATCAAAGGCAAAAGCTCACTTCAAGATTTTCTCGAAAGAAAAGAAATTAAGTTAACCATCAGTTTGTTCCGAAAAATTATTAGGTACTCGATAGGAATATTGCAAATATCATCGCTAAAACTTTTAGAAGAAGTAACCAAATGAAATCCCGGTCATTAAACAAATAATATAAAACAAATATTTTCGAATGAAGATATTTTTGTACAAATTTGTTGTTCTACATACAGGGAATACCTGCCATCTTTACCATGCAGCTATAAAATATCAAAGAGAAGAGTAGTTATTAGTAGGATACTGAAAAATCGAATTCACATGAATGGGTTCACTAATTCAATTATTAATCTACTGCATTACACATTCTTCGTTTTACGTTTTGTTTTCAAGGCCCATTTACAATGTGGGTGCACAGATATATTGCACACCCTACAAAATAAATTAAATGGGCCCCACATTCATTCCATGTGTTGTGATTAATTTGTCTATGTATAGGAACAATTACTGGCAGTCGTACGCATTGCATTCAAAACAGTCTTATGAATTGTGATAGGTTTTGTCTTAGAGTTCCCATTATTATTCAATGCTGCTACCGTCAGATGGCCAGAGAATAATAATGTGCTAGTTTTATTATCGTATTTTCAGACGGTTGCAATTATTATGTGCGCATTAAGAGTCAAATTAGGCGAAAATAGCCACACCCGTTCCTAGGAAATTTCGCTGCATTAGTATGCCATGCAAAGTACGTCCCATCACGCATGTGCTGATCATTATAAATTTGGAAACATACGTTTATATTGTATTATATTTGAATCCTCGCTTCTAGTTGAATGTCATTTTTTAATGCACGGCTAGTCAATATTTAGGGATGATTTAATTCGAATTCAGATTGATAGTTGTCTTCTCCACAATTGAAACCTAATTGAGTACAATCCTAGATGGAAGGTGGTTTTAACATAATCGTCTTCTAAATATTTATACGTTCATCGTTAAATTCTGCCACAATTTTTCAGTCGCTCTGTTACTCCACTAAATTCATTTTTCTTTTCTTCTTTCTTTTACAATTGGAAATCGGGAGATTCGGTCGGTTGAGGACTTGAAATATGGCTAAAATGATCCCCGAGCGATGTTTATTAAGATAATTGATTGGATAATTTTCTTACCTTTATTTTTGAAAAGATAATTGAGGTCAAAACTTACGCCCTCGTGACTACTTCCCATGCAATGTGACTTTCATGTTTAAAATTAATAACTTAGGAGTTTTTTAAGTATAGGTACTTTTTATATACCAACATCAATCGAGCTCGTAACTTTTAATCTCGAAACTATTTTTAAGCTTTGCGACATTACATGAGTTCAAACTTCCTTGTCTCTTTTGCATATTATTCGCTCAATTATGATAAATGAATAAATTAAAAAATACGTCGTAAGTATTTTGTTCAAGATTCGCGGTTTTATAACGTCTGTTTAGGACGTCGAAATGGGTGCAACTATGCTGAATAAATCTATTAAAAATTATAACTCAGTACTCACTGCAGTGAGTGACAGAGAGCGCATTTTCTCGTCGACGAAAACTTGAGGTCACGGACAGACGGACGGACGGACGGACGGCATGGCGAGCACAATAGTGCATTTTATTCATAAATGAGAAAATGCGCTAAAAACGTCGTAAGTATTTTTTTCATGATTCGCGGTTTCTTAACCTGGTTTAGGACATCGAAATGGGTGCAGCTGAGCTCGCTGTCGCTGCTGTACGTGGTGGGGGAGCTAGCGCACTTCCTGCTAGGCGTCGTGACGACACCCATGAGCCAGGAGCTGCATTACGGTGACCATGGCTGCCTCGTCAACCCAGACCTCGATACTGACGAAGACGTGCCCGACAACGTCTTCTGCTACCAAGGCAACTCTTCTGACGTGTGAGTTCTTGTAAACTCAACCTATTTTTTTTTGTTGAAGACATAATTACGTAGTTTGCTCAAGAAGTGTGACGGTGTGAACGGTAACTTTATTTTTCAGCATGTGCACCATTTCTTATTCACCGTGAAGGCCGTACAACGAATTTACGCCGTATATATGAATAAGTTTAATATGAATATATGATATACGTCCCTGCAGGTGTCGAGAAATTGTTCGGAGCAATGAAGTCTATTAAAGTAGAATATTTGTAGCATTGAACATTCTGCTATGAAAAATGTACTACTTCATCTCTAAAGTTGCGACCCGGACACAAAAATATTGGGTTTTACGAGGTGTCTGTAATGCATTTTCCCAGTAATTTAGGCTTGAAAGCGCAATTTAGTAATTAAATGCATAAAAAAGTATGGCCTGCCAATTATTAATATTCTTGGGAAAATAAAAATTGCAAGGTATCACTTTCCTAGCATTAACGTTTTTATTAAAATTCAAACAGTGAAGTATACGGTAATTAGGGTGTGCATCATAAATTGACCTAACTCATAACTACCAGTGGTGGGCACAGTCCCGCTAATCCACAAACCGCTAATTAGCGAAGCTGACGTTTTCCTTAGCCGGTGTGCCACACTCGTGGCTGACTACGTCAACCAATCACGTCTTGTGTAACCTATCACGTCTTTTCTTACACAAGACGTGATTGGTTGACGTACATATGTTGACGTAGTCGGCCATCGGTGTGACACACCAGCTAAGGTAAACGTAAGCTTCTCTAATTAGCGGTTAGCGGATTAGCGGACTGTGCCCACCACTGCTGATACTACGCATGCAAAGAAGCACTAATGAACAAAGTGCCCACCAGGTGCACCGAGATATGGGTGTCGAGCACGAGCAACGAGTCTGCCTGCGTGTGGGACTACAGCGGCCTGGGGATGCAATATCAGCTCCTGGCAGGCCCTTCCTTCGTGGCGGTCTTCACCATCTCAGGAGTCTTCATGGGCTTCGTGTCGGACCGAGTCAATAGGTTGGTTGATGGTCTGAGCCCGCAGCTGCGCAAATAGCTATTGGCTGCAATATTATTGACGGACAGCATAGAGCGGGCCTCAGACTCTGGCAAAGGTTGGTGGGAAGTACGAGGGGATCAAACGAGCGACAGAAAGACCAGTGTAAAAAAACGGCACTACTGAGGTCGGGCGAGCTGTTAACAAAGTCACGCAGGAAGCACTAGAGTTTAGACGCTATTAAGGACTTACCTGTCTTCGATGTTCTGGATGCTGAACCGTCAATCGATGAGCTAGACAAAGCCATCGACGCACTTTCCTGTAGGAAGGCGGCTGGTGAGGATGGAAAACCCCCAGAGGTCATCAAAAGTGGTAAGCAGGCCTTACTTGGCCCCCTTCACGAGCTTTTTTTGTATTTGCTAGAGAAAGGGCCAGGTACCGCAGGACATGCGTGGTGCCAAGATAATTACTCTATACAATAATAAAGGCGATCGCAGCAACTGCAACAACTACAGAGAGATATCAATGCTCAGCATTGTGGGCAAGGTCTTCGCCCGTGCGGGGCTCGGTCACCTACAAGCCCTTGCTGATCACGTTTATCCGGAATCCCAGTGTGGTTTCAGGGCCCAGAGTTCCAAAGCAGACATGGTTTTCTCCTTATGCCAATTGCAGGAGAAATATCGAGAGCAACAGAGGCCTTTGTACAATGCATTCATCGACCTGACAAAGGCTTTTGATCTTGTCAGCCGGAGAGGTCTGTTCTTGTTGCTGGGGAAGATAGGTTGCCCTCTCGTCTTCTTAACATCATCTCCTCCTTCCACGACGACATGCAACGCGTAGTCAGCTACGATGGCAATACCTCAGAGCCTTTTAGTATCAAAAGCGGAGTTAAGCAGGGCTGTATATTGGCCCCTACTCTCTTCGGCATCTTATTCTCATTGTTGTACAAATTTGCGTTTAGGGACTCCAACGAGAGCAACCATCTACATACCAGGAGCGATGGTAAACTTTTCAACTTGACTCGTTTGAGAGCAAGAACAAAGGTCCACACTGTCCTTATCAGAGAGTTGCTTTTTGCTGATGACGCAACTCTCTCTTCCTATATACTGAAGAGGATATTCAAAGAGGATCTTCTTCAGGGCTGCTTTGCCCACGCCTACAGAAAGTTCGGCCTGACTACCAGCATCTGGAAAACCAACGTCATGGGCCCGGACGTTTTAGCGCCCCCCTCTATTATCGTTGACGGTGAGCAACTCGAAGTCGCCGAGCATTTCACCTACTTGGGTTCCACTATCAGCAACAACCGTCCTTCGAAAGTGAGATTGACAGGAGGATTGCTAAAGCGGCAGGTGTGATGGCCAGACTGAACAAAAGGGTGTGGTCAAACAAGTGGGTGACGCTTCACACCAAGCTTAAAGTGTGCCAGGCGTGCGTCCTTAGTACCCTTCTGTACGGCAGCGAAATCTGGTCTACGTACGCATAACAGGAAAACCGCCTAGAGTGCGTCCACCTTCGCTGCTTTCGCCGCATCCTTAACATCACATGGGAAGACAGGGTAACAATACATCTGTTTGGAACAAGCCGGCACAATGAGCATGCATCTCCTCCTGTGCCAGCGCCGTTTGCTGTGTGGCTCGAGCACGTGCATCGCATGCAGGACGGTCGCATTCCTACGGACTTGCTCTACGGAGAACTAGCTACAGGCGCACCCCCGACCGGCCGCCCGACATTGTGTTTTAAAGATATCTGCAAGCGCAGCCTCGGAATTGCAAATATCGACCGCTCAAACCTGGGAGCGACTTGCCAACAACCGATGCGGTTGGCGACGGGCCGTTCTGCATGGAGTCCGGGTGCGAGGAGCTAGGTAATCGGAGGCTTGAAGACAAGCGTCGTCTTCGGAAAGCTAGACAGCAGGCACAAAACATCGTCGCATCATCTGACTTCATCTCCGCCAACTGCGGTCGTAACTGCCATGCCCAAATGGGCCTGGCGAGCGACTCGAAGCGCTGCCAGCAGTGAGTTGTGTGGTGACAGACGTGGCGCAACCATCAACTTTCGAGATGGATGCATGCCAATGATGATGATGGCCTTACCTAGTTTGATATTTATCTTTTGCCAAATCACTGTAGATTTCTCGTATTCTGGCAGCTACTTTTCACTTGCGAACATGGCTGAGTCAATTGGTTGGTTGTTTGTCTGGCCGATTTGATCGGTTGGTTACTGTTCTGGCAGACACCATAGGTTGGTTGAAAGGATTGCTGAGTTGATAGGTTGGTTGCTGATCTGGCAGAGCTTAGTCTGTTCTCATCCAAAGCCCATCAAAATAGAATATATATTAGGACGAGGATTGTTTTGTACTCATTGGAATACTTTGGTAACTTAGGTGTCCACTCCCTTCAAAAATCTGCATCTCATTAGTATACAATTTGGCTTCGCTCCTTCAATGCCTCCACGGAGGAGGTCTATATATTAAGAAACGCAGTGACAAGAGCGCAGAAATGCTCAAAGTTTTTTATCAGTTCCTCAGGAAATAGTTGCTTGTTCTTGACCGCAATGAGTTACGGTGTTGCAGACCTTCATTATGATCTGAGACTATCGTTGAGGCAGAATTCTCAACTTATGAGAAAGGCAAGGAAATCGAAGATCGTAGTCCAGAAGATCCATTCCCACACAGCGGTGCCATTCCGAGGACAAATTCTTGTGTTGAGACCAGGTACTAGTCTTGATTAATAACAGCACTCGGTACCATATCAACCCCCGCACAGAGCATCTTACATGATATACACTATACACTGTTAGAAAAATTACCGTTAACGGTATTACCGGCGTTTCAGTGGCCGGTCGGCACGTGAAAAGAAAAACGGGGCCGCCGTTTTTATTCTAATTTAACACTAGAAATCCGTAAAACATCTGATAAAAACGGCGAAACAGTTCATTTTCACGGGGCGACCGGCCACTAGAACGCCATTGGGACCGTTTTTTCATCGTTTTTTTTTCTAACAGTTTAGCTTCCTAAGATGAGTTCCCTCTTATTCACCTCGTTTCAACTATGGTGAAAGTTTTATGCTAGGTGCAGGTTATTAATCGCTCGTGCCGGTCTACGTGCAGGAAGAACGTGTTGGCGGCGTGCTTGGCGCTCATCACGCTCGCCACGCTCCTCATGGGCACGGCCACGCAGTACTGGCACCTCGTCGTGCTCAGGATGATGATTGGCGCGGGGTGAGCAAAAAAGGGCACGGGTGATTGGCGCGGGGTGAGCAAAAAAGGGCACGGGTGAGCAAAGAGAAGGGCGGGTTGAGCAAAGGGAATTGTGGGGTGAGCAAAGAGAGGGGCGGGTTGAGCAGAGGGAATTGTGGGTGAGCAACGAGAGGGGCGGGTTGAGCAGAGGGAGGCATGGGGTACGAGGAGGTTGCGGTGTGTACAGAGTTAAGAACGGGGCTGGTGGGTGAAGATGAAAGAGAAATTTTCTATAAGTAAGATGTGAAGGCAATGTGCAAGGACCGCAAAGAGGTTATAAAATGAATGAAAAAGCAATAGCTGGACGTTAATCGCCGTTTGCTTTGTATGGTATTAGTTGATTCAATGGGATAAAAGGGGTTGCATTCTGAGCTCGCTGTGAAGAGGAAGGCAATGTGCGTGAAGACTGAACTACAGCAGCTAGAGCAGAAGTGAAGGGTTAGAATTGGACAAATTTGTAATTTATTATTGAACTTTCATATTCGTTGATGTGTAGCCTCAAAGTTTTCTTCGTAACTTCGTGGTAATTTATATAACAAAGATTTCGGAGGCTAAATGTGCGACCAACTAAACGAACCGAAAAAAGTTTGTATATTTTTCAAAATAAAAGCAATATTGAATGATGATTAATGCTTACAAGTTTTTATTTTCTATGAAATTGCTATGAATGGTTTAAATATGAGTTAAGTACGCCTAGAAGTTGTTGACAAATTGTTTGCATTACAGAGAGTCATCGTTCGCTCCCTCAGCCAGTAGCATCATATCGGATTTGTTCACAGAGGTGACTAAGTTATGAAGAGATATAAGGAACACTCTGCGAGTTCGAATTCAAATTTTTGATAAGCTTCTTGAAATATTGTTTTATTCTATTCTATTTACAAATACGTCTGTTCTCTTTATTCTATGTTGCTTTATAAACCAGTTTATTATAAGCGTGCCATGATAGTTATTTTTTCAAATTTTAACAGTTATTAGTAACTAATTCGTGGAATCTCTTCTTGATTGTACAGTGTGATTCGCGGAAATTTCCTTTTTTGTATTTCGCGTTAATAGCCAGGTGTTGCAGGAATAGGGCGGAGAGTATTGCGCATGAAAGGCAACGTCATGAAGTTTTGTGTCCCACCTAGTCAGTTGCCACTATGCATTGGACAAGTGAGCAGCATGCGTTTGCTGTCGAGGCATACTTTTCTAATGGCCGTTCTATTATCACTACTCAACGAGCATTACATACTCGGTTCCGTATTCGTCCTTCAAGTATGCCCCATATTTCGCTCCTATTTCTTTAAGATAATCCCTTATTTTTTAAGGGATTATCTTAAATAAATACTTTACAATGACTGTCCAAGGACCCTACTTCATTTGAAGAATAACATACGCCTAGCATCGCCAACATATCCGGCAATTTGCTTCAGCGCGTTGAACAAAAATCGATTAACTGAATGCATTGACAATCGGGGCTGTCATTTGTTCGATATGATCTTAAAAAAATTGTACAAAAAGTCAGGTAATGTATTTTTTAATAAAGTTTAGATTGTAATAATATCTTTACAATTTCTTTCTATATTGAGATTTCGAATCAGGAAGTTTCAGTGAATCACCCTGTATATTCGCCTGTAATATTTTGATTGCACGAAGAGAAGTTGTCCCTTTATAAAGATCCTACTCGTGATGCCCCGCCTGAAATCTTCGTTGTAACAGAGCAGATTCGATGAAGGAGGCCAATCAATTCATTTGTAATTTTAGCATCTCAACTAATCAACTATCTGAATATAGCCACAATTGCCTTAAATGAATCTTAAATTAAATATTCTATCAAGAGAAATTTATAATATTATAAATTTTCATGCCTTTCGATGACAAAACGAGATCCTCAATCTTGCTTGCCAAGCAAAAAATTTCTCATTTTTAAAAAGAATAAGCAGCCGTGTTACAAAGCGGTGGTGCATTGTCAGTGTTGACAGTGTTATGACACAATGAGTGTTGTGACAGAGTGTGCGTGGGTTGGCATTGGGCATCTTCAATTGGGGCATCTACCTGGGCTACGGCCTCTCCTACATCATCGGCAACTACGTCACAGCCGCCGACATACTCGGCATGGTCAGTCCTGTGTAGAGAGCGAGCACAGATATCGCATATTAAATAGATCGTCATACTTGAAATACCAAGTGTACTGACGAATAGTTATTACAATAGCAATTACAATTGACAAAATTATCAACAAATGTAGGATAGATGGCATAAATGTAATTTAATTTTAATATATGTAATTAATTTCCAAATTTTATAATGAAAACGAACAAAAATAACGGATGTTAATTAGATATTACGGTAATTACAGCCAATTATTAGCTGACTGATACGATCAAAAATATAGACTAGACACTATAATACAATACATTTATTGTAATATAATAATACAATAAACCGAACTAAAAAGCGTCAATAGTTGCCAAGCATATATCGTATTTCTATAAATTAAATAACTTAGAAATCAAGTAGGGATAATGGTGACAAAAACTGCATTGGTTCTTTTTCTGGTGCCACAATAAAGGGAAAATGGAAACAGATTAAATGTGCTAATTCTATCACAAATTTCTCATAAGTATATCCTCATTTTATGGTAGCAAGATAAAATTGTGCAAGCATTCAGGAATATTTGAAAAATGCTACGATATAAGATTACACTGCTGAAAAATTAGAAAGGCCGCGACGTATTCACATTTAAACTGTACATTTGATGTTGAGTTATAATTAAATATATCCTTTGTTTCCCAACTCAGTAAGAACATTAGTAGGAATGAAATATTTATTTTGCGTTGCCTAATGTGGACACTTCCTAAAGTTTATAATCTAAGGAACCTGCTTCCGAAAGATAACCTGCTAATTATTTCTCATGTTCCGTTGCTAGGACAGGCATAATAATTACGATCGTCATGAACGTTTTAGCCGACATGATACTAACGGCCGTGACGGTTGTAGTACTAACGGTCGTGACGGTTGAAATACTAACGGCCGTGACGGTTGTAATACTAACGGCCGTGACGATTGTAATACTAACGGCCGTGACGGTTGCAATACTAACGGTCGTGACGGTTGTAATACTAACGGTCGTGACGGTTGTAATACTAACGGTCGTGACGGTTGTAATACTAACGGTCATGACGGTTGTAATACTAACGGCTGTGACGGTTGTAATACTAACGGCTGTGACGGTTGTAATGTTGTTGGTAGGGCTGGCGCTGGTCCTACTACATCTCAGGGATGCTGGGGGTGCTGGTGCTGGTGTACATGCTGGTGGTGCTGGAGGAACCTCCTCGGCTGGGGGGGCCTGATGATGACAAGCCTTCACCACACCCCGCACCACTCACCGACACCACATCCATTGATTCTGGTGTGGTGAACCAGGCGATACATAGACAAAAACCATGATATATATTTCGTCTTGAGTTTAATTTTGTATTTTTAATGTAACTATAGTCATCTATTTTTTCCTATCTCTCTTCTATTTCAATACTTTTTTGAATTGTTTGAAAGCACGTCAAAGCTCTTAGTCGGGTTATAATTTCACAGGTAGTTTCACAGCTACAAAATTGGGATCATATTAACCAATGTTGGAGCTAAAGATGACATTTTCTGGTCAAAAATTTCGTGCTCAAGCGAGCATTCTAGATTTGACTCGTTTTTAATTCGAACATTTTACCTAATTTTGCCGTTGACAAATGTAACACATCACAGACACGAGCTACGCCATGAGTGACATGCAGCTGCCACCACGCTCTCCCAGCGTCAAGGACCAGGCTGCTCAGACGAAGAGGCGCTCAGTCAGAGCAACTCTGAAGGCAGCGCTCAGCTCTGACTTTGTCTCTGCCATCATAAAGCCCTCGTACATCTTCCTCTGTCTTGCTGCCTCCATCCGCCATACAGGTTATATCATTACCATTTATTTCTCATTTACCATAGCATTTTCTCAATTATGGAAAAAGGCGCTATTGTGCTCGTCATGTCCGTCCGTCTGTCTGTCCGTCTGTCCGTCTGCCTGTCTGTCCGTCTGTCCGTGACTTCATGTTTTCGCCGACGAGAAAATGCGCTCTCTGTTACTCCCTGCAGTGAGTACTGAGTTGTATTTCTTCCTCTTATTCTTTTCATTGCTACGTGTGCGTAACTGCATTTTATTTCGTAGTTCGTATGTCGTTATTACATATCCACGTGTATTATGAATTCTACACTACTAATATATAGCTTATCTCTTTGACGTAGTTCGATATTTTCTGTACAGATACTATTTGAGTAAGGTTGGACGAAAAAATATATTTCAAGGCCATCTTTGACGTATTGTACTCGATGCACAACTAAAATTTATCTTTACTTCTAGAATAAACCTTACGTCCTGTTTGATTTATTTAATTTTTTATTTTACCCAGGAATTAGGTAAAAAATTAACGTTTTCTTTTTATATATAAATCTTAGCTGACGATTACAATTTTTAGCGCATTTTCTCATTTATGGAAAAAATGCACTATTGTGCTCGCCATGTCCGTCTTTCTGTCTGTCTGTCCGTCCGTGACCTCAAGTTTTCGTCGACGAGAAAATGCGCTCTCTGTCACTCACTGCAGTGGGTACTGAGTTATATTTTTTACAATTTTTACCTTTACATTTTTTTCACCCGCAGGAGGGTTCACCTGGGCATACAACACGCAGCTCTACTTCCAGACGTACTACCCTCACTTCAACGTAGGGGCGTGGGTGTCGTGGGTGAGCATCGTCGGGGGGACGGTGGGGGTGGCGGTGGGAGGCTTCGTGTCCGACAGACTCGTCAAGAAGCTGGGGGTTAAAGCCAGGCTCTACGTACTGGCCGCGAGCCAGGTGAACAAACATGCAATATCAGGGATAAATTATACAATGTTCTATCCTATCCAATTCTCCAATATAGCCAATGTATAAGAGGACTAGCCTAGAATGAGTAATATATATGTATATATTAATTGCACTTGTCCGGACTATGATTATTTTTGACCCAATGAACTAAGTAAAATTGCGAAAAAAAGTAAAAAGAACCTAACCTGGCTGGGCCCAACCTTAGTAGAAAAGTGTGCAGCAATGTAAAGAAGGGGTTTATACACACCTAACCCTAACTCTAACCCTAACCTAACGAGATTGGCGTTTTTTAGAATGTCCGGTAGTGTAGTTCATTTATTTTCGTGTATTCGGTTTTTAAGGATAGAATAACTTAAGAAACAAGTCATGTCGGAAAGAATATAAGTTGTAGTAGTAAATTCCCCAAGTCAGATTGATTTTAGAAGTCATTTGAATAAAATGAACTGCAGGTAGAACTAGAGTATTAATATAAAAAAGTCAGTTCTGACTTGGCTTGACGCGAAGGACAGTGAAAACGACCAAAAGCTGCTTCGTGAATGTGAATGTATGGCTTCTTGAATGCATGGTGTCGTGAGTGTATTACGCAATTTTTAATCAATATAGTGACTTGAAACCTGTAATGGGAAAGAATAGGCAATTGATAGAAATAAACTACAAGAGTGGAAGACATGTTTGATATTGTTCTAATAGCTTTGTGAGTGTATTACACAAATTTTAATCAATATAGTGACTTCTAAGCTGTAATGGGAAAGAATAGGTAATTAGGAAAAAAACTACAAGAGTGAAAGACATGTTTAATATTGTTCTATTATCGTCTGTTGGCCGTCGGCGCATGCGCAGTTCGCGGCGACGCCGTTCGCTGCCGGTGTGCTGTACCTCGCACCTCCTGCTGCCATGTACAGTCTGCTGTGTGCCTACTTCTTCGGTGGGTGACTCGTGCATTCATTTCTTGTACTGTCTTCGTCTCAAAAGTTTTTTATAGTTCTTTAGCACTTTTAAAAGGAATACAATAAAAATGGAAAGCCCGATATTATATTACGATTTCAATATTTTACTATGTAATGTTTATTGATGAATAATTTTTTTTGATCGTCAAGTAACATTTGAATAGTTTTCCAATGTATGAAATGAGCAACTATATCCGAACAATATTGAAATAAATAAACAAAAAATTAATAAAATTGTGTTCTATGGAACAATTAATAAATGGCTATTAAAATTCATATTTCATAATATCCAATTGAATCCATCATTGTACTAACAATTGCACCTCTTCGTGATGGTGGTAGCCGAGATGTGGTTCGGCATCCTATTTGCGGTGCTGCTGGACATCGTGCCTGGGACGGTTAAGGCGAGCTCGCTGGCTTTCTTCTTGTTCGTTATGAACAACATCGGGGGTAACGCTCCTGTACTGGTCGAGCCTCTACGTAATGCCTTCTCCTACAGGACTGCACTCTACATCATGTACCCTGGCTGCTTCCTACTCAGTGAGTTGACAGCTCATGTGCACTTCAAAATTATTACATACTCGCTATTACTTATTACATATTTAGACTCTCAGCTCGTCAGTCTATATAATGACATATATGAAACACATTAATTATGAATGGTTTTTCGTTTACACTAGTACAGTGCTTCTTTTTGTGAATATTTATCGCAATTTTTACTAATTATAACTTTAATATCCAATTCTAACCTCAACATTTTCGGTTTTCTCCGTCACGACGCGTGCGTTTGTTCAGGTAGCGGCGTGTTCCTGTTCACAAGCCTCTTCGTGCACGACAAAAAAGTCCATAAAGAATCCACCAGCGAGCTCAACCGTCAGTGAGGCGTACCTATGAGACGCTCTCAGCGTACCAATGAGACGTATCTTGCGTACCAAGGAGGCGCACTTCGAGTGTAAATGGAAGAATTAATCGACGATGATGAGGTAGCCCGCTACTTCGACAGTACTTAACGTAGACAAAAATTTAGCATATCAGGGTAATGTACCATAAACTTACAGGAGTATCTAGCCGTAATAAAAAAAACCCTCATACGCAAATATAATTTAATATACGCCTGTATGAGGACTGCAGCACCTACGATATAAATGTAAAACTTAATGTGACGACCGTAGAGTGTAAGCAACACGTTCTTCCTAAATGTTTTATACGTGTGGACCCTAAGACACCAATGATAACACATTGGTTGTGTCAATTTAGTCAATGTTTTTTAAGGTGCAACCCTTTACTTTATTTGGAATCGAAGTTTTTCATGAAAATGAAAAATGGACGCGTAAATTACGGTTGTATTTTGTTGTAAATACGTTTAACGTCATGAGACTGTATTTACGTCGTAACTTTTATCAAAGTAATGAACGAGTTGACAGTAAACATGAGAAAATCACTGATGTATTTTCGGTTTCATGTTGATTCATAGTATGTATCTACGTAATGAATGAAAGTTGGAATAGCTGAGCTCTTTAGTTATTTGTAAGTTTTTACTCTATTTTATTAGGTAATTAAGTGGCATCATAGATGCGTCTAGCATGTAAAATATTTTCTTAAGATTCTGTGATGTACAAACCTATAAAGGAATACTATGTTTAGTGTGTTTTAGCCTGTGTTTAATAATTTGATGCGTGTTTATCATGGTAGTTAAATACTAAATTTTCACAGGCACGTCCGAGACGCGAGTGTGTGAAAATCTTATAAACCGATAATAGATTTTATTCATGTTATTTCTTTATTTCTGGATACTATCACCAAGAATTTCATTTTCTACTGGCATACCCGCATAATATTTCTCACTTTTATCAATATATGCATCAATAAAAAGCCTCTCGAGTAGTTCCTTCTCAGACTTCGACTATCTCAAGCTAGACGTTCACCGTCGCAGTTGATAAATACAGCAACCGTTCTGAGAAGTCCCTCTACGGGGACGAGATCGCAATTGTTTTCTTGCTCTTCACCGGAGTCGAATCCAGCAAACAAACATTAAATTATTGTAGTTGGCGAGGGATTAGCTAAGATAACGCTTTCAGGGAAGGCTACTTTCGCCCATGTTAGCTAGATCAAACTTAATGATAGGCCATGAGAAAGGAAGAATTTGTTAATTTGTTACTAGCACCTCTACTGCTGCACGAGCACAACGCTAATCAGTAGGAGTTGATACCCGTCTCGCCGACAGACAGGTACTCATTTCTTGACCTTAACAAATATTATTTAGGGAATATCAAGGTGCGTGCGTTCAACATCTTTCGACTCGTGTCAGGCTAGTTCAAACCCATTGAAACAATGAGGTACGGTAGTCGTCTGCGATGAGTAGCATTCAAAGCGTCTGCCTGCAACCGCTGACATGCGCGTCTGAACACGCGAGTTGCGTCAAACTGTCGTGATTCGATCTACCAGGGCCATAACGACATAAGGTTCTAGACGTCTTAGCCTATGACACGCCTTCCCTCAACGGCATGGGCAGAGCGGAGAGATGGGTTTGCAAGCGCTTCAATCGGGTCGATCCTTCAAGATCTTAGCCATCTGCTACATAGCAACAGATCGAAACTTCAAATGGTCACTAAATTAGGGAAGAATCTTGAGAATAAAAATATCAGGATTAATGTTACATGTACGGGAGCGATCACTGTATGTAGTATATACAAAAGAGATGCGAACCGAGTTTCGAGATAAAAATTAAATTAATATCTTTGAACCAAATTAACTTGACATCGAAAACGCGAGTCTAGCATGCTGATGCTCGACGCGAAAAATAACAGACAGCAGGAGTTTCAGGAGTTTATTAACAAGTGCAGAGAATTAATCACTTTGGTTTCATGATCACGAATCACACAGCAAGACATCGACTTACTTTATACAACAAACTTATAGAAGGCGTCACCACATCAGAGATGAGCACCCCGCAGCACGGCCCACGCGGCATTATGAAATAAAAACCCTCAGTTTGACGCTAAACAATTTGTTAAAATGACTCTTCGATTGCAGCCATTTATTACATGCAAGTGATGGTCAGGCGTGCGACTGACTTCACTGAGAAATCGGGGCTCAAGTGCGCGTGCAGAGCAATAATAATACAAAATATTTTCAATAATTTCATAAAATGCTAATTGTCAATACTTGGTGATTATCGAGTACATTCTGTCACTTAGTGAGAGAAGTATAATTTAGTAAAATACTGAGCATATCTATGATTTTAATGTTTCTAGACAGATACAAGTAAAACTTACTTCTGGCGAAACAACGCCCGATAGAAAATATCCAGAGAAGTCGATTGCTTAATCGACCTCAAAAGGAACTTCTACAGAAGCCTAAAAATCTTAATGATAGACCATCTGGAAAGCTCGAACTAGGATAATGCGGCTTCAGCCACAAGATTTGAGACGCCAAAAAGTTGTGGTCACTTTACTACACTTCAGACACGGGACGATCGGACCTATTGTAAACCACACAGTCACCGGACACAACAGGGCTCAAATAAGGCAAAAAGAAAAACAGAGTGAGAAAGTTTTCTATGATAAGGCTCTGTCAAAACTCCATGCCATCAATAAGTAATAAAGCCTCCAAGACGCGATTGAATTACCTTCTGTACAAGCTGGTTTTTTGAACAGCATCTCGAAGTTCCCCACAACGGCAACCTTAGGCACATAGTGACTGGCATAATAACAGAACAAACAAGTAAAGCATTTTCATCAAATTTAAAGGTTGTCTCGAGTACAACGATCTCGGGCTTACATCTCTAAATGGTTACACGTAACTTCACACGTAAGGTACAGGGCCCATACATTTACGGGGTGGTATGTTTTCCACATATGGGCAGAACAGTAGGATGTATCGTAGATGATACAACCGTAGAAATAAATAGGAAATGACTAGTAAGATACAGAAGATAATGATATGAACTCGTCTGATTTGTCACGAGTCTCGAGGGTTTAAATAAAAGCTTAGGAAAAGTAAGCCAGGATGTACATGCAGGCAGAGAAGAGAATAAAATTCATGGTACTAAAATACAAGTCAGAGATCTGGTACCAACAGGAGCCGCTAGTGTCTATATAAAGTAGATACTCCACCTCATATCCCATGAATATTCCAATGAATCCCTTCCACTGTAAAAAGAAAACAATCGCAGTTAGACTCGGTGCGCCGATCGCGCTCAAATTAAAGTTTACAATGAACATTCTGAAAGAGTTATGAAGAAAAATTTAAAATAACTTGAACTACCAAGTGTATTGACGAATAGTTATTACAATAGCAATGACAATTGCCGAACTATAGCTTACACAAACATGGAACCCTGAAAAATCCACATAATTTTATTTTTTCCAGAAACGAATTTATAACGAGACAAATAAGAACCAACTTGGCAAAAGACATTTAATATTTGTTATAAAAGTAGGTAGTAACGAGTGCGTAGAAAGTAAAAAAAACAGTATATGCTAATTATGTGAAGACTCGGTAATATTGTTAATGTAATACGCAAGCCGCTTCATTCCAGTCAACCCTGCTAAGAAATAATAATATACTAAGCCAGAGGCGACATCGAAAATTGGAATACAGCTCAGCGATGAAAACATGCGCATGAATAATACAGACGAGGAAATTCATCGAGAAATTTTTCGTGGAAAGTAAAAGAATATCATATTAAAATAAGGATGGAATGATATGATGGCAGTGAAGCAGTTCGGACCCATTCAACAGACATCTAGTTCACTAAGCGGATATACCGTAGTATCGGTACTACGAGACACTATCTAGAGCATCAGCTTCGACATCTCATGGCCAGCCATCATCCAGTTGTCATTATTATCCACACTTCGATTTTCAATGATGAAATATACGAGTTTACCGACACAAAAAGCAGATATGCTATTCACATAAAAAAAACAGAAGCACTGTTTTCTTCAGCAGAAAAGCATTTCAATGAACTACAAATATGTGCACCCATTTTACAATTCCTATAAAAACTCATTACAACCTTCATCTTCTTACAACACCTAGCATCCCCATCAGGGCCCTGCAATATAAAAATTCAACTAAACGTAATGTACAAAATAAAATATGAATCAAAATGCAAGGGAATTATCACGCGACGGAATTGGACAAGGAAATGTTCCCTCAGACCGCCAGGAGAGTGCGGATGTGTTTAGGCGTCGAGTCGTCGTTGAGGTGCTTCGTGGTGTACCTGAAAATATCATCAACATTAGTGACGCTCATGGAAAAAGTGATCGTAGACGGGTAGATCATTCGGAGATGTTTAGCAGCGCAACCATGAAAACTGACTTCTTGTGCACCTCTTTTAACACTGAAAGCAGCCATATCTCTCAGCGTAACACCAGAAACAGTATACGGTAATATTCCATTAAATTACAGTTGAATAGTTTTCCTCTATTTGTCCATACTCAATTTCCCAGTAAACAGTATGCTGGTCTTGGTGATAATATATTGTATACATTGTAAATATTCAACAACTAATTTGACTTGTCAAAGAATCGATTAACATTTTGTCCACTGCCAACTATTATAATTTTTATGTAGATTAAAGCGAACTGAAAATGTTTGAAAACTTGAAATTTATCAAGAACCGACATTGCATTGAGTCTCATTCAGAACCTTGTCTTAAGGCATAAGTAATTCAATGACCAAGACTGCAACACGTTCTGCCTAATTAAATAAAGAACCGCAATTGTTAGGACTCCTTACTTCAAACGTCTCCATCCAAGAGGCATTATAACTTTCATCGAGTAATGAATGGAAGTAATTAATATTGTAATATCACTATCTAATAATTATTACTCTTAGTGTTGACTCCCTAATTATTTCACCTGATATAGCATACCTATGGACAATAATAAGAATCAGGACTCAGAGACAATTCAAATAGTTTATCTTATCTAATAGGTAATAAATTAATAAACGGATGTCATGAAAAAGACATGAGCCTGAATTAATTAAACCAGACAATTTCAAGAACCCGATAACTTTATACACCATACCTGAGAGCGTTAAGCAAGTTTTCTGAACTGGACGCGGGCTGCTCCTTGAGAACTTTGATGCATCCCTTGACGTCGACATGGCTGGTCTTGGCAAAGGCCCCCACAGGATGCACGTGGTCGTAGAGGATCACAAGAGCCACCATCACGCGCAGGATGAAGAGCTGCGTCTCTTCGTGCTTGAAGCGCGCGATCAGGTCCGGGTTCTCGAGCATCTTCTGGCACACCTTCGCCATCGTGCCCAGGGTCTCTGTCGTCTGCTCCAGGGGGATTTCTTTATGCTATTGAAAAAAATCATGAATTAATAAAGGCAACAAATGCATTTAACTCAGACAAATAGCCCAAACATTTGTTCAAAGACAAAAAAAAAACACCCCCAATTACCTTACATTAGAACTAAGTTACGTAGAGAAATGAAAGTTAGTGGACAAAAGATCAAGGGAGTAAACAACTGCTCTCATATGGTTCCTGGCGCGCAGCAAAAAAAGACAAAGAGTTATCATGTCAAGTGGAGCATTTATTAAGGGCGCTTCATTACGCATTCCGAAAGCGCAGGATAAAAATAAATTAACAGTTACGCAGAATCGAGGGATGATTCTTAGAGAGAAGGCAAAATTGAGGGCACGTAAGTGGAGAGAGTACAGGATTGACCGAGGTTTATAGAAAGAAAGGGCCGTATAGATTATTGGTCGTTAAAGGGACCGCGCGAGTAACTTCAAATTACAGAAAATTTACAGAAAGGTTCCAGCGAATCATGTGTAGGTTAATAGAGTGTTCGAGAATAATTTAAAGAAATATAGGAAATATGAAAGGTAAAGAGTAAAGAAGCCAAGAAGAGCGGGAGGTCATTAGACAGAGCACACGACTAACGGCAAGCGACTAGAAAAAGCCCAAGATAAATTGTAGGTTATCAAGTGCACATGAAATGAGCCGAGAAAGTAGATATGAAGTACCCAGCTTCCATCAGAAAAAAACATTAACTTCGTAGAGGGAGCAATCAACCACAATGTTTGTGGGGAGGAAAGCCAGACGAACCTCTGCTACAAATTTGGATGTGGCTTCGCTGATGACGCGCAGCATTGGCGTGGGGTAGGCGTAGAAGAGGCTCATCTTGTTGGCGGTCTGATGGTCGAGTTTTGAGATGTCCTCTTCAGAGTCACCATTACAGCCCAGGTCCTGGGGGGTGGTGTGGTCCAGACGCGTGCGCATCATCGTTCGTCTGTAGTAGCTAAAGTCGTTCTGGATAGCAGGTGTCGTCATCTGCCAATAAGAGGATTAATTAATCTTGACGATATCACTTGATTAAGAATACGCCAACAGTATTAGAAGCTATGTAGATAATGTACGTATTTAACGTGCATTATTATATTTAACGTGCATTATTAACAGAATATGCCAGCACTATTAAAAGGTATGGAAATATTGTATTCAACGAAGAATTTGCTTCGTATGAGAGAGCTTTAGGAGCACAAATTGGAATGAATAACGGTTGAAAAGACTTGCTTTAAGCTCGTCGAACTTGAGCGTGAACTCGAGAATATCGGCGAGTTGCTTGACGAGCGCCTGCTGCGTTTCGAGGTGTTGGACGGGAGGTATGGATGGAGAGCACAGCTCCAGCAGCACACGGGGCAGAATCTCCTCTGCACATGTGAAAATAAAATTTAAAAACAAAGAAAATTCCACATAAATTCATGTCTTTATAGCAAATGTGAAATTAAAATTTATAAACAAAAAAAAAAATCTGCAGAAATTCATGTCTTTATAGAATACGTGAAACGAATTTGTAGAAACCAGCGACAATTAAGTATAAATCAATGGTAGAAGTTAATTCAAGTAAATTCAGTCGAGACACCGGGCACTAGATACATGCATGTAGAATTTAATGATACGCTAAGATAGAAGGGCTCGTTGCTAGTTTAAAAAAAATAGGTTTGTCGAAATTCACCGCTGGCTTGGCCCTGAAGCGCCAAGAACTTTTAGAATTATTTGAATATAAAGTTTCTCGTATAAAATTATAGAAGCCCTCCAAGCGCGAAAATTTCTAATTACTACATACTGAAAGAATGTACATATTCGTGGACATGCATAACAGTTATATCAGAATGTATGTTCGTTTCCACGGAAATAACCCAGTAAATTCGTATTGAATAATAATGAGCCTTCCAGTCATTTCACGCAAGAAATAAGGAATATTGAAAGAAACGAGAATTTAATACGACAGGGAGATTGTGCTTACGTGGAGGATAGAAAAATCATGACTCACCGAGCTGGTGGGAGAACTGGTAGAAGTCGAAAAGTTTTTGAACTAAAGGTATGACGACCTCCCACGCCCGCCTCTGGCACTCTCCGCCGGAATCACTGATTGCCTGTACAGGCAATATTATCATCATAAATGATTGGGGAAATTAAGGGGGTTCGGAGATATAAAGGAACAACGAGGCATGTGGCTGAATAACTTGCGTACGTATCAAGGAAGGTGGAATTAAGAAAAATTAGCATTCACTGTGCAGTTGGTATAATGACATTAGTATAGATTTGCAGCAGAACTAGTAACACTGCGCTACTCGTTCTTAACAACTTGTACGACGTAATCTATACTACGTCAGTCTGTGTCTCGGCTTGTATCTTCTTGCTCATTTGAATAAACTACGAACTACTCTTTAATTCTTCAACTACTCTACTCTTCAATTCCAACCCCTACGGAATTAACATTCACCTAATTGAGATCTGAATTATGTTCTTTCATTGCATGTATCGATACATTGCAGTTGGGCGGTATGTGAATTTATATTGGTACGGTACCGTGGGTTCGACATTTTCCCGAATGAGTTATTACAAGTTCTTCACCTAGAGATCACATTTCTACATGGACAAAAAAGATAAAACGAGCAAAAAATACGATTTATCGCTTTTGTATAAGAGCAGCGTTTGCACGATACGGGAATTGTAGATGCACGGGAACATCACAATAGCCGTTTCTTGCAGAGGTTCAGCTTGTACGATCCGTTTGCGTCGTCGATAAATTTTGCTGATACCTTGCTGTCGATGTCTCGATACAGTTTCTTCCTCGGTATACCGGCGTTAAACCATCGTGCTGGAACACGGAGAGACTATGCCCGGCAGCGATACGTTACTGAAGTTGAACCGAACACTCGTACCTGCGATGAGAACTACAAAATACTTCGTAACACGCAATATGCTGTTTACGTCGTAGTCGCGTCCGTCATTCGGTGCGTTTAACTTTATTAAGGCGATTTGTCAGGGTTTACTCATTAGTAGCGAAAGTTTACACTTTCACTCTCACTTGTTCTACTACTGTCTTAAATGTGACACGTCCGCTACTCAACCGAGCCGTGGACTGCTCGCTCTAACGAAGCTCCGTCAAATGACCGGACTCGCTAAGCCAACACTTTTTATGTGAGCTTCTCAGACTCCAACCGCATACACGCGACGCTTCGTCTCGCTAAATCCTAAGTTGGGAAATTTAAAACTGGTTTACTTATTTCTTCCGAAAGTTCCATTTTGCATACCTAATCACGCAACCAATTCACAATAGGAGTATGAATAACATGGTGGAGCAAATTAATATACATCAGTGTTGGTATATCAAACCATTATATTGGTCGCAGATGCTTTCAGGTCTCAGAGCAAGAACATGAATATTGGTTGAATAAAAGTAAATGTTGGTGAGAATAAGTTATAAATTAAACTTTCCCAATTTTCATATAATTTCTCACGCTGGTAGCCTGGTACATACAAGAGCCACATGGATACATTGAAACTCGAGTCGTCATGTTATTTGATAACAGGAGGTTAATTTCCAAACATTTATTTAAAAATCCCTTCACAATATCATCTCAGTTTGAACGAAGCAAATTCATCGTCATATAACCAAATTGGTACGTTAATTGAAATTGTGACTAAGTCGTTGGCTCGGGTAGATCTTTTGATACTTGGTGAGTTCGGTGAAGGCCTGAACTTTGGCCTGTTCATCCGCCGTAGCGCGTTCAGGCTGTTGGGACTTATGCTTATTTGATTGTAGTTGGCGTAGCCTAGAAGGGTTCTTGGTCGTTCAAAGGACGACGCAATAATTGTCATTGTTTTTGCGCTAACGGATCCATTAAGCACTGGCTACTCACTTCTCTGATTTCTTTGGCGGCGCCCTTGTACTGCTGTAGATTTTTGAGGATGTCTCCTGAAGTCTCGAGCACCTGGCTTACCGCCAGGAACAGCGGCTCTTCGCTCTCCGACGGCACCGCATCTGCACAAAAAGTCATACCACTGAAGCGGGAGGAAATATGCCTGCAGGATTGAATATAAATTTACAATATCAATTCATCTTGTTTGTCTGGTGAATATAATGATGATCTGCTTTGTTTGCAAAGAAAAGTTCGGATTTTTGATACAACAATGAATTTTAATGTAAATGAAATAAACATTTACATCAAGCATTGAAGTAGAATTGGATTTGTACGAAGGCAAAATAATACTGATATAAAGTTACTGTTGAAGGTACGGAAAGTTGCATGGTTGATGGAATAGAAAGCAGCATGATAGATAAAAAGGAAGATTTCAGTAATAAAGAAATCAATGCATGAAACCATCATTTGAAATAGCCACTAACATGTTAGTCACAATGTAAATATACAAGTTACGTGGTAGAGTAACTAGAACTTCGAACTGTCGACAAGTTGGAAAGTTGCGTGACCAAAAAAATTCAACATTGCGTAGTTAATGAGCAGAAATTGAAATCCGGGGCAAACAGAAATTTATTTTGCTGATGAGACAGATCAAAACATTGTTGACTATATTGCAAGATTCCATTATAAAAAAGAAAAAGTACCTATAGTGACTGAAGCTAAACAGTGGATGAAACGTAAACGAGGAAAATTTATTTTTTCTTATTCTTGCATGCCTTAAATACAATTACCAAAAACGTACAAATGCTAGCACGCAAGCATAAATATTTCATCAGTTTTAATGAAAAATAGATCTAAACCAATTGGTACATTTAAAATTGAGAACGTCGGAATGCGTCGCAGCCAAAAGTTGTAAAAATAAATGCAGCCAAAAAGTTGAACAAATTTTCATCGTGCAAACTCGTATTTTTAGTGAAAAAATTACTATAATACTTCATTAATGGAATATTAATTATAATAAAGTAGCTTGTCATTCGATTGTACACCAAAAAGTGGCAGATATCGGACGCAGTCCACGTGGGCAACGCGTGTGCCCAGACGCAGCATAGCAGCAAGGCTAGAGGCGTCAATTGACGCTCGTAATGAAGGGTGATAGACCAACTCTAACTCGAGCATTTGAGTGTAGTCGGTAACGGGAGTTGTGATGCTACTTTAAACGCACTGTAAACAGGAGAAAGCAAGGGAGAGCGAGTGCGGTCAAAAGCAACGACATACATGAACGCTCCAGTTCAGATGGTCGTATAGAGCTTGAGAAAATCAGCAGTACCGAGACGGCAGTGAGCATTGATTTTCAACTCACAAGCCGTGTTAATACCGTGAAAAATCGGATAGTTATTTACCTGAAGCTTTATAGATAAGCTATTTGCGATATTAGAATGTTGCACAGCGCCGAAAATAAAGGAACTCTTCAATGGAACCCGTACTTTCGAAAACTTTTTTTTTGTTAATTCAAAGAGAGAACAATTCAAATTCATTTGAAATTTTCAAGACTAACACTCACGACGCAGTTAATACAGAATGAAGGAGGCATTTTTGGCCGTAGTATAATACTCGTAGTTACGAAGTTACCAATCACCTTCATCACAAACTAGGAATACCTTAAAGAATGATAAAATCAATCAGCATTAATTTCTCAAATTAAAATCATCACCTTCATCGCCAAATCAGAGGCAATTGAAATAGCGAACGCGCTGGAGCTGGCAAAATAAAGTCGTTAGCATCTCAGAGACTAAAACGGAGAAGTTATAGGCGGGCAGTAACAGCAAAACACTTGTAGGAGAGATCACTTCCACGAGACATTGACTGTCTGCACGACGAGACATTCGATCTAGTTCTAGTGCAAGGGCATCCTACGAGGATTAGCCAAGTTTCTACGTAAAAAATTTCCTTCACAATTGATACAAAGCAACCCATGCTGAAAATTTTGTTGTAATCGCTCTGCAAAAATGACCTTAGAAACGCGTTTTCACGTAAGTATAGGGTTAAAAGTAGAATTGCTAAAAAACAGCAAAACGATAATATCTCAAACATATACTCAAGAGAAGGAACTCACGCATTTTTCGTCATTTCTTACATAATTAACCGTGATATAACTAACGTTGGTCGGTTACTGGCGGCCACCATTTCCAAAATTAACGTTTCAAGATGAACAAGAGATATGCAGCATTGGGGCAGTTGAACTACAGTGATAACAGTGATATTCGCTTATGAAGGTCAGGTAAAAAGACAGAAGAAAGTTATCTTATGTCTACCGCGCCTACACGTAAGATTTCTTAAAGAGCGTGTTTAGCTGACGTCACTTTTAGTTTATTACAACTGTATTCACGTGTTTTAGGCTATATGGACCAATAGTTAAATGGTTTTTCGTTAAAACAAATGGATATTGCCACATGGACCTAACCAGAGTTTATGATTATCAAATTAGCGGTTAATTTTTTTTTCTTTCAACGAGAACAGTTCGTCATTAAGTTGATCGTTTAAATTGCGAATGACGTAGAAATCTAAAAAAGCACGACCAAAACGCCAGCGGAAAGGTTCCACATGAGTCAGTGTGAAAGGTTTCATCGAAATACAGCCGCAAGACTAGAACGAAAAGCGGAACTGTTCGGCTGGTTATTGCCAGCAAAGTATTTCCAACTGCTAACGAATATAAGTAACGAGTTCAATTTCTTAATCCCTCACCTGCACGTTTGGAAAGTTTTGTTTTTACTTCAATCGTTGCGGCACGTCTCATTTCATGTCCCTTGTAACTTCATAATGGGAAAATGTTTTCATAATCATGCGCTTCCTGTTCATCTTTCGTCTCGTTGAAATGATTTACTTCGATAAAATGGATCCAAGTCGTGAATGTTTTATTAATGAACTATGCTCACACAACGCAAACATTTCTCTCGGGATGTCGAGAATTCGAGGAAATGAGTCTCACACACGTCAGGAGCAGCCAGGAGAGGACGAGTCAGGCTTCCCCTGATAAGATTCATCGTCATTCATTAATGAGACCAAAATCAATTTGCCGGGGCAGATAGCAGTTTCCTTTCACACGAAGCGCCCATCGGCGGCCGCTTCAAGTAAATGAAACAGATTGCATGGCTTTTTAGGTATTCTTTTCTTAAACGAAATATAGTTATTGATATAAGTTTTCTAAAAAAATAGCATCGTCTTTGAATGAATGCCAGTTGCAAGCAAATGTTATTCCTATCGCGATAAATTTTCTAAATTCTCTAAGCTAAGCAATATTGTTCAGGCCCGCTTCTTTTTCACTCTACGGACCCAATGATCTTGAGCCATAGGGGTGAAACTTTAAAACCATTGAGCGACCTCTAAATATGAACCGATTTGAAAGATACTTTAGGGATATTATTTATGCATCTATAACGAACCGGTTTTTTGAGTTAGGAACTCATTGAAAAAATTTTTTTTAAGACCACCGACCACCTTACTAAGGCCAATTACATGGAATAACGGGCCAATTTATTTAAATGCACATAATGGGGAGTTATGATTTTCTAATTTAAGAAATTATCTTTAAACAACAACTTCTTAATTTACAATTTATCAAACAATTTATTCTACCAATAAGAAGGGGTTATTCAACTCCTTAATAAATCGACGCGACACTAATCAAAATAAAATTAGCGTGCAGCTGAAGTTTTTTAGCTGCTATATATATTTCTAGTTTACCATTCCTGGCATTATAAAAGACGCTTGATGACGTCGGCCCTGACGTCATCATTATCACGCTACGTTGAGCTGTTCTTAGAGCGACAATTGCGCAACATTATAGGAAGACAATCTTTCACGACGCTGCCTTGATTGACCCACCTAAAAACGCACGGCCAAGTTGAAAAAATTTACCTTAATCCATTCAGAATCCGTTTTCAGAATAATTTTTTACGACATACGTGAGAAGAATTGGCATTACTTTTCTTGGAAACTATTAGGTTAAATTGAAAACGTCGTTATTTCTATCTGAAGAACCTGATGGCATGAATGAAACGAATAACAATTGCTTTCGCGGAATCCGATAGCATGAATGGAGCGCGTAGAAATTACTTTCTGAGGAACCGAAAGGCATGAATGTAACACGTACTTATTACATCTGTGTAACCTAATGTCATACAAGCAAGACATTGTCATCACTTTCTACATAGGCTCATTTCGAAGCCGCAACCGTAGAGGCAGGCAAGCTCACCCAGCCCCGAAGTCAGCACAGCGGCGTGAAAAAGAGTATCGCATCCGGATGACAATATTGGAGGTCACAGGAAAAGCCAGTTACTTGCAGCATCGGGTAAGCGACACCAGAGCAAAGGATGCGCTATATATTGATTTTTATAAAAAAAAATATTGACATGCTAAAAATATTATTTTAAGTTAAATAACTGAGCGTATCATCAAGCTATACTGTCGTTAATAGGTCGATGTACTCAAAAGCACAAAATCTATTAATTAATAACACACCAAGTAAGCGTGTTTTGACCGTGCACTGTTACAGACATGAGGTTCAAAATTGCAAGATACTACCAAGAAACTGTCAGTATTGAGGTGAACTTGGGTGGAGGCCAATAACAATAAAGAAATATACGTCGCCAGCAAACTGTGAGGAATGACGCATGGAGGCCGTTATACGAAGCAGTGAAGCGGCATGGGGTCCAGATCGATATTACCAAGCCCGCACGGACGCTGAACCTAGCACGCTATACGATCGCTAACGGGAATACGAGTAACCTCAAAGAGAAGACTCTCGGAACAATAAAAACTTCTTTTCATGCGTCGACGGAGAATGATATTCCTATCGCGCAAGGTTACATTCAAGAGGTAATACTTGGTATTATTAATACCAAGTTAATTAATTAATTATTATTAGCATTAATTACTAGTGATAAGACTACGGTATTGCTAAAATCGTTATGGGCATAATCGTTTATTTATGGAGTTACTCGTATCGAAAGTTCGAAACACAATTAAAACCGTCACTTTTCCAAAACTGTTCAAAAGGGTTCATCAATGAAGATATTCTTGCGTTTGATGTTCGGTTTAGCGTTAAATAATGCGTACTAATTCAGCCTCCTTTAAGAGTATAGGGAAAATTCATTCGATATGTATTTCCTGTTTTACGAGTAGAGCTTCAATGGCCACATTTTGTGTTGAACAAAGGCACCAAGAAACTTTTACGGTGATTGTTCGACTCCTAATAAAAAATAAGAAAACCTAAGTCGCTTGCCGCAAATGAAAATGGACTCGTCACGAGGTGCAACAGTAACAGCACTAAAAATTACCCAACAAGAAGAAGCTTCTTAAAACTGAAAACACAGGAACTGAAAGGTGAAGGAAACTATGGAGAATAAGAACAGCTAAGAAGCACAGCGATGCTCAATACATTACCAATACCAATGCATTACCGATACCAATACATTACGATACCAATGCATTACCAATACCAATGCATTACCGATACCAATGCATTACCGATACCAATACATTACGATACCAATGCATTACCAATACCAATGCATTACCGATACCAATGCATTACCGATACCAATACATTACGATACCAATGCATTACCAATACCAATGCATTACCGATACCAATGCATTACCGACAATAATGCAATATCGACACTCGTGCATTACCGTCCATAACACTTGAAAAGTATTAGTTTTTTTAATGCAGTATTTTCTTGGTATTGGAAGAGTAATGCGATAACAAAAATAGAAAGTAACTCAAGCTGTAATATTTTTTTGTAAAATTTATCTCGACAAATACTAGTGCAAAAAAATGTTTTCATCAGTCAAGCATCAAATACCTCGACATTTGCAGTTGTAGCATTGTAAGTGCATAAAAAATACAACAGCAACGCCATGACATAAATCGGTACCGGTTACACAGGGCAGGTGATTCACGGAAACTTCCTGTTTTGTACTTCGCGCCAAGCGGCCAGATGCTGTAGGAAAACGGCGAGGAGTATTTCCAATGAAAGGCAAGGTCGTGAAGTCTTGTGTCCCACCTAGTCAGATGCAAAAGTCAATTGTTTACAATGACTGTCCAAGGACCCTACCTCATTCGAAGAACAACATACGCCAAGCCATCGTCAACATACCCGAAAATGTGCTTCAGCGAGTTGAACGGAACTTCAAAAATCGACTAACGGACTAACTGAATGCATTGACAATGGGGACGTCATTTGTCCGATGTCATCTTTAAGTTAAAACAAGAAAGTTATAAAAAATTCAGGTCTTTCTCAAAAAATTATGTGGTAATGATATATATACTAGTTAATTTTTATTAGGCTTTCAATTCAGGAAGTTTCCGTGAATCACCTGCGTTTTAGAATTGGCATTTACTAGTCTAGTATTTTAATCATGTCTATATTGCTGAAAATATGTCTCACTATAGGAATATTTTGATTCTGTGGTAAGTTTTTACACAACATTCAATCATCACGTGACCACAATCGACGTTTGTGCTATTAAACAAATATAAACTCTGTATAAACCGAGTCATATTACTAGGATATGAAGTCTGAAAGTGGGCAAAAACCTGTACCACACAAAACTCACTCTCAAAGTCGAGAAAGAAGTCGAACTTGTTATGGGAGCAGCAGCTGTTGTCCTCTCGGGAGAGCAGTCGGAGAAGGTTACCCATTACCTCTGCTAGCCTGCAACAAAAATTGTTACGACTTGAATTTCATGAAGCTAAAACGAGACATGGAGACATAACCAATTATAAAGTAAGACGATGCTGGAGAAAATTCTTGTCTCACTGCAGAGGAGACAATGCACAGTTGCATGAAAGACATAACTTCATAAGCAGAATCATAGCATTTATCAAGAGAACATGAAATTTTGAGTGGTAACAGGAGAATTTCATTAACATGATTTCAAAATTTGAAAATAATTGTCCACGATGTAAATTCCAAATGAAGCTCAAAATCATGCTGCTGCTCCCTGATGCAGTATTTTTAAATTAAGAATGGCAATCAAACGACAAGAAAACCAAAGAATATTCCTTAATTATTTTTTTTCATTATTAGGCGCATTTTTTAGCCGTTAAGTACCAACGTATGCTCGATAGTTTCGTAAGCGTACAGAAGAATGGCAGCGAAGCAAGAATGTGTTGGTGCAGATAAGGCAGCAGATAGCACGGAAATCTTTCTACTATCATGCCTGCCCTCATATGTGACACCATTAGCATGTGTCCTAACCAACACTGTAGACTTGCAACACTTTGCATACATTGTACGTCGACGGCAACGTTTCTTAATCCCTCTGTACAAGACGGAAATCCTATTTACCTGGATCCTCGATGCGAATAACACTGAGAACAATTAGGTTAGTGTATCCATAGATGATGGTCGAAATCGATTGCCAGGGTAGGTTTAAATTTGATCAGCACCGAAAAGAAACTGGATAATGCGTCAGCGTCGAGGCACAGACTTTTTAATGCTAAATGTTTCGTACCTGAAGTGTTGTGGGGTTGGTAGTGATATAAGCAAAGAAGGCAATTCACGAGGAGTGGAAGGATTGTTGAATGATTCTGGCTTGATCTTCAACAAGCGTGTAAGAGGTTATGTATATCCACAGTACTGCTCGAGTTCGTGGTAACAACTGAGTGTGCACAGAACCGCAGGTGCAGTAGGCACGCACTTTAGTGCAATAATGTGGTTTCCAGACACGGAAGTTTATAGGAGCGAGTTAAAAGTTTAGCGGCTTTAAAGCAGTCGTCTAAAGCTAAGTTTGGTAGCGCAACGTCGGAACAGGCGAGGCACGAGACCTAAATACTACACACTGCGTATGCATTCAATCGATGGAGCCGCGACGACGACTGGCGAAGTGCGGCACACGCAAGAAAGTTCACATCATTTGTTCTATGACAAAATAGTTCACCTTCTTTACTCTTTGAAGGCATGTAAGCCTAACACAAACCGGAATATGTTATTTTCGGTTCGGTGCTTAAGATTTTTGTAACAACAAACATTGATCACCGAACCCTCGAGCTTAGTGACTTCATCAGAAATAACTAAGTGTGCGGGTGATTAGAAGTCAGACGCCTTCGTACATGTCCTGAATTGTGATTAGTTTATGGGTAAACAGAACTTGCCTTCTCCTTCAACATATAACCAAGAGGTTAGAAAATACCTAAATGAACAAGTTAATCCCAGAACCAATACCGTAAATAACAAAAATGTACAATCCAATCCACGCGGCACTCCCAAACTAATATTGCCACTAAAATAATAATATTGCCACTAAAATAATAATATTGTCACTAAAATAATAATATTGCCACCAAAATAATGCGATTTCCTCCATGCATGTGGTTTGTGATACAATTGTGTTTACGCCGATGTTGAGATTAGTGTACCTTAATGTGCCTACTTTTTCAGTTGTAATATTTCACACGTTTGAAATTAACAAGTGCTGTCATTGGTAACTGATACGAAATATATTCCATACGGTTGTTCTTTTGTGTATTACTGTAAATGAATTTAAGGCCAATTTTTGCAACATTTACGAGCCAATTGATGTTTTCGATTTCGATTTCGATCGATGCCAATTTATATTTTGCACTTTACGATTTGAGTTGCATTTCAATTTAAAAATGATCATTCATTCACTTACTTATACGTATTGCTCGATAAGTATTACAACGTAAATTAGCAGCAGCTGATTACTAATTCAAGTTAAACTGTCTGTGCTTTGCTAGCATTTGCAATATTAAAGACTTGTTGAAACGGACCGATACTAATAGTGATTATTTTATTTACTAATTATGGTGCGTTCAATCATATAATAATTTCATGATTAAGAGGCACATGTAGAATTATTCAGACGCAATCTGTGTATTGGACAAATTTTCATTGTTAAATGTTTCTCTGATGTTGAAGGATAATTACTAATTCAATAATATATTCTCCATCTATAACAATGTGACATTCCTTCAATTTAAGATATATTATGCGTATAATCCAGTGATATAATTCAAAGTGCAGTGTTCTAACAGCATTTCCCCAAACCTGATGGGATCAGTGTGCAGTTGTAACGCGGGAAATTGTAGGAACAATTTTCTCTGGCGATGTGGGGGAAAGAGAGAATGATCTTAACCTTAATTAACAATCAACTGCTTTGATTGTGGCAAGATTTAATAATTTGATGTAGAACGTAGCGTTAAATACTAAAAGGTGTTTTTCTTGTATCCCCAGTTTGGATTTCTTTGGAATTGCTCTGAAGGTAGACTTGTTTGTTCAAAATGATCACCTTCCGGTTTCCATACTATGTATCAAGTGAAGGAAATTTATCCTTCTATATTGATCAATTATTTTTACGACTTTTTATCACAGTATCCTCAAGATATGAGATGTGATTTGAAGTAGAAGATCAGAATAAGATGTTCTCTTGATTTTATAAGCAAAGATGCAGATCGAGAACTGTGCCTCATCATCCTCTTAATCATTATCACATACCGAACCAACCTCAGGCCATTTATATGAATATTGAGAGAGAGGTGTGACAGGAAAAGCACTCGCATACAGTTATGATCTCCGCAAATTTTGATCGAGAATATAACTCCCGAGATGTAGTTCATCGGCACCAACTAAATTCCTGGCAGAAGAAATTCGTGAACGAAAGCCTTAGGAACGCGCTCGTTTTAAATAAATTTACGGTCATGTATTTCTATATGCCAATGCCTGAAAATAGTGGGCATCACGCAGAACATTACTCGAGTTTGTTTGTAATGTATTGCTGCATCTTGAGGCCATTAAAATGAAGCATTATTTAGGAGGAACCTTTACCGGTTTGAGTGCGCGGGAAGCGGCATAAATGAATTGACAGATTTAAATAAGATTATCTATTCAACGAAGTCCTAAAATCATCACACCCATCATCAAGTTGTATCAGGTTGTAGCATCAAAATCATCATCATCATCATCAAGTTGTAGCGTGTCGTTTGCATCTGAGACGATTATGTTGAACAATGTTGGTGGTAGCCTGACGGGATATGATTGATTACAATACGGTTGGTCGACTGCTATTCGATAACATGAATCCTCACACTCTTCGCTACAAAGTTTAAGCGGAGCCTATATGGAACATATTTTTGTTGGCGTCCAACAAACTTTCGCTATCATTAGCACTACCGTGAAAGAACTCGCTCTAGTGCGATGGGAATATTCACCAAAATAACGGTGGTGACAACTTATTCAAATTTTAAATATAGTTCACAACTCAAATCGCAGTTCGAATGATCATAGGTACTAAACAAATGTGTAGACTAAACAGTTAGGACTTGGGATCTTGTGATATTTTAGTAGTAATTGTACTGAATATGTAGTTACGAAGTAATGACAAACGGATTCATCAAGTACAGTGACACCCAATCCTACAAAAGTGAAATACATTTAGAAGCCGAGTGCAAAATTCATCCATCCTATAATCGGTCAGTTGTCTCCATTTTCACAAGGAGACGAATTGCAATCATCTATTCTAAAGAAAGAAGTATTTATATCATAGTGTGTGAATGTACAACATTCATAACAAGTAATGGATGAAGTGCAAAATGCAAAATTAAGGTCGTAAGCAAGTCCGAAGTCCACAAGCAAGTCTCAAGTAGAAAAATTCGAGAACGGGCAAAATAACCTCATGACTGGAAGGAATACGTTCTAAAATTGTGACCGTTTTCAAATATTGGCCGCTTTCTGTAAATTGATAAAAAAAACTATCAACAATGATCATAACATGATTTAAAATGAACTTTATAACACAAATTCTTCAAACTCGCCAATTGAAAAGCATAAAGGAAACGCGCACGGAATAACTGTTCACAGTCATATACAGTTACTGACATTATATGAACGGTCATTAAATTTCTGGATAGTGGACTACTTAATTTCTGGCTTTTAGACGTTGTGCGCACGGAATAGCTGTTCATAGTCATAGGCAGTTACTGATATTATATCAACGGTCATTACATTTCTGGATAGTAGACTACTCAATTTCATTTCTGGCTTTTAAACGTTGTGGTAAAGCATGTGACGCAGTGTCGTGGCAGAGCGAGAATCACGCGCAGTCCATGCAGCGACAAGTACAATATAAGATAGATGACTATTTAAAACGGCGACTCAGGCGCTAAAGTCAGAGGTGACAGTTCCGAAAACTGCAATCGTAGAAATCTTCCGACCACGAGTTCTCAAAACTTATCGTTGACACCTCGTGTTAGACAGAACAAATCTCATAGTCAATTCGCCAGGACAAATTACGGAGCACATTCTGCAACCAAATGCCAAATATTGTAGTTATCTAAAGTAACCACTAGAGCGACGGCTGGTCAATGGCCCTAGTCATTAAATTCCTCGTATCGATTGAGACAAATGTAAACCAAATACGTACATAACTTTACCAGTATGGTATCATTAAATATATTGTTCTTACACATTCAAAACATGTAAACATTTGATTCATGGTTGTTCGCACGCGGGCGCACAGTGCCTACAATACATGAACACGCAATGCTAATCTGCTATGAGCTGTTCTCGATTGTTTGTTACTGTGAAACAAGCGAAAATCGATCAAAGTACGATACTTAGGCTGCGCTGGGAGGAATGCAAGGATCCAGTGATTTCTTTGTTGTTTAGTTTTTCTAAGGTATATATAGCCATACATATCTTATCAATAACTATAAACGTTTCCGTTTGCAACTTACTCCTAGTGAAATCTTCTAGCTGGTAACCAACTATTTGCCGCTCCTCGTACGTGTTAGTGCGCGCAACTAGCTACCGCTGCTCCTAGTGCTGGCATCCAATCAGAAGCAGCTCCCAATACTTGCTTCCCACGCGCACACCTTTCCCAGTCATCTTAATGAGTCATCCCGTCCCCGTGCGCGTTATCAGCAACTGCAGGCTCATAACTACGGTGAACACCCGTCTGATTATACCAACGACTGTAAGTTTAAAGAAGAAAATTTGAAAGGTTCATAAAGCGTACGTAATAAGCAGGAGGAAAGCCTAAAGCAAATGAAGATGATAGAAAGCTCGATTATGAAAGTGGGTATATGTCGGAAGTTATTTATCGTAGTTATTTTTGATTGAACAACGGAATCTCGCGCCGCCTGTCTTTATTTCATATTATCTTACCCGTGGTCACCGGCGTTCGTTTGGCGGTGGTCGGCCTGGTAGTGTCTTATATGTATAAATTAGGACGACTAGCCTACCTCAAAGTCACAGTCTTCAATTACCTAATCATTTCAGGGCACTGTCTACGAATGATCAAATGAAGATTTTAAAGGATTTCCAATTCACAGTTACTAAATATAAGATGCAAATCGAAACTTTGCGTTAGATGTCATTAGGCTTTACGCTTTTTAATTTCATTTGCAACATATAATATTGATGACCGTTATAACTTCGTCAAATCACATCTATGCATCTCAAAGCCAAAGCACGTTCAGTTCAAATAACGCGTTGCATACCTTGTACGTACAGCATACCATGGCATGTAGCATGTACAATCACAGAATTATGTAATGACCCAAGTTCAACGCACTAAAATGAAGCGAAACCCAATACTTGGTTCGAGGTTTCAGTGGAGTAACGTTCATTCGTCACTGTAGTCTGTAGGACTACCACAACTTTCCCTTACTTGTACTAGACATTTCCTGACCTACTTACAGCAAATTCGTGATTCATTTTAACGTCAGAGCAGGATAGTGATGGGATCATAGACTGATGATAGACATGCAACTGATAAATATTACGAAACCCATATCGTACCTTATATAATTAAAAAAATGGACTTTCGACGAGTGATAATAAGCTAGGACTCACTCGGGATATCATTAATTATTTATACTCAGCTGATATCATTGCAACAAAAACAAACGGTGATTGTATGCCTCACACGCGTAGTTTCTTACGTGGTGGGATGAATTTGAACGTTTTACAGCCAGTAAACTTACGATGCTCAGCTCAGCGTATGCGTAATGGCGCCGTATATACGGTATATATAAATTCAGTTCCATGGTATTAAACACAATAAATTAGGGGAAGAATGTAGCAAAGAACTTATTAGTCTATCTTAGACTGTATGAGCATGAAGATTTCAAACTTTTCTCAATAGGCGAATTATCCGCGCATAACAGATTATAGTGCAATAAGGGATTGTGCTTTGTAGAGGAAAGCAATCATGACAAAACCTGACAGCACTAAACCCCTTATCTGTCACGTGAGCAACAGCATCCCTTTAGGTCCTTCACTGGCAAAGCCATACATATATACTAAAATTTCCATCAATAACTATTTCTTTATTATTACCTGATCTTATACGAAGTACGTAAGAATATTCAGTTCTTATTGTCGCAGTCATAAACACGTCTTTGACACAAGTCACAATAACGCAGATAACGGAACGCACAGCAACTGCACGCCACACAACCTTTCACCACCACAGCTGTAGCTGTACTGCGGCTGCGTTTCCGCTAACCGCTTTGCTTACAAAAATTATTCTTCTCCATCACGCATGGAATTATTGGGAGAAAAATGAAATAATTAATCAATAATTACATGCCGAACATTTATAATCAAAGAACGCTTCTATATAATTATTTATTTCATTCATTTCCATGGATAATTTTTTTCAATCTATCTCAATCAATCGACAGCAATGGACAAAGGCCGGATCCCTTGTGAATCAAGTTACGGAAAGTACAAGAATAGGCACATGCCATGGGCATATTTCTTCAGTGCCGACATTTCTATTTTATTCTATTCTAAGATTTGTAGCATTACCATTATATCATAGGATCCTTTGCCACTTATATACGGTAATGCCAGGAGGGCTAATAGATGTTCTTTTCTAAATAATGTGAAATATTGGCATATCTTTGATGAATACGTTTACAACGAGTAGGAATCTTTGTAACCTGAATCTGGAAGCAAGGAGGTTAGGAGTGAAGTGCTGAGTCTGCATGTCTCGAACGAATGTTCTGCATGTCTCACTATACCTGTAAAACCTCAAAATTTTGGGTGCTGCGTATTGTACTTATTCGTTATTCCACTATTTCAAATAGTGATCAAAATATAAAATCCCTAAGGATCAAAATACTGTTTATTTAGGAGAAATTTCTGCACAAAGTATAAGTTGATTAATCACGCAAAATATAGGAATAAATTATCAACAGATATGCAGATGACAGTCCGTTATAATGTGACGACCCGCCCGAGGGGCAAGAGAATGATGACATCAAACCTGTCACGAGACCGCAGTGCATCTATATGAGGCTCAAGTCAATGGTGTCAGTCTGAGAAACTGTCCACTTGAACTGAAGTTAAACATTAACCGCGGATCTTCAACGAGGAGAAATGCCTAAGAACGGACGGCTACGGTTGTCGCAACGTTAGCTGCAATTTCCTTGCATGCTATCTAGCATCGAATAACAAATTTGCTTTTTCTAACTAAAAATAAATAGTAGAACCGCAATAAAACTATTATAGTGCAACTAACTATTAACTAACTATTATTATTAACTAACTATTATTATTAACTAACTAACTATATAACTAACTATTATAAAATAGTAGAACCGCAACATAATAAGAATAGAATAGAATAGAAGTGTCGGCGCTGAAGAAATAGGCCCATGGCCTGTTGCCGATTCTTGAACTTTTCGTGACTTGATTCACAAGGGATCCGGCCTTTGGAACCCGATCTTTCCATAGCTGACTATTGATTGAGATAGCTGCTGGACTTATCGGCTTAGGTGTTCAAGGGAAGAGCTCGGCTAGGAAGAGGTAGGCGCGAGAACAAAGGCTTATTGTCCCGCGTGGGCCAGGGTGTGGGCGTTACCCTCGCGGCAACCCTCTACTGACTCAACAAGTCCGCGTTATTTAAAAATGAAAACACTTTCACTTGTTTGGCTTGTTCATTCAATTTGCACTCTCAATAAACGTTCTTTAAAATAATTATCAATAAACCGTGTTCTGCAAGGTAGACCAATTAAAATCATGTCGTTCAGCGGGTGCTAGAATGCGTTATATATAGGCGTCGCAGTCCATATGGCGGACATGAAGGAACAAACTACCAAACGCAGACGTCCGGCAAGGAAAGAAAATGTAACACTAAATTGTAAGATTTATTTTAAATACAAATGACTTGAAAATACTACACAAAGACGAGTATAGAACAATTTCGTACAAACACTAAGTTAAGATAGTACAAGGCACTATATACTTATACTGTTTAAATCATTATAGAAGTAAATATGTGAAGTGTAGACATAAATATGCAATGGTTTAAGGCCACGTAAACCGCGACACTGACTAATTCTGCTGGCGCCTCCCTCTAAATAACTTAAAACGAAAGCTTGTCAAGCGAGAAACTTTCCCGCTGATAGAAAAGAATAACATCTCAACAGTAATTAAGTCACAAGTATCGAATACATAAGCAGTTAGAACGGTGGTCCGTGTCAATAACGGTTAAGTTATACAAGAATTACCACACTAAATCACAGTGCCACAAAAAATAGCACTGCATCGCACCCGACAATAAGTTTTAGAATATTCGTTCGCCGCCGTGGCGATGCAGGAAGGCTGTAACTCGCATCCTTTACATTTTACGCCTAAGATCTACTCTAGATTAAACGAGGAAACCAATTTTGGTACCAAGATATTGACGTAACAATAAAATACTGACAGTTAAATGACATTAATAGAAATATTACCATAATAAAATAACCAATGCTGGAATACTGGCAGGTGACACATAGCGTGCATAGATAATTTTCTTGGCAAACATCCTAAAAACATTCCTATCACTACTGAACTAAAAAAACACAGTTACTGGGCATCGTAGGAAAAATATAACTCGGTACTCACTGCAGTGAGTGACAGAGAGCGCATTTTCTCGTTGACGAAAACTTGAAGTCACGGACGGACAGACGGACGGACATGGCGAGCACAATAGTGCATTTTTTCCATAAATGAGAAAATGCGCTAAAAAGGGTTCATAATTAACAAGCCCTGCTGTGCCATGATCTGAACGGCGTTAGATGATTCAATCACCTCCTTGCTTCAACATCACCATTTGTAAGAACTTGTAAGCAGAGTTTTCGAGGCAGTGTAAGTAACGGATCAGATCCAATTAGACGAGTATTATATTCAAGGAATTTGAATCGTTAATAAAATTAAACCCTCGCCATGTTAACCAAACATCAGTTTGTACCACATTAGAGTTTGTTCTGAAATTTGATTTGTTCCACAATTACTTCTGAGTCGTATTATTCCATCAAAAAATCAACAGAGCGATTATTTCACTACTGAGATGGTAATAACATGTCGCTATACTACAAATACTTTCACAGCTCTGCATCTTCTACATTTAACACATCACATAATATATAAAAAAAAAACATTTTAATTTTTTTATCTTGTTGATTGATTCATGCATTGTCTCCGATTTTATCTAAGGGTGCAAAATTTCAGATCAAATGGCCAGGTGTGTTATAGTGTGATCAAGAAAATAGAAGTGTGATGAAGAAAACAAAAAGCATGGTCGATTTTTTCGGAGACCAAATTTTCAGTGTGATCTCAATGACGCATCAAATTGAACTCCATGATTATCTCAACAAACCGACAAATGTCGCAAGCTTAACTTACCCTAACTTCCAGATAGAAACCGAATCCTCCCTGCATGCTCAAGAGTATACGAATATAGAGGTAGTTATTTTCTAAACTTCTTGAGTAAGAAGAGATCTACTAGCAGCACCAAGAGTGTTACACCTAGCATGCGAGACTCGACGTATGTTTATCACAGACAAATAGCTGCCACGCAACGAAACCCGCGATGGAAGAACTAATCTGAAGCATTTGTTTACTCAGTTTTTGCGACATCCGCCCTAAGCGTGAGTTAGTAATTTTAATATGCTCGTACAATCTTCAATAAAACCACTGAAATAAAATAAGCCACAAAAAAAGTAAAAGTGGAGGGAATATTCACTTTATACTAGAACCAAGTCTATGGAAGATCTCGGATACTTGGAATAATAGTACAATTAAAATAAAAATGTTGGTACTTATCAAGTTAAAATTCAAGTAGCAACATTCAATGCAGAAGAAAAGAAGTTCGCTAAATACGAACTTTCATACTTTACGACTGGTAGCAGGGAACAAGCATCAACATATGACAGACGGACGACACAAGTAAACTTAGAACTTACAAAATGCGTCCTTCCTTCGTGATAGGCGCAAAAAATTGTCAATTCATAATAAATCATGAAATTGCTACAGCCTTTTTTGAAAGAGAAATGCTCATTTTAATGATCCGTAGACGACATCTTCATCACGACCTTTTGAATTGGAGCAAGAATTTTCCACGACCTCCATGCGTGAGGCTTAAACACGATCTTGTTCAGACTTTCATAACAGCCTTGCTCTTGCATTAGTTCTAAAAAAACTCCAGTCAGCTCTGCACTAAATATAAGTATAAGCCATTGAATTCAGAAAACTAGAGCTAAAGGAAAACACATAAAGTTACATAAAACATTGGAAGGCAATGCAGAAGATCTTGAGATGTTCCATAGTGGAAAGTCATTCTTGTATGAGTTACATCTAATATTTACTTGGCCAGTAATTTTGTGTTTCCCTGATCTTGATGCTGACAGGCATGCAAGAAATTTTAATGAGTAACAAATTCTTTTCATCCATGGAAGAATTAAGTTTAGTACCGTTAAGTCTCGATGAACCGTTTTCCAAGTTTTTCTCTGGTGTGAGGGAAACTGTTACAAAAGTTTCATCACAATGTGTTTTTAAACCTTCTTAAACTTGTAACTATCGCGGTACCCATCCTGTATTCTAAAAATGACGCTTAAAGGAGAATGTAGCTTGGTTTTTGATCGCTGAAACTTGCAGGAAAAGTACACTTTTCCCGTTTCTACACGCATTACATATGCAGTAACACATAGCACTGGCTGAAACCACAGACTTATTACAAAAATAAAGCATCTTATAAGAATTTTTCCGCGCTTTCCAAAAAACATATACAATTAAAGAGAAAAATTCGTATCAATATAAATATTGAAGTCGCGTACTTCTCAATGGTAACATTAGTTTAAAAAGTAAAATTTGTCAGTCTCTTAACATTTAAAAGTTAACTGTATAAAAACCGAAATTTAACTTACAGCGTCAGATCCTGGAAGTTATTAATTCAATTCAACGCCTAATACAAAGCAAGTGATTCAGTAATTTGTGACTAATACAACAATTGTTAATTTGATCATTAGTTTGAAGGGAGCTCGAAAGGGACAATTGGTGTTCATTATGAAATTATAATTTCACTTCACTGTAAATTAATTAAGAAGCATGGACACTTAGATACTTTCTTTGATCTTTCACTTGAAGAAATGGTACAGGACGAAGCTCTGTTGTAAAAGCACCCAAATTGAGCGTAGTCATTATATGTAGTTGTTTGAAGGCACAACAGTGAAGTCTGCAATCGATGCAGCATTTGGAAGACCTTACGAAAGACAAAAATTTCAATTCTACCGAAGACGTTTCTCATGAAAACCATCGCTAATATCGGTTTCAATGGGCGTGTGTTGTGAAAGAATACTTAAAGCAATACCTATCTAATTGTCATGAGTATACAAGGTAAATTAATCAAGCTTATAGCTTCGATATTTGTGAAGGATTTGCAGTGATGAGGAGTTGTGCGTCAATTTCTACAGGTCCTCAAAGAAAGCAACGCGAGACCTGCAAAGTAGAGCTTAAGTGAAAGCCTGGCGTAGAAATATGATTAAACTTCACTTAAAAGTATGACAAATTTTAACGCAGTGGCGTTAGGATGTAATTAAAAAAATATCTTGGAAACCGATCATCAGCCAATCACTTTCTGTTAAACTAATCAGCAAATAGTTTGGGCGGAGATAAATCTAAAACCATGGTTCGTGACACAGGGTTTCAATTGGCCACGGAACATTTTTAATGAGGGGAATGGTTTTATAGCGGATGGTATAACCCGAGACAAAAAATGGCTTAAAAAAAGACCTTGTACGCTCCTTCTTATTTGTCTGAAAAGTACAGTCTTTAGGAAGAGAGTGACAAGGTGTAGCAATTTTCATTGTTTTAACAGTACTTTATCGTGATTAAAAGTGAAATCGTTTTTAATTTCCAGTATACCTTGTATTTTGTATACAAAGTTCTGAGCAAACTAACTAGCACTCAAATGATCTAAATAGGCCTGGTGCCCAGCGATGTTCATTGATCTATCCGTACTTTCTAGACACCTCATTAATTGTTTAGAAAAGTTTATCAATTCAGCGTTTTCACTTGTCAATTTCCCTTTATAAAGCAATAATATGACTCACTTGGTACAGCCAGACCGCGTGCGCTGCAGCGTTGAGTACTTGGTCTCTCCCGCCCGAAGCTGTTCTTCGTACACGCTGTCCAGGACACTCGACACGTCCTCCACTCTGAGCTCCTGCACAGGGCATGCGCTCATTAGGAAGATGTAGAGGGAGCATCAACAATGATGGTGGTCAGTGCTCATGCTTACCGTAGGGTTGACGTTACACTGATGCTATTATTGATAGTTTACATGCCTTGAAATCGATCACTGTCACGAATTCTTTTACGCCAATGCCGGAGAATAGGAACGACCACTCATGGAATCGGCAATGTTTAGTTATTAATGAGAAGTTAATAGTTGTGGCTCTTAGGTTATGATCTGCTGCCTATGTTAGCCATCGTTTTCCGGTAGTGGATAGGATTAATTGTGTTCGTGACTAAAATTTACTTTTACTGCTGATGTAAAAACGAGCATTTTATGAAAACAAAAATTTCCAATTGTAATTGCGACTGTGGTTTCAAATCCGATTTAAATCAGATGGAGTTGAATTTAATTGATCAATTGAATTGAGAATCTAAGGAACCTTAACGTAGAAGCTTCATTCATCGCAACCAAGAAGCATCCATAATAAATAAATAATAGCATCCAGAATAAAATTAAAATAAATGTTGGATTTCTAACCAGACCTGTATTTCATCCTTTAGTTCTTTAAGTTGAGACTGCAAAGTGCGAGACTTTTCAAGATAGTGAGCTCTCTCCTTTTCAATTTCCAGATTAAGATCTTCGACGTTCGTGTCGTTTAGAAGGTTAATGTCAGCCTGAAGAGCTGTAACGTCTATAGAAGACTTGTTCATGTGTGTGGTGTCTGCAGCAGTTCTGTTCAGCATAGTCGTGTCTGCAGTAGACTTTCCAAGGATTGATGCCTCCAAGTTTAAAGCGGTTTCCTCCAGTGCGCTAAGGTTAATGACAGGTGGGCTGACCATTTTGGAGCGGTCGTGCGTGTGGTTGACGCTCGAGTAATCCAGTAAATGGGAGTCGAGACTTTTTCTCAGCAAGTTAGACCGGTCGAAATTGTGTGAGTTTTTCAAGCGGGACTCGACGGGCGTTGACAGCACTTCATTAGATCCGTGACGGCCGGCGAGCAAACTGAAGTCCATTGAGGCGCTGTTTGCAGCATTCACGGCATTTAACCTTTAGGCGAGGGAAACAAAATTAAATGATGGGCGCAAAAAATTGATAAGCAAGGGTTACGATTTGCTTAAACGTGGAAACTTTAAAACGGTTTCATATGCCTGATGGACTATATCAGTCAATATTTACCCTTGACAACGCAATCCAAAAATAGTTTTCACTTTTATCCTGTAACGTTACGTTATAAAAAATAAAATATGTAGATTGTACATCCAAATAACAGCAAACATTGATTAAGGAAACAATGAAAATATGTGTGGCCAGTGGCCCACACTTTTCTGTCATTAAATGAGTAAATCAGAATGCAAATAACTCAAGTTGTCTCATTACGGAAACTGGTAGCTGGCCATACAAGCCAGGATGTACGTACCGTTCGTATGACTTATAGGACGGAGGGAGAATGTAGGGCGTTGATGAGTATAGTGACTGAGAACCAAAGCTGTTGACCCCAACACTGGAGTCGCTGCGCTGAATGGAGCTGTTAAAAGTTTCAACAAACTCGAGAAGTTTTTCCTTGGCTTGTTTCTCTGCAATACGAGAGCCAATCAAATAATTCTTCAGGCGTTCGGATTCATCAGATCGCTTCTCTCCTTCCTTGAGTAGCTTCGAGACCAGCAACTCCGTCTCCTTAACTTGCTGCTCAAGCATGAGCTTCTCTTCTTGGGTCTTGGCTGACAATAACTTCATTTGCTGGAGTTCTTTTTCAGCCTCGAGAGCCTTTTGCGTCAGCAAGCGCGACTCCTCGTCGGCTATATGCGTCTTCTCAAGCAGGAGCTCACTGGACTCTTCAGATCTGTAATGCACAGAAAATCAGCACGCAACGAACATTCTCTAACGAAGCAACAGTTTCTTGACACTTCCAAAAATTCTTTCCATTTCGATTATTTCTGGCCACTCTCTAAAATGCGGTGAGTACTAATTAAAATTATTCAAAGGTTCACATTTGGGACACTTTTTTCCGAGCAAAGAGGACTAAACCGAGGACAACAGAGGCTTGTTCACCTCACTATCTCCGATGGCTTCCGAGGAAGTGTGGCTCTCGCGCCTACCTCGCGTCTCACAAGTTTACAGTGAGACACTCACCAACTGGGCCGCTGCCCGCGTATGCATGACTCCCGACGCAGGAAACACTGCCAGCTCAACTACATACAAAGCCGTACTGAAACCTAATCTCACTTATTTCAAATGACAAGATTTCTCACAGCAGAAGGTATATTGAAAAGTTTACTGATACATAGAGGTACCTATGCCATAGTATTGATCGGTGTTGTGAAGCCGCACAAATACTTTTATGAATGTCATTTGACTCCAGAAATGTACGCCCATGCCATGCTGGAATTTCATATAAAGTTAATTGGAATATCATAACATTACCTTTTGAGAGCCTCATTAGCGACCCTCATCTCCTCCTGGTATTGGTAGAGGCGGCGCTCGAGCTCCGCCTTCTGCCGTTCGGCCTCTTCCCTTAGCACCTTTTCTCTTGCCAGCTTGTCTTTTTCTACCTGGTATTGTAAGACCATAATTGTATGAACAAGATTATATCATCCATGTAAAGGTGACTCAGAGTGCATTTAGCTTCAAAGGCCAAGGACACAAGGCGAAAAACAGCCACACAATCATCTCGAAATGAGACATACTAGCGCGTAATTTTAAAATTGTATTCCAAAAACCTACGATAAACAATATACCTGTAGCTATTTTTAATTAAACAAAAAAAAAAACCTTCAAAGCAACAAATTTACTCCAGATTATGCCCAAACTCAATTGAAGGACACATAATCTCAGAATATTTATCTATGTCGTGCTGCAGGCTCAACATCATCTCAGATACAGCGCAGTCATTTAATCAATACCGTAAGCCTGGAGATGCTCACCTATGATCTAAAGGTGTCGCCTGATCTAAAAATCGATTCTTCAGACGAGTTTCAAATTATTAGCATTAACAATGCCTATAAAAATAAGATAGCTAGGGAAACTGAACATTGTCAAGTTTCTCAAGTTGACTGTAATAATTATACTATGAAGCCTGCCTAAGCTATACAAAACATGAAATACAAGAATACATATAACACTTGAATTCTAAATTAAAAATTAGGACAGTAAATCTAAGCTGACAATAAATAATAAATAAAATAACAACTGATATGAGTTGAAATTATTCCACAATAATATTGGAAGCATACTTGTCTCCTGGCTTTCTCTTCCCTCGCAACAGCCTTCATTTGTTGGACTTCTATGGAGTCGGGCTTCCGCCGCCGTTTGAATAGATCGTGGTTGCCTATGCTCAGGTCGAGAATTAGTTTGTTCATTCGGTTGTTCTTGGAGAAAAATACGAAGTTGGTTGCAGATTTGTCCGTAGGGCGGATATTGAACTTCTTGTCATCAACGCTGATGTTGCGAATGTCAGACCAAGGGAAGCTCACTTTGGGCTCCAGTTTGTTGTCATGCTCATACACGTTCAGACCAAGAGCAGTAACACCTAAAAAAACAATTACTTTTACAGGAGAAAACAATACCGAAAACATTAAATTTTTATTGATGTCTGAACTTGGACAGAGGACACAGGCTAAAAAAATAGCAAGGTATTGTATGTTTTACACTGACTTTTGAAAGAGTCTTGTGAAGTCAAAAGCCAATACTAGGTACCTGCATCAATGCTAGGCAATGATGGAAAAAGTGTCAGCACTTTTATTCGAATGATTCATTTTGCATTTCACAGAAATCTCCTGGGAATACATGGATCAGGGCATATTTCTGACAGAAATCTAGATTACTTGCATAATGTTTGCAGAACAAAATGATATAAACGAAAAACTCCCATTCATAAGTTTACTGAACTTACCAAGCCATAAATGAGTGCCTTTTTTATTAGTGATGCTGAAGTAATTGACACCATACATGCCAAGGTCCTGGGTGATTTTAAGGTACTCCATCTCAGCTTCATCTCTGGTCATGCCAGCATGGTCGGCATACCAGACTCCAATGCGCTCCTGCCACATCTCTGGCGTCATTTGATACTGGCTGTGAACAGAATGATGGTCAGTCTTTTGGTGGTCAATTGTGTTGTGCTACTACTACTCGTACTTGAAATGAAACTTAGCAAAAAACACATTCAAGATAGGGGCATTGTACTTTAATAATTATAGAACATGGATGATGTGAAATCAACTAAGAAACATCAATGTTAGGTGACAGGACCCTACTGGTGTGAATAATTGAATGTCTCCTCTCTTTTCTGTTAGTATTTTAATTTAATAAAGCTACTATTTCAGCTAAACATTGTTTGACACCTACAGCCAACAAGAGGTTAATTTAATAGGAACATATTTTAAAATATAACAGCATGGTGATACATAACAACGTTTTTTAAATGAAAAACTTCTCTGCGGGAATAATTTCCCATATACAACTATATATAATATATAGAATATATATCAACACTAAGACTTTTGAACAAGGAATGAGTACCGATGAGTATCAATAACATATAATAGCATCTAATAACGTATAACTCCACTCAATTGCAGAATGTTTTCTAATCTTTACATGATTGATACAGTCCTACAAATTTTAAATGGTGTTAATAATTAATGATCCCTACAAAAGTACCGTAAATTGAAAAAAATCATTATGTATCATCCATTATCATCACTGTGCTGTTGGTAGCTATAGACATTATTAGCCATAAAGAAACAATGCACTGTAACACACTTGATGACTCTCTGAGGCAGGAGCTCGTCCATCACTAGAGGGTTGGCATCTGAGTGCGGGTCGTGGTCGCCATAGCGCGCCTGCACTGCATATGAAGCTAGTAGAACTGACATCTCCGGGGGGCAGTAGATGTCCATGTTTAGGATTGCTTGTTTCACCTGAAATGTATGAAAGTATGTATAGATGACATTGCAAAAAGACATATTTTGTAATGAAGTAAGAATTTCATAGATTTTATTATAAAAAATATAGTTAATAAGCAGAAAAAGTAATAAATTCAGAATTGGTGCTTTAAATGATTTACCTAATAGGTGGTGAATAGAAAATATTCTCATGGCAAGGTAATGAATTGCTGACATCCAAGTCATACTTTACCTTGTCTACCATAAGCTATGAACATTCAGGATTATCCTTGATAGCAAATACTACGGTACCTCAAGCGTAAAAAGCTTAATACATCTTACGTTAGCTTCCTATGTTATACATTTGCAATCATTTTTGGGCGACAACTTCATTTCTAATTTCAACAATAAAAGTTTTTTAGCACATAACTACTGGAAGGAAATACCTATATCTTTACACTCTTGCTTTAGTGTTTATGTGTTCCACACAATGTTCTGAACATTTATATAAATAATTAAGATCATTCTTCATGAACAACCTTAGGGCAGAAGTTGACATAAATATTAAACAGACCTGCAAGAAGAAGAGGTGTTGTGTCACTTCTTGCACCAGCTCCTCACTCACATCTTCTGGGTAGAATTTTGCCAGCAAAAAGAAAGGCATTGGGTTGTGGCCTGGTACATCTTGATCAAGAACCTATGGAAATTTCGGTCAAAAGTGTTAAGATTATCAAGGTAAAAATAAAACAAAAACAGCTACATTTAATTAAAAAATCTCTACTAGCAACTGAAGAAAAGGTTAATCATCAAGTTTTTAATGGTATAAACATGGACAATGGCAACTAAGATTTTAAATTACAGGAAGAAAATTCTTCAAACAAACAAACAACATAGCCTAACTGCACACATTTACCTTTTTCTCCATTTTGAGCCATGTTACCAAACCTTTGGTATCAATGAATTGTAATCCAAAGTACCAGGTTTCTCTGAGTCCTATAGTCCGGCAAACAAGATCAAATAAGTCCCGACCAGTTGCCTTACAAGGAAGGCTAAATTCAAGCTCAGCATCAAGAGTGGAAATTTTAACAGGGAATACTTTTGGCGAAGCTTTGCTTCGAAATAATTTTTTGAGGGGCATGTCTTAAACATCTGCAAAGAAATTCAAAGATTAATTGATGAACAGTTAGGCACAAATCAAAATTTAATAAAGAAATCAAACTATGATATTCATGGATATTTCAATACCTTTTGATGAATTTTATATTCATGTGATTATGATTCCTGATGAATGCAGCAAAGGTATTATGTTTCTGAATGAAAGGTGAATTCCCACCTTTCCCACATGAAAGGTGTTCTACCACAAGGTGAATTCCCACTTGGGATTGGGATTTTTTCCAACTTGCATTGGAGATGGACTTCTTTTTTTCTAAGAGTGCCATACTCCTGTTTTTTAATGCTGTGAAGGAACTATATCCTTATATATCAATCAATTACAATACAACCTTCATTACTGAATATTTAACACTTTGACTGCAATTGCTTCATCTCATACTATTATTTCATTTGTTGTACTATTATGAAACAAGATTGCCAGACAGTCTTTTTTTCTGGACAAATTCCGCAATTTAGTTTTTTGTCAATTGTGTTTGCCGGCTAAAATTTATGATAGGGGTACTTCCTATTTAAATTTAAATAAGAGGGAATTGGAATTTTTACACCAGAACCTAAAAACGTACTAGTATATATTGAGTTATAGACATTTTTTGGTGTTTTAGGTTTGCAGACTTGGCCATATTTTAGGCCAGCTGGCAACCCTGAATTATGCACCACTACATCCTGAAGAAATACATTTCAAAGTACACATATGGCCCAATACATGGGGAACGTGTTAAGGTATGAGATACAATCTGACCAGAGGTTTTGAACAAGATGTTTTTTGATTTTGTGTTCATATGATCAGGACAATCTTTCCGGGAAGAGGGGAATAGGAGATCTGAAAATGCAACTAATATTTATTTAACAGGAAGACAGTCGAGAACCGTGCCTCTGGCAACTGAACAAGGTAGCTGCGACCGTTAGTCAGGGCTGCGAGTGGAGTCAAAACGATCCAGTACGTGGTTAAGTGGTTTGACAACAAGCTCTCGACTCCTGACTCCCGTGTTGTGAAGTGTTATTATGATATTTGCTTGCAAATTATAGATTCGATTGTGACGTTGTGCATATTTTTGATTGTGATATTATCAAAATTCTTTTCAACGGTGGTATGAACCGTAAAGCTTGAAAGGGACGGACCTCAATCATCTCATGCTGGGAAGGGAGCCTGGGCCCTGAAAGATGACTCGCCGACTCAGCAACCGATGAAAGTAAGTAATTGTCATTTTTTCAATCATTGATGGAATTTGGCAACCGATGAAAGTCATTAAGCAAGTTTACAGTTCAAATCTTATTTTTTATTGCTGCTGCTGCTTGCTGCTGCTGCTTGCTGTTGCTTGCTGCTGCTGCTTGCTGTTGCTTGCTGCTGCTGCTTGCTGCTGCTGCTGCAGACAGTGAGTGCTGCTGCTTGCTGCTGCTACTTGCTGCTGCTGCTTGCTGCTGCTGCTGCTGCTTGCTGCTGCTGCTTGCTGTTGCTGCTGCTACTTGCTACTTGCTGCTGCTGCTACTTGCTGTTGCTGCTGCTACTTGCTGCTGCTGCTTGCTGCTGCTGCTGCTTCTTGCTGCTGCTGCCTGATCTCCTGTAACAAAAGCTTCAAAATTGCAGATGATTTGCGGAACGGGAGGTGCCCCCCCGGTCTTCAGTACCTGCCTGGGTTGGAAACGGACCTTCCCCCCCTGCCGGAGCCCCCCCTCCCACCCGGAGCGCCATAAGTACCTCTCTTGTCAGAATTCCACCATGGCTGACACAGCAAACGGAATTTGAACACGTGGATGACGGCATTACGTATCAGTAGAATTTGAAGCGCGGACGGAATACGCCTCAGTGCCTCACCACGTGCTGAATATTGCCACACACAGTGACGGAATATAGGGATTTGGTAGGTTTCCATTCTAAAGGCTTTTAAATAAATATGGCAACATTATGTGACGTTTCGTTGTTGCTGACACGTAGTGCGGTGTGTTAAGAGTCACATAAAGCAAACAGAACTTGAGTAACGCATACGGTTATTTTTTTATAGTTTTTCATTTCTCGATGCGTCCTTAATGCCACACTCAGGATGATGTATGTTTTCGGTGAATTTTCCCGTGCATTTTCACTTTTTTAAAGCTATTGCTGTGCACAGTTGGCGCAATGTAATGAAAATTGATTAGGGTAAACGCGGTATATTTGGACACATTAAGGACGCATCGAGAAATGAAAAACTATAAAAAAACGTATGCGTTACGTAAGTTCTGTTGCCTTCACATGACTCTCAAAACACTTCACTACGCGTCAGCAACAATGAAACGTCACAAAATGTTGCCATATTTATTAAAAAGCCTTTAGAATGGAAACCTACCAAATCCCTTTTGACATGACCGCAACTATGCGCGATCTTCAACAAACGTTTTGTTTATTTGTTTACATTACGATGTTTATGTTTTTTCTGCAAGATATTTTTGGCAGAAACGGTAAAGCAATGCGGATTGCGGAAGTTGAAAATTTTATGAAATGACATGTTTGCAGTTTGCGAAGTGCAAACCGCAATTTTTTAATCAAACAAAAATTTATGACATTCGAGCCACGAGATTTCATACCTACTGAAATTATATGATATTACTTTATTAGAGCTGCGATATTTCAGACAAAAATAGGACTTTTCCAGACTAGGCGGCTATTATACATACAAAATGTAAACAGATGGTGTTCAGTGTTGCCAATGACAATCCAGCATTATCATATAAAATATATAGGTTTAAATCTTGAGTAGAAGTAGATGAGGAAATTAAAAATGAACTGATCCTAAGACCTAAAATAAATATCCCTGCCCTTCTTCCAACCCAACTTGTGACCCAAGTTTGTATTTTATCCCTAGACACTGAATAGTAATTATAGTAATACTAAATACAGTCTTGAAATAGATCATAAAATTCAAATTAAACAATAAGTATCAAGTACAAGTTTTCATTTGCGCCTAGGCTAGTTGCTTTGCTGACATCTGTCAGGCCTGAGGCTGAGGGCTGAGACTACCGAGCAATCCGCTGACTCCTCACTCCAGAATGTTGTACAAAACAAAGAGTCAAACCGCAACGGCCACATTCCACACATACTTTCCGTTTCGGTAAAGATTTCCTTCCCGCAATTTGATGGCCTTCCTTTCCATTTTTTCATTTACATCAGACAAAAAATTGAACTAAATATATCAGGTGGAGTTTGTAAATTCCTAATTATTATTCGAATTATAACTGATTTAATTCTAATTTTCTTTCTCTTTGATTAAATTTCTTTAAAAACTTGTTTGCACAATCATACCTGTAAGAAATTAAAGTTCAATCTCTCATTAATAATGAATTTCAACAACTATAAAATAATTTTGAGCACACAATTCTGCGTATTTTTCTATAGTCACTCGATAATGCAATAATATGAACTTCACAGATACTAATTTTTTCAAAATTTGTCAAAATAGCTGTGCATCCGGTTCGATAAGGTTGGATTGATCGGCTATACGACATCCTGAAATTTTGATTGCAACCAATCCATTTAAGAACAATATTCAAGCCAGGAAATTCATTCAGCCAATTTTAAGTAATTTAGTTCGTTTGTCAAGTATAATTATTTGTGCGAAATAGACTACATGTGAACCGACAAAAAATACTAAGAAAACCTTTCCGGCCGCGGGTCCGGCCGTAAATTTGTCCGAGACCTCAAAAAATGATAGGTCAACCTGTTCCCAACTGGACCTACCCTGAGAGGTTTTCGTTTCCGATTCGACACTTCAGCGAACTCGCCTGCGAACTCTTAATTGGCTAGTTTTTTCTAATTTTGGAGTCCGGCGGCCGCGAGACCGGCCGCGGGTCCGGCCGTAAATTTGTCCGAGACGTATAAGTGATCAACGATTTGTGATGCTCAGCTCCTAGAATCATATCATATATTGCGACGAAACCATATTCGACGGTTACAGCCAAATGGTCTTATTATTATTTTTTCTTAGCATTATCGTGTATATATTATGTGATGATGATTAATTAATGATAAACGGAGATAGTCGTGCTCTAATTTGAAAGTAAACTTGGTTCTCAATCGGAATGTTTAATTTTTAAAACTAAGATGTAGCAGCGTTATTTTGGGATAAATTTCATTTTATTTGTTTTCAGAAGTGACAGAAAATATTTGCAGCGGAAATTAATCGTTTCTAACATTGGAAATATTAAAAGTTGTCTGCCTCATGCGAAATTGACTACCGTTTATCAACTCCAGTATTGCGGATCATTGGCCTCTTGTTTCTAAGGACATGCGTGAATAATGTACAACATCGATTGTACGTGATTAAATTGAACTAGCTTGAAGTTATCCATCATTTGCGGAATCATAAGGAATACTGGAATAGGGCTTCGTTCCCCTTAATGAGTGCAATCATGCTTACGGAGTAGGTAATGCTTCTGTATCTTCGTCAAAGCAATTTCGTTCGCCAATCTCTATCCTTCCTGCGTCCATAAGTCGAATATGATTTACTATAGTCGGAACAATTGCTTCACACGAGTTTGCGAATCCTTTGTCTGATTGTGGGTTTTGAGAGCGTCTGTTTATCGGCAAGATGATCAATATGTTGGCTCAAATTGTTTTAATGTGATTGCTTTGTAGATTAAAGATGTGAGCAGTTGTAGGCAAAATTAATATAAATTATTAACAACTTGTCTCCATGGGCATAAATTTCCATTGCCGCCGCTCTGCTGCATGCATAGTCTGCTAACGGATGCAGTTGTATGCTGTATGTTGTTTGAGTCGTACTTCCTGGGTGTCTCGGACTCTCAACGTAGAGTTTCACTCGTAACGATAATGACATTGTTATGCATCTTATGAGCTTTTTTCGGCTTCATTTGGACATTCATGAAAATCATTTCATATGCACCGGAGAATAATGGATGGGCAATGATGTTCATATTACAACCACTCATAAAATGTTAAGATTGAATTGGAATTCAACACTTGGGCTAAAACCTACGTTTTAAAACATCTCGACTTAATAAGTTGCCAGCTATCCAGAATTTTGAAAGCAAATGCCATCGAGCAAAACTTTAGAATAATGTGATGAGCTCCCAGGCAGCGAATGTTTCAAAGGTAGACTACGAGGTCGCATGTAAGACTGATAAGCAATACCTAGTAATTGTTTCTATGATAAGACATGATAAGAGACAAGATAAGAGAGCCAGGGTCTTCGTTATCATCAAGTTACATGTTCATCAACAGCCTCTGTTAAGTCCGGCACCACATCATGACTTATTCAGAGTTTGTTGGGACAAGTGTTAGCACAACGAGTTGGCTTTGTGAGCTCTGAAATTACATCAATTATTCGATTTTCATTTGGCTCGGCCAAGGCGCTTCCTATGGACTAAGGAGGACACTCGGCCCATGGAGCGTCTAGAGGTGTCTTTGTCCGTCGTAGCATCGTAGGTGAGTGTCGTTTTTGAAGCCGAAAAACGCCCTGTAAAAAGTTATTTATTTTGCAGGTGAATTTCAGGTATTTATCGGTGCAGTTGTTGTGTACATCTATTTCAAATAGAAAATCTGTATTTATCTAGGTCAAGTATACAGGTTCTTTCTCTTTCGAAAAATTTCGAACGGAGAAGTTTCCATTGAAAGGAAGTTAGACTGTCAAGAAAATAAGTTGCAAAAATGTAAAAGATTCCATGCAGGAAACAAATTTTCCTTGTTTATAATCAAAAACACATTAAATCTTTCGAAACTCGAGGCAATATTTATTTAAATAATAACAGATGTGGCATTTTTAAGCTGTTAACATACGATAGCTGACAACTTTTGTAAGCTATGTAAATTATGACTAACGACAGCGTAACGCATTTTTAAACTGTTAACGTATGATTGGTGACGACTTATGTCAACTGACAATTATTAGGACTCCATGTCACAACTTACGACATCGTCTCTGGAGAGGATTGACGTGTACGACGTCTGTCGATGCATGACGTACGACATGTTCAACTGTCACTTATCCACAATAAAACATCTTTGCGCCCGCGATTAGTAGAGTGTCACGTAAATTATTGCGGCAACATTTCGAGGAGATGGGCTATGGGCGAATAGACGCAGCCCGCCAGTTTATCATAGAGAGTCGGAGACTAATGTTGATACGTCGATGCTTCACTGCATCGCCTATGTGTCCGAATTACTGCTGTGAGTGTTTTATTACTAGAATCCTTTCATATTAATTCTGTGTACACTTTTTACGTTCAAATACCTGCTGAATGCGTCACAATTTTCTTTTATGATTACCCACAATGAACCTAGTCGAGAATATTGGCGCAACATTTGTGTTAGTTGCGGTGTTCAATGATACGCAACCTGTCAGCATCTCCACGCAAACATTCCTATTTCTCACTCATGCAGCTCACAAGAACAATGAAGGAAAGAAAAACCAAAGTTCGCTTGCTCTTGATGCCCAAAGGGCTTCATGAAAAGGCTGTGCCGCGAAGGCAGTTAACAGACGAACTTCGGTTTTTTCTTTCCTTTATTGTTCTTGCAAGCTGCAAGAGTAAGAAATAGGAAACTAACACAAATGTTGCGCCAATATTCAAGACTCGGTTCTTTGTGGGTAATCATAAAATAAAATTGTGACGCATTCAGCAGGTATTTGAACGTAAAAAGTGTACACAGAATTAATATGAAAGGATTCTAAAGGAATTTAAAAGCAAAGAAAACGCCAAGAAAATTCACCATATCGATATTGAAAACGTTTCGGAGTCCAGCTCCATCATCAGTTCGACTAAACTAAGAATGAATAAAATCACTTTAAAAGTCAAAATTCAAAGACGGACATAAAACCTAAACAAGACCTAACATTATAACATTATTTAGGTTTTATGTCCGTCATTGAATTTTGACTTTTAAAGTGATTTTATTCCTTCTTAGTTTGCCGAACTGATGGAGCTGGACTCCGAAACGTTTTCAATATCGATATGGTGAATTTTCTTGGCGTTTTCTTTGCTTTTAAATTCCTTGTGAACTTGCGATATAAACAGACTAATAATATAAGTACTTATATACGATCTGAAAGGATTCTAGTAATGAAACACTCACAGCAGTAATTCGGACACAGCCGATGCAGTGAAGCGTCGACGTATCAACATTAGTCGGCGACTCTACACGGTAAACTGGCGGGCTGCATCTATTCGCCCGTAGCGTCTCCGCGAAATGTTGCCGCAATAATTGACGTGGCACTCTACTAACCGTGGGCGCTAAAATATTTTATTGTGGATAAGTGACAGCAACGATTGTTGACAAGTTGATATATTCAAATGAGAATATCTGTCAAACGGTAGTGGTTGACGTGTGACATGTGTTTATGCATATGAGAGACTTGTTCAATAATGAAAATTTAAGCTGTAAATTTTTTGCTCAGAAGCTTCCGGTAAATTCATGCATGGTAGATGAATATAATATACATTGTACGATCTCCTTGAGTCAAATGGCTTCCTTATAAATGAGGGCATATTGTTTTTGCAAACAATTTGCGGCAAATTTTAACCGAATAGGGATATTTTTCGTCCAATGATACTAAATATGAATTGTAAATAAATTTGTTCAGGCCTATAAAAGTTTAGTTGGTTATTTACAAGCGAAATCCATTGGCCATATATGGGTATTGCAGAGTCAAGTCTGTATGGTAGTTACATAAGAAACCATCGTGCCCAGTATGTGGTTCTGATCAACCCTTTCCCAGCCACACATAATGTAAATTTGTTATAAATACTTTGTTTAAATCCGCATTTCTGCTTCGATATTAATTATCGGCCTCATTAACAATTTAATACCAATAATTATGGCCACGATTCTCTTACCGAAACACTCCTTGATATTGCACGAAAGACCGTAAAGTTCGTGAATTGATCGCGAGGTCTGCCCCACTTTTTACCTTATAAGGGTATTATATAAATATCAAATTGCTTCTATATTCAATTCATGATTAAATATAACAAGTTTTATTAATTCTTAGCCGGAGACCTGTTGATACCAATGAACGAGCTGCATATCACCGATCGTTCGAGCTAGAGAGTGTCTGCGTGGTGTGGCAGGTCAGGCTGGTGCCGAGCTAGTATAGTTCAGTAGGCGCTGGAGTCGAGTGCACCCGTCGTGCTAGCTCACAGTTGTCAGTGAGTAAGCAAGAGGGCAAGGATGCTTCACTGTCTTCCTGAGATAACACGTTTCCTTCGAGATAAGAACATCCTTTGCAGCTGTGTAAGACAGGGTCAGTTGCCGTGGGTCCGGTAAAATGGTGTAGCATGAAGAGAAGAGTGGTCACTCAATTATTCAAAGACTAGGGATCTTCGTGAGCTCGATGACTGCATATCTATTGCATTTATTGTGTGTGGTTTGTAAAGTGACGTTATTTTTCATGAAAAATTCGCTAGTTTTTTTTAAAAGTTTTCTAGTGGAAATGCCTAGAACGCGCAGTGCAAAGCATTTTGAAACGCTCACCGAACGTCGCCAGCGTTCCAGAGTATCGGGACTATAGCCAGGCCTGGGAAGACGTGTTGGAATAGGATCCACCGACCTGCAGTAATTTTAATTATTTCGGAGGATCCAAGACTACGATCTCGAACATTATTGAGGTGCTCAGTAAAAGTGCTACGGTGATTGAGTTTAGTAGGATAATGAATGCTTTTGTTGGAAGGAATTAGTTGATGAGTGGAAATAGTTGCTTTTTAATTCATGCGGTGTTTTGGACTTCACAGTGATCATAAATTCGGTTTCAGGGGATTGACTGAAGGTTCCAGCAAGTGCTGGTATTTTAGAGCGTCAATATTAATGACTCAAGTGTTTTTCCTAATAAGCTCGGGATCGTAAATACGAATGAAACAAATCTACGCGGTGTATATGCATTTCTTCCTCTCGCTTATGTAATTAAGAGGTGATTTTCTTGAGCCCCGGAATCGTGAAAATTTATTCGTCATAATATCAATCCCGCACGATTTTAAGGCGATCGACGAAATAACGTAAGCTTGCTATTAGATACGACTTGCTATTATTAAATATCCATAATTATCGGTGGTCTTCAGTAAAATTAGTTGACGTAGATGAAATGCCGATTAATGATGTAAATTAGTCTACTGTCCGATGAGTTTTTTATTTGTAGCATATTTTAAAATTCTTTGAAATGTGTTTGCTATCGTGAATTTTTGTTCTTAGGAGAAAGCGTAACTTACAAAATCGGTGCCACATAAAGAGGACTAATGCATGGGTATGGATGTGAGTTTACCAGCTCGAATTAGTCTGTATTCTGTCACTATTGGGCACAAACTGATGCATCGCTATAGGAAAAATTCGATTACTTCGTTAAGTGCTTCCATACCACATATATTTCACGTGAGTGAAGGCAATCAAATAAAAACAGGAAAAAATTCAATTAAAAGCGAGCAAACGCATACAAGTGAGTAACTGATCTGAGAAGAAGGCTCTGAATACATGCAACAATGCATGTTGCACTGAAAATAAAATAAAATTTCTTGATAAATGATACGTTCCAAACTACATGATAATATTAATTTCACTTAATAATAAAATGCTTGACCATATTTCTTAAAATGTAATGATAGAAAACAAAAACCAATTCTTCGCTGGCCCCAATGAAGTGAAGTACAGCCAAAAGTCGGATTGCAAGTACAAAAAGATATAACTCAGGACTCACTGCAGTGAGTGGCAGAGAGCGCATTTTCTCGTCGACGAAAACGTGAAGTCACGGACGGACGGACAGACAGACAGACGGACGGACGGACAGACGGACATGGCGAGCACAATAGTGCATTTTTTTCCATAAACGAGAAAATGCGCTAAAAAGTATGAAGGGTAAAATTTTGCACGGGTGCACCTCTCCACAAGAACAGGGAATTTCTTCACCAAAAGCAAAGGTGAAGAGCTGAGCCCTCGCAGGCTTCTCCTGGGCATCTATGTAGACTGGCACCTGCCACGGCCGTCTAGCGCGATCGAGCCGAGCTTGTCACACTCATTGATTATCGACTGCATCGCGAATTGACGCGAGAAAGAAGCAGGTCATCAACGTGACTAATGACCACAAGTCTATGAAAAATTTAGGCCACAAATGGAGCAACTTCCTTGTTGCCGCGCATGTATATAAATAGAAATAAGTTAGGGTAAAAATTATATGTCGGTAAATATAACTTTGAAGGGGGAAACTTCATTTTTGTAGGGAAATAGAAAGATCAGTGGGAATGATTGAAATTAAGATTTAGAAATCGCAAAGCATATATGTATGATTTATATAACGTATTATATTATCTCGGCCAAATGTGGTAAAATTACCAAATAGCTCCATAACCCCTCGTTGTTATCGGTTCCGCAATTTTAGACGATAAGTAAGTTTTCATGCCCGGCACTACCAATTTCACGCAGAATAAATGAGTACGTACTCATTAATCAGCAACTTATTATTGTCAGATAAACCATAAATCATATACTTAAAGGCCGTCACGGAACACATTAGCGTAGAAATTTAACGACTGAATATTAACTTTAGCCTAGTGGTATTAAGTCATTAGTTTAAAAATTAATGGCATTTGTGGTGTTCTACTCGCCTGTTTTATAGTGTCTTTGTGACCTTTTTAGCGCCAGTATTAATGCATGCTCGGAGCTGAGTGGTCGGGCCTCCATGGCGACCACCGCATACACACTCGTCGCCCTGCAGCACCTCGAGCAGCAGACAGGCTAACAAGGCTGCGAAACATCTTCACTGTGATTAATATGAGGTCGATACTCGCATGTGATATCAATTATATACCTTGACGACTAATATGAGGTTCTATACTCGGATGATAGATGAATGATCTCACTCAGTGACCAAAATGAGGTCCGATACTCGCATGGTATAGCAATGATCTCACTCAGCCACATATATGAGGTACGATACTCGCATGGTACATCAATGATCTCACTCAGCCACATATATGAGGTACGATACTCGCATGGTACATCAATGATCTCACTCAGCCACATATATGAGGTCCGATACTCGCATGGTATAGCAATGATCTCACTCAGCCACATATATGAGGTCCGATACTCGCATGGTATAGCAATGATCTCACTCAGTGACTAATATGAGGTCCGATACTCGCATGATATATCTATTATCTACCTTGACGACTAATATAAGGTTCGATACTACTTGAAGACTAATATGAGGTACGATAAGACACCATCATGTAATAACAATGATATACTTTGTCCGCAAATATAAGGTCGTAAATTGCATGCTATGATAAAGCTCGTTCGATTATGAATGTTACGTCAGTGTGACGGACTTGCTTCGTAAATATTCTTCGGCAGTTTGCATTCCAGCCGGCGATACCATGGTCACTTCGTCCGCCACGTCTGCGAATCATTATATCTACGCCCAACCGACCTATACATCAGCCCTTAATTAAGTAGCAGTACCGACGTACACAGCAGCAGTTGTGTAACGTCACCGACGTGCACCGCAGCAGTTGTGTAACGTCACCGACGTGCACCGCAGCAGTTATGTAACGTCACCGACGTGCACCGCAGCAGTTGTGTAACGTCACCGACGTGCACCGCAGCAGTTTGCCGTGCACCGCAGCAGTTATGTAACGTCACCGACGTGCACCGCAGCAGTTGTGTAACGTCACCGACGTGCACCGCAGCAGTTGTGTAACGTCACGTCGACGTCCGTTGCCAAGATCGAGGAGCTGTGAGGCTGGCAAGCGTCGGCGCTGCGGACAACACGCTGTGATGTTGATAAATACGCGCCGGGCTTCTGCTCACACTTCTGGAACGTCGAACACTCAACCTGTGCTCATTTCCTGGAGCTATCCAATGAAATTTTAGAGATTGATTTTATTCAGTTAAGGTTTATTCTTTGAAAAAATAACACTGTGAATGCAAGTCAATAAAAATGTCCCAAAGAAATGACATTCTCATGAATTCACAATAAATTAAAATAAGTCCTGTATCAAGAGATAACAGAGATAAGAAAGATTTATCTTGCAAAGCGGTTTACAAATAAGAAAGATTTATCTTTCTTATCACACAAAGTTTACAATTTTAGTTGAAGAGACGTACGTCGATGCTTTAAAAGCTCAAAGTTAAATCATTCAACGAGCACTCATGTACCTGGTTAGGCAATAATTCGGAGTGCATTCACGCGGCAATGAAATAGCGATTTGATGAATTACTAATCAAACAATTACTGTGCGGCAAACAACTTTCTTTGTTCTGCTAACTGATGCACTAACTGTTGAAAAGTAAAGCCAACTATGCGACGACAGTGAGTCGGCCACCCCTCAGACACCAGTAATGTCGAATAGGGAACTACTGTGGCTTATATATTAGACTACTGGGTATTATGTTTGGGCTTGCAGTCTTTCACCATTGAATCGATGAGAGCCTAAGTAATTTGAAGATGTTCTATTTGTTGTACCGGCCAAAGGCGAAACAAAGAAGTGCTTCAGCCTGAGGCGTTATTACCGTAATAAGCGTTTAACGAATTACTTGGTCATTAGATGGTCATTTCATAGCAGCACACCGCAGAGCAGCAATAAGCATTCCAAATATCAATATTTTCTATGATGAGCAATTGTAAAAATTTGTTCATTTACACTGGGAAAGTTAATCAACTTCCTTACTACTTTTATTATTAAAAGATGGTAGGAATATATGATCATGGAAATATTTGTCAATCTAGCTAACTATTCGATGGTGAATCATTGTTTGTCATGATAGTGCTGTTTGCGACACGCCTGGAAGAATGTTCACGTAACTTGAGTTCGCTGCTCATCGATCGCATTTTCCTACGAAGTCTTAGTCGTCAGTAACTGCGTATGGCTTCTCTATGTATAGTTGCTCTCCTTGTTATTTTGTCTCTGACAAGTGAACACTGCCTCCCATTTATGACTCGTTAATTTTTTTTCTGATAAATGCCAGTTTATTGATACCGAATGTAGCCAGATTTTGACCGCTTTGTAGATATATTGTTTTGCTTCCAGGAAATTGATACTTTATTTAATAGATTTCGGCAAATTATTTCGCTGATTGAATTATCATATATGGCAACTTCCTTTGAGTCGAGTCATTCATAGTTGATTTCATAACCAAAAAAATGATTTAAGAGATGGAAATGAATGTGTTTAATCTTGGGGTTCATTACTTGACTGATGTGAATTTATGTGAATTGAGATTATATCAGGCCGAAGAGGTAAATTCAGAGTATATTTTTAGATTTAGTGATTATATTTAAGGCAAAAACTTTTTTTATATTATCGGAATTACGAAAGTATTTTTCTTTTCTTTCCAGGGAGTCGGTGAGGGCACTGAATAACGACAATGAAACATAACAAGAAGTTAAAATAGACAGTGATATAACTTCACTCTAAAATTTCAATCAAATAAACTTTATTTGAAATAGTTCGTGTAACCCTTACCCAAAATGTCTGGTGAAGAGGCACCGGATATTTTGGCGGCTGCCTGCTCTGCCGTCGGTATTGACGAACTTGGCGATTACATGAGCTCTTCAGACCAAGTTGAAAGCGCCCCTCCGGCGTCATCGATGGCAGCAAATCAATTGGTAACGACACAGCAACCGCGAACATATGCAACGGAACCAAGAAAAGAGAGCATCGTCGTAGGAAGACCTAATGCAGTACAACGTTCAGTGCCTCCTTATGCATATCCAGTGCCTTATCATAGCCAGCAAATCCAAGGCTGGGGACCCAGAATGCCTCCGCCGTTCGACCGTCGGCGAGAAGGTCACATAGTCTTGCACGATCCAACTCGGCCTCAGTACAGAGCAGTCAAAACAAAAAATGGCTACACCGAATACCACGCTGCTGGGTATTTAGTCGGCAATTCAGCTCCTCATCTACATTCGAATTATATAAATGGTCACCCGAACTCTGTTCACGCTGGTCCTCCTCAATATTCACTTCACAATACTGACCGAAGATATGATCACAGCACAGGACCACAACCAATTAATGAAACCAATCCTCCAAGCCAAAATTCCTCCTCCCCTTCTGCCAAGACTTTCAACACAGCAGTTTCTAATCATCCGACACCAGCACCTGCTCATCAAATCCAGCCCATGTACGCAAGACATCCCCACAATCCTGTTTATCAATATCCACCGTATGACGCTAAGTACCATCAGCCTCTACAACCAACATCCCCTAATATGCCTTCTTCAAAACAGCATCTCACAGCACCTCACCCATATGCGCTAGCTGAGCGCATGACAGGTAGAATGGTATTCCATCCTTCCACTGAACCAGCAAGGCCCATGACCGCAGAGGGAGTGCCTGGCTCTGCAGCTCATGATCGGGCCAAAATGCTGCCTCGAGTGCCACAACAAAGAGTTCATTACAGAGCAGTATATCCACAAAAGGAAATTGTCCAGCCACCAGTACCAATGTATGCCATAGAATCTCAACATCGGCTTCCGAACCACGGGTTACATAACGGAGTCATACGTCAGTACATACGAATACCTATTGAAAATAACTTTCGTTCTCAAAATACGATCACGCGAATTCCAAATCCAAACTACCCATATTTTATGCAACACTCAAATGTCATTAGACCTGAATCTAAAACTATGAAAGTCCCAAGTATTGCAAGTTTACCCTCCGAGCACCCTAGCGTGGGTGATCAAGTCCAAATGAACCAAACCAAGTTACTTCCGAATAATATAAACAATAAAAATGAATTAGATTCACAAGTCCCTAACTCAATGCAGAATGTGCCGTCGCACATAACTAACAATGCCACCAATAAGGCGGTTGGTCCACAAGAGCGTTTTACATTTGATCATACAGCTGATGGCATGCGGACAAGCAGAACATGCACCGCTAACGCCTTCTACTCCAAACCTGAACCTTATTACACAACCGCTCCTCATCAGGCGAATAATGTTAATAATAATCACATTCCCCGGCCCAGATTACACGATGCTGTAAATATTTCCCAGCTTCCGTACCACGCGGATCCCGTTAATTCTACTGTCTCGTTTCAAGCGTCAAATCCGACTGCTTATAATCGAGAAACTTCATCAAAACAAGTGCTGGCACAACAATCCTCAATCCTTCCTCAGGTTCATAGTGATAAAAAAACACTCAGTACGAGACATGATACGGACTCCATTCAGACTCATTGGCAGAGCGGCGCTGAACGGGTCGAAAGTAATCACCTGCCAGCTTCAAGATATTCTGGACAATTTCAGAGTAGCCATTCTGTACAACAATACAACCGACCACAGCAGCAATTGTCCCACAATGCTTTATCTGAGGCTTCCATGGGTAAACATTATGGGATCCGTGAAAGATGCTCCAATGTCTTTGACCCTCAACAGCAAAGAATTTCCGAACTCGCTACGCATCATCACAGTTACAACTATCCCTCTCATATGGACGTGGATCATCCCTCAATGGTAGAGAAAAGGCACCAATATTCGAATATTTCTACTGGCGCACCCACGAAAGACTTTCAAACTTCACAGGGGCAGTTGACACGACCTCTCTCAAATGACACTGGTGCTCAAGCTACCGTTTCTAGTGACAGAGCTTACCTCAGTAATCCCTCGTTTTCTCCAAATGCAGTGCAATCGTCTGAATTTCATTCACTTGATACACGCGCTCATCCAAAGAACACTGCAACTGGTCTTTCTACACCAATTACTGCCTATGAGAGGACATTGGGTTATAATACTTCTGTCTCCCACGTCACTAGTTTTCCAAACCAGCACTGTCATAACCCATCTGAGCCTCAACGAGCTCCACTATCTCAGCATTCAGCTTCATCAGCAGACGCATTGGAAGTAGGAAACAGTAAAGAAATTTCGTTGCCTTCCGGTGCTCACAGACCTCCTGAATATAGTTCTGAATTTAATCCCAATAGTTTAAACTCTACCTTGGGCTGTACAGAAAATCCCACTACAAGCTCAGGTTCAGCTTTTCAACATAAAAATATCGAAATTCTGAAGCGGAAAGATTGCAATGGCCGGAGAGAGTATGGAATGTCACCAAAAGCTATAATATTCGAACGAATGAAAGACGCTGCATTGATGCAAAGTCGCGAGCAGCCTACCACCATTGAAAATAATCCTCAGTCACCTCGTGCTGCCAACGAATGCATGAACTTAACGAATTCTCCACAATTTTCTAAAGATACTTCGTTTCCTAAAAAACGGAAGTTTTCAGATGAACGTGCGAATGCTGCCTTCTTGAATGCTCCCGAAATTTCTAGAAACTATAAGAAGCAGCTACGAACTCAGTACAGCGCTGATTCAGGTACGTCGACGCATTGATTAAAATATCGATACTTCGTTTGAACGAGATTTTTAACCTGTGCGATTATCGTGATATTTATGATTGATCAGCAAAGTATAATGTCTGACCGCGGGGATGATAGATACTTATGCATTTGTACTTCAGAACTGCACATTATTTAGAACTTTACCTACCACACATCCAACTATGCATTATAAATTGTTCATGCAACTTTGTAATCTATCTGAAGCATTCGATTTATGCATGCATGATATAATGAGCCTTTGTCTCATTTACAGGATCTCCACAAGAAGCTTCTCGCTTAGGGCATTTCGTGCGGGTATCTCCTGATTCAAACACAACCTGTGTGCCATCATCGCCGGGAAACAACTATACGGTAACTAGAAGTGTTGAGAAGCAGACTGAGAATTCTTCTCGTTGCAGCATTGACCATATCTCTCCGGATACGTCTGGTGTTTACCATACCGGCTTCCAGACCACTTCGGACTCGGTGTGCAGCTCTCCCGCAAACAGCGCAGTTCCAAATTCCTCGTCTTTCGAAAGCTTACCTCGTCCGTTCAGTAATTGCTCCAAATTGGAGAGTCCAGCCAAAGACCCACAACTTTCTTCTAGAAGTGTTCGGAGACTATCGATAGATGACAACGTTACTCTTGATAAGCCCAACCAAAGTTTGTATGCTCGGGAATCCGAGAAAGCCATATTTTCGGCGCCAGTCAGTCATACTTCTTTTGACTGGCCGTCGTGTTCTTACCAATCAAAAACCCCTTATTCTTTGACTAAAAAAGACAAATATAATGATAAGGAAGATGAACTTTTTGCTTCGACTGCTCGAGCGGAAACCCCACCACCTTTTGTACCTAATACCAAGTCGTATTCAGTTGAAAGTGGTCTGCTTGAAGTGCAGAATATCCGTGAAATTCAGGTTTATGAAGAGGTGACCCCACAGAATTGTTTGGTGGACGTAGAGAAAGGCGAACTTTCTGGAAAACCTGTAGAAAAGGTCGTCCAAAGTCCAGGATCCCCTCAAAAAGAAAAAGTCGAGACATCTACACTAAATTTGTCCACGGAGAAAGAGACAACAGGTGACCGATTCACAACCTTGCTTCGTCCTGTACTCACAACGTTGTTGAGTGTTCCAGAGGCTGAATCTCTGCGACCGTTGCTGGATGAACCGGGCAAATTACTAGAGGAAATGGTAAAAAAGGGAGGAGGCGAACCTTCGTCTGATCCAGACCATTTTCAGCGAATGAAGATGAATTTCAAACTATTCTTGAAACAGTTTATTAACCCAGAAACTCGATCGGAATGGGGATGGGAGGATTGCTCCATAGAAGACATCCTGGAGCTGCTCAGCGCCCAAGCAGGTTAGTTTAGAGCTTTATAGTTTTGAGTTTAGCTACATTTTTCTAACAAGAAAGTGTTTTGATTTGCGAAATTCATATCAAGCCTTTAAAAGTTCATTGCGATAACTAGGTTCCATAACCGGAATTGAAACTTTCTTTTGAAGTTTACCACTTTACTTCTCAAATAATTGGTCAAATTTCTCTTAGAAATGTTGAAATTATCCCCAGATAAAGATTATATACCACGGAATATAAGTAAATTCCACGTATAGATTATATCATTTTCGATGTATTCACTTGGTTCAAGTCCTTTCCTAGGACATGAATTCATCTGAATTTATATATTTGTTTATACTGAAAAGCATCGAGTAAGCCATAGCAATGAAGGCCATATATGCTGTATTGTTTCGAAGCAAATTTATTTAAATGAATTCTGTTTTGGAGGACGACCCTCCCAATGTAATAGGAAATAAGCGGTAATAACGTGAGCGCTTCATGTGACAGAAAAAAATACACGAAGAAAATTTACGAGCATTATTACACTCTCTGACGTTTTCGGGTTTATCGCGCCTTATTGCCGGTGAAATTTTTTGCTGTCAAAATCATACATGTATTAAAATATGAAACAGAATTTCTATTTTGATAAAAATAATTGTTTGTCAATTATTATTAATACCTTCCATGTTTAACGCGATTTTTTTCATTTACTCTTGAATTAGGACAATTTCGATATGATAATCAATTTATATTAAAATGTTATTTACTTTCGAGCCTAAACAAATCTTCTACTATAAAACCAAGCTTTTTTATCTAATCTAAATTTATTTTTAATAGGGTCTGCCCGCGATGCATTACGTGGAAACGAATCAACAGCATCCGAAGTCGAGATGACCTTACCGTCGTCAAGAGTCCCTCAGGACTGCGTGACAGAAAATGCTCTGTCTGAATCTAATGATCGTGAGTCTAAAGCTAACGAAGATAAATCACCGCAAACTTCCTTGGCGTCTCCTGACTCAAGGAATTGTGAACAGGATTTATTAAAATCGAACGATAGGTTGACACCAAACGAGACAATATTTGGTTCCGAGCAACCTGTGGTGACGACAAGTTCCGAAACCAAAGACCAAGTCAGTTCTCCAGACTCACTAGCCAAAGAAAAGCATACACAGTCAACAAATGTTTATTGCATAACTTCCTCCAATCAAAATTTACTTGAAGAACATCTCTCCAACGACGAAGAAAACGGTTCAAAATCCGAATCCGGAAACATTATGATAGGCAGGAAAAGCACTATTGTGCGATCGTACGCCACATCAACGACGGATCCACTATCCCCTCTATCGTCTGGGTCTAATCCCGGCAGCAACTCTTCCTTGGATCCTATCGTCAATACTGGGGGATCCTGCATACCTCGTTTTCCTACCGTTGACACGTCCCCCAGTGAAATAAACCATACCGAGGCGCAACTTCAGCAAACGTCTGACGTTGACATGAACTCGTCGACTGATCACGTCTCCAGTGCCACCGATTCTTCTGCGAAAATTTTGACTGCGTAGATTGTGCAGGGCTCGCGATTTACATCTGAAAAATTTACCATTTCTTAGTACGTTTCTATCGCAATTGTTATCAAAAATTTTAAATGAAACTACATTCGTGATTTAAAAAATTTTTGATCGATAACATGGTCAATAAAGTTAAATGCTTGAAAACCTTCGTCACTTCTACCAATGTAAATTTATCTTATTCGCGATGAATAACTTTGTCCTGACTAAGTTTGTTATTTAATTTTGAAAAACTGGTTATTTTATTTGCCGCAGAAGTCATATACGTCTTGCAGGAAAATTTCTATGTTGCCAGTTTAGGTGTAATGTAACTAGTCAGGAATTTACATTTATACGCTTAAGTGCAATATTGTTATTTTATTTGAAATCATAATTGAAGTGTCGGAAAAGTTGTTCGCTTTTTTAAAGTGTACGAGCACATAAGTGTAATGGTATATTATATAAATGCGTTAGAATTCTATCATAAATGTTTCCATTGTTGCCGTTGTTTTAATGGTTGTTGTTATTCGAATGAACGTTATTTTATCGTTCGCTGTTACTATAATTCTACGATTTTGTGCAAAAAAGAGTGTTAGTATAAGAGTTTCAGTACATTCTTAATCCTTATAGGGTAATTTTTACTTCCTTTGTCATGCAGATGATTTCCTAGCTCACGTTTCAAGTAAATAAAAAAATGTGTTCGCACGTCGACCTTTCCAGGATTGCATGGGCATTAAGATGTATAATTATATTTGAGAGATACTCTAGAGGTATATTTGAACATCTTTTAATCGTTTAATCAGTTGATGGATTATATTTGGAAGTCATTTTTAGGCAGTGCGCAACAGACAATAAAAAATGTAATTAATGAAACAATTTTGATAACGGTCACGTACTCTTGTTAAACGCCGTATGTATGGATACCTCCAAAACGTAATATCTTCCAAAATATCTGGAAATTTCTAATGAATGTAAGCTACTGCCAATGTTACGAAATATTGCTGTCAGTTAGAAAATACTCTTTCGACTTAAATTGGAATTAAGTAAAAAAAGTAAGCAGGAATTAGAGTGATAAACCATTATATATTTCCATGGGATATGGCTTGAGGAAATTCCCAGAAAATATTGACAACGTCTATTGAGGATTAAAGGACTCAAAATTTCTGATCTGCGTAGCTGTTTAACTTACGAACCGAATGATATGTGTCTCGATGTTGTAGGATGATATTTGTAGGAGGAGATAGATTTTCTAAAGTACCCCTTTTTAGCCGTTTTCTATGAATTTCACGTTTTCTAACAATTTTTTCAAAAAATTTATAGGAGCAAAATGTTATTTTTTTACATTTTACGTATGTATGTGAAGTTTCATCATGATCGGATAATAACTAGAAGTTTTTCCGGAGGGTAGTCGGTCCCCTTAAGTATCGCTCGAGGAATCAGTGTATACTCGTTAGTCACTCTTACGTCGTCGCATTTTTATAGAATTTTTTTAGTTTTTTCAGGCAAAAACTTGAATAATTAAATTTACTTGGCATGTTTTCTTCAACTTTTGGAAATGAGACTTGCATTTTTCCCTTCCTTAGTACTCAACGCGGCTCTTAAATTATTTTCAAAGAGATGAAATAAAAAGTTCCTCTTTATATTTAGACAATACAATCTTTCACTTAGTTCATTTGTTACTTACAACCTAACATTGGTCATAGTTAGGAAGCCATTCGTAAAAGTACGTGATGATAAACAGGAAAATTAGGTGCGTGTTTTATAGTTCAACTTCCTGTTTTATTATCAGAACTTAACGATATATTGTTCTGTATAATAAAACCATCAGCTTCGATCAGTAAGAGGCTGATTATTGCATGTAATATGATTTTTCGTTTTGTATATCATAGAATTAAGTTACTTATTGTGATTATTCATCAAGAAATAAAGTACGATTTTTTCACCAAAATATACAAGCCAAATTAAAGGGCATTGCAATAGTTTTATCATAGGAGAAGTTAACTGGCTTCCCTCACGAGAATTGGATAGGAAGATCCTACGTTCAGGGGATTGTAAAGGACCTTTGATTCCGTGACCCACAGAGCAGGGCCTATACTTTAAAAAAAATTAAGAGATTGTAAGTTCATCAGCCAATCATTGACGGCCTTTCAAGCAAAATCCACCAATTTTAGACAAGAAAATAGAGCGTAAGTACTTACGTTCACTAAGCGAGTTTTGAACGTATGGCCCCAGGTGTCAAGCGTCCGTCAGCTGCGCGGTATCTAGGATTCGGAATCCTATCTGAGATTCGATCCTCATCTGAAGCTAGCCCGAGGCCGGGCTCTCGCTCGACCCCGAAGCTCAGTGACAAACCAGCAGCTGTGGATTGTGTACCGTGTCGCTCCATGAACCCATGCCACCGTTTACGATCTTGCTGAATATTTTTTACGCGATTTTCTGCAAGAGACTTTTGTGCTATTAAATGTTTTCGTAAATAGAAAAAAATGGAAACTTAACTAAACTCGAAACAGGAACAAAAAATATTTTTCGCTCACTTTTTTATCTTCTCTATTGTTCTTTGATCACGGTTTTCTGACTAGAAACTACTTAAATCTCTCCGGGGCAAGCATACATGTGTATTTGAGGTCTCCGTTTTCCATTATCCTATTCTCCAAGTTAGTTAACAAAAATCCGAGCAGATGTGCTCGAGTACACCTAGAGACACCTGTGAGTTTAGCACCTCTTTCCCTTCATCGCTGAATGTTCCCCTTTAACAACAGTCCTCACATGTTGAATGGCAGAGGTTTTCATGAGAGAATTCGAACATTTGTATTGGTACATCCAATACTAAATGTGGCTCACACAGCGACTTGATAACTAACTATCTTGTTTGACTATATCAAAATATACGAAAAATGAGGCAGGGAAATTTAAGTTGAATATCTCCAGAAGATTGTATATCTGATAATATAATGAGCAGAAATGACTGAATACCGTTTTAATCACTCAATGTGTGCATCTTACTCAGGAGTTTATTATGGGGGATTTATATCAAACCTATTAATGTGTGAATTTTTGATCTTAACAAACACGCAAAAGCTTGCAACCGTTCCAAATGTACTCATCCATGTACAGCGAAAAATGACTCATCAATGCCAGATGCCTTATAAAATTCTATCGCCACTTCTTTAATGGCAAACTGAATTAATTGATGCGATAGCATGAGCAATTTTAGCTAATTCAAATTAAGGGGAGAATATGATATTAAATTTGTCAAATTCGATTTTTTGATGAAGCCACTGAATTAATTGAAGAAGTGGACATGTTTAACTTTTCTACTTGCGTTAGTGACTGACTTGACTGCTCATTTAGTGTCAGGTGAAACAATTCTAACACATGAATATTAAAAAATCACAAAAGTGTACAATTTTCTGACATATTAACCATGAATCATTTCTTAACCCAACACTTTCACTCTTAGCAGCTTTAAATCTTTTATCCATCGCTGTTTTTAAAAGGATAAGGGCCTCAAAACTCAATTCCTGTGATTTCAGCAAGCAATTTTTTATGTAGAAGCCTAACAAAAATAGGCTGTGAGGCGCTTCCGACACCACAAGTCTTCAACACAATTGTATAGGAAAACTAACCTAAATAATGAGCAAGAAGCCAAGAAAAGATTCTAGGCCACCATTGATCCCCATGACCTCCAGAAAACAACACAATAACCTAAGTACTCCATTCGTCGCCTGCGCTCCAAGTCTTGCCAAGTTTAGGCTTGGTCCCAGCCGGAATTTCAGGAAGATAATTTTAGATTGATATACGGTAAATCGACATGCAACATCTCTGAAATTGCATATCGGCTGATAAGTTTTATCAATAATCTTCTTATATCGCAAGTTCACCAAAAATTTAAGAGCATCGCAAACGCCAAATATATACACCACATCTCCATATACGTTCAAAATGCACAGGATAGTTCAAATTAAACGATATTCATTGGCGTCATCTCACTGTTGATGGCAAAATCGGAGCAATCCTTGCATCGAAGATTCTTAAACACTATTTGAGTATTCAGTAAATTCCACAGTGGGCAGCATTACAAGATCCTCACCTTAAATTATTTTATTTCAAATAAAAACAAAATGTTAGTACGGATCTCACTCAAAGCGACTCCGGCTCCTGAGATGAAGATTGAGCCGTAGCGGTGTGAGAGCTTGAGGCAGCAGGACGACTTTAACTCTGAAGCGCAGAGCAGCGACTCGAGGCCGCTGTAAGAAATTTTCCAAATGCCTTCTTCCTTTCCCCGCTGTTGTGTGGGAGTATATACCTTCACAAAAACTCAATCTTCACTAGGATCCGAAAATCAATAAGAACGTGATTACTGATTCGTAAAATATTCATGTTTTGCTTTTTTACCTCAATTTTATGATACTCAAAATTTCATACTATTTAAATTTCAAACTAGATGTCTAATATCAATGTGGAAACTGATAAATTTTTAATGAATATATTTTTTTCACATTACTTAAAGGTATAAACGTTGAAAAGATTTCTGACACTCCTAAGAATTGTAGCATTATTTGAAGCATCCACTCACAGTGAATGAACTTTATTAGGATACTAAGCTAGATTTCCGCAAATTTACCATTCATGCACATACGATCAGACATTGGATAGTATACAAAAAATACGAATTCGTTAAATGAGATCTTTTGAAGGATGAATACCCAATTATTTGGAGGATTTACAAACTTTTGTAGATGTATCTTACGAGAAACAGACAATCTTCAACGACATATCATGCTAAAATTAAAAGAATTTTAGTTAAGCTGCCTATTGAAAATTCTGACTGCTTTCCATTATTTATTTTCTCACAACCTAATAAATTTATAAACTTTTTCCCTTTTACGGTATTCCGGGGTCAATATCTACCATATGGACGACATCTGTTCTAAACGATGCATAAAAACGGCGTGAAATCTTAACCTAAAATATGAATAGCGAGACTGGGATATAAAAATGGCGTTATTCTAGGCTTTTACATAACACAACATTGCAGGACACACAATAACTAAAATAGGATTGCAATCAACTTTTATTATGCGTATTTTGAATTTATTTAATTTGTTGGCAAGAAACTGTTGCTTTTTACTGAGATTTTCAAATAACTTTAATTTTAATTATTCAAGAATGGTTTTGATAATTTTTCGTTGTGGTTTGTGGGAAAGAGTTCTGAGTCGGAGTTTTTGTCCCGAGACTTAGGGCGTTATACTTAAAGGTTTAAACTTTGTTGTTTTGTTTGCAAAGCTTTTTCATTTGGCACGAGATTAAGATACTTTCGTGCACAATCTCTCACTTTGTTGTAAATTTTTGGGGGATTATTGTTGAATAAGTCACAGATCCGTTTTCCAGCATACCAGCATAATAATAATAAACTGCCAATGATTAAGGCCAAGCTCAACAATTGCGTGCTGTAACATCCGTGCTCGAAGTGATATTAATGTCGATTATAAAATGCTACACGCACCTATGATATAATAACGAATGAACGGGAGTATCATCAAGCTACAGACTGAGCTTTAAATTATTTAACTATAAAAGCATGTGCAATAAATCAAACTGAAAGAAAATTGAAAAAGTTTTAGAAGTTGAATTGTAGAATTGGGCATTTGTGAAAATCAAGCCAACCCATCATGTCAGACGAGTTGGGTGATTTTCATTCGAGGAGCAACTCGACGAGAAGCACGCGTACTCTGCGCAGCAGCGGACTGGACGAGAGGCATCAGGTAAACAGAATTAAATAGCTTGAGATCTCTTTGCTTTCTTGAAATTTGCATGAATTGAACTGCAATATATTATATTCTAATTGAGGATCCTGAACATACTATAAACTGCTGAAATAACAAAATACAGTTTTTGCCCGCACATTTTCATATTGTAAAAAATTAGATCTAAAACATACTTAAATATTTGTTCGAATTTCCGTGGACTAAATAGCGTATATTAAACACTGGATACTGAAGTCCGTAGACTTCCCTTTTTCTGCAATCTCTTGCCGAGATCACAATCCATGCTAAGTTCTCCTGAACTTAAAATTTAATCATGTAAAAAACAAATTGAAAGCATATCATCTAGACTTTGAATGCAAGTACCATTTTTCTTACTGTCCTGCATACAAGAAATACGGCAGTCTGAATGAATTTAAAAGAGTTCTGTTCCTTTCTTGTGCTCCCAGATGCCTGGTGCAGAGTTTAATGTCCCCCCTGCATCTTTGCTTTGCTAAGTTTCGACATAAAACTCATCTAGCATCTCAGAGAATACGAACGTTTCTTGACGTTTATGAACCTATTATCTTTTATGATTGTTCCTTTTGCGCAATAGTTATATGAAGAAAATTTCTGGGCATTTGTCAATGATACAGGTTACCAAAATAAACACTACGGTCTGAGGTTGATTTACAAACTTATTTCATTTTAATTTATGGCGAATTGCGTAATAAGATTTCAGAACATCCAGCTGCATGAACTACTGATACTTTATGTTAATAATACTGAAATATTGTTCTATACGCGCAAATGATATGTAGATTTTAAAAATTTAAATCGTCTGATGTTTATTCAAGAGAATCATGTGGTTTGACGGTTTTCTCGTTCCTTGTGCAAGGATTCTATTATCCCGCAACTCCAGGTACCAACTTCTCCCTCGAGTATCAAACCGGTGAGTAATGTAAAGATTTCATCAACGTTGCCATGGCCCATTTATAGAGAAGTTCTTAGTCTACAAATTAGACGGGATCTTCGTGTTTAGAAAAGTACAGCGAGTTTAATTAAAGTAGTTAGCCTTGTGAAAAGAGCATGTCATATGAGGAATGTTGATTGAAACTTAGAAAATTATTACAGCTGCAAACCGTAGTTGCAATCGTTGAACGTTAGGTTCAACTGATCAGACCAATGCAGTTCCGTTTGTTAATAGCCACGCATGTTGACGCTTATTAGAAACACCCGAGTGTTAACAGTCAAACTCGGTACCACTTATTTGAATACAAATAATATAAGAATACCACTTTTTAGATTTAGTTTCACATCAGCATTGCTATGTAACTAAAAATTAATTGACGCAACTTTGCTGGAAAGTATATCTAAACTTATTTGATCTTTCAACGTCAAATGCCTACATCTTACAAATAAATACAGGAGTCATGATCTATGAAATGTATAATAAAATAATAATGTTGGGGCCCAATTTAGTTAGCTGCTTTAGTTAGTGTTCCTATTAAAAATGTCAAAGAAATTTCGAAATTTTTTGCATCGTAATTAAAAAAAATCACACTGAATTCCTTTGGTTAAATTCACGATTCGAGTCAAAATATTTCAACGATCAGGCACAGAACATTCCAGCTACTTTGGTACGAATTTTACTTATACAAAAGATGGAACAAATTTCATCTGTTACTGAAGATAGTATAGCGGTGTCAGCGTTGAACAGGCCGTTAGAGCTGTCACAGGTTCTGATCTTCATAAAATATTCGTAGCTTGTTTTTGGGTCTCGAACACGCAACTCACATGCTTTAACTGTGCGTTGCTTAACTGCCCGGCCACCTTGACGAGTTGACCAGAACTGTCACAGGTATCTGGGATCGAACCCAGGGTTTACTGCTGCAATTCTAGTGCTCTGAACTGTAATCGCTGGGCTACCCTGCCAAGAAGATGAATACTTATAGGCTATTATTTAAGTAGGAAATAAGGGAGTAAAATTAATAATAATCAAAAAGTTAACTTGTACGTAGTTCATGTACGTTTTATAACGATCTATGAATTTAATTCAAATTAGAAGTTTGATACAAATTATTTTTGTAACAAAATTCATTTAGTCAAATAGTATAATACGTGAAAAACTTGTCATTGCAAGAGAAAATAAATTACGAAATAACCGTTCCGAAACATAACATAACATAACATAGTGATGTCGGCTCTGAAGTGTAGGCCTGATGTGGCCTGTCGCTGATTCTTTTCCTTTTCGTGCCTTGTTCATAGAATCTAAACTCGTGTCATTTGACCGGATCTTTTCATGACTGGCGATAGTTTGAAGAAGCTACTAGACTTCCACCGGGTTCGATAAGGAGCTAGGCATTTCAAATCTGAACATATATTTTTCCATAGCTTTATCTAGTCTGTTCTTGAACGCGTTCATACTTGGAGCGCCAACGATGTAATCGGGAAGGCTGTTCCACATGTCGGTGATTCGAAGCGAGAAGAAATTTTGTCGCGTGGAGAAGTTGCAGCGCAATTTTTTTAGCTTATAGCCGTGGCCCCTGGTGTTGGTTCTTGTTTCAAATTCTAGTAACCCTTCAGGGACCTTGTATAGACCATGAGCATACTTGTATACTTCAATGAGGTCCCCACGCAGACGTCGATAACTGAGGCTTGGAAGCTTCATAATCTTCAATCTTTCTTCATAGGACTTGCCCTTCAAGCCTGGAATTATCCTTGTTGCACGTCTTTGAACATTCTCTATTAAATTTCTGTCCTTGTTCTGTCTGAACAAGTGTTCAGAAATAATTTTATATTATTTTTTCCCTTAATATTAAATTCTAAGATAAAATAAAAAGTAATGACAACTCGGCTAAGTTCAGGCAAAAAAAAAAGTTAATTTCACCGCAGTCGACCAGACTTTCCTTCACTCGAGCCTGGGGGAACATTGACAGTAGAAAGTTTCAGTCTCCCCTGCAACGACATATCGACCAGCCGATGCACCGTTTTCTGTTTGACCGTGACAGCAGCGCCTGCTGCAGCTGCTCCCACTCCTCCCTCAGTGTCACTGCTATCAGTCAATACTTTAAAAACAGATATGCCCAAACCCGCCACGATACAATAGTGACCAGAGTATTTATTTTCCCAATTTTCATTACGCTTATTTCCTTATAATTCATAATTCACACCTTATGAATTATATTCGTAAGGTTACCAACCTTATTATATATAATTCATAGATTGGATGAAGTAATAAAATGTCTCTATAGCAAAAGCGAACAATTCCATGAAATCAAATTTAAACGAAAGGCTGGCTAAGAATAGGTCTGAAAACTCCGAATATTGAGAATAGCTTATGCATATAATTTAAGTAAAGATTCTCAATAAATCATAAACTATTGAAAATTCAATTACGGGAATCAGAAAAACTAGTAAATTGTGCTTCTAAGCAATATACATTTTATTTATTACTACAACAAACACTTGAAAATTTGGAAATAATTCGATGAATAGCATTGAGTAAAAGCATAGCTATCGCACGACTATTTGCGTTATGAAAGTAAAACTATCGCTATACTTTTACCTTCGTAATCTAGTGACTAACAATCTAATGAACAGACTAGTCATCTAAAACGCGCGCGTTCATCAATGCTGGCATTACAGAAAGGATGAATTCACAAGAAGAAGTGCAGAATAAAGGTAGCTTTGCAGTGAGAACAGCAGAAGACGTCTGTAATCGTGAAAAATTTTGACTGTGTTACGTCACTGAAGAGATACATTAATAGTTATAGCTGTCCTCGACCACTTGAGAGATAGGCCCTCGTGTTTCAAACACAAAATTTCGAATTATTAAAATTCGTGGAAAAGCAGCTACCTCATGCATGACATGACCCTTGCTATTTGATGACATTACTTCTTCAGCTGGTTTTATATGGCTTACTTCTTCTATTACTTCTTCAGCTGGTTTATGTAGCAATCTATTCAAGTTTCACACTTACACAATGAGGGTGATATATACAACATATTAACACAACATATTAAATTTATTATATACAAGTAATAATACAACATATTAACACAACATATTAAATCATTTATATATATAACGCATTACAACATATTAAATCGAATTAAAATCAAACTTTATAAGGAATATATTTTTCAGTCGTAGCAACGCATTTTTCCCAACTCTCAAAAAAAAACTTAAATCAAGCCAAAGTTAAGCCAGAAAATTCAACAGATGTGCATGATTTATGAACATTAATGAAATTTAACGTGCATACAGTGCTCATTGTATTGAAATGACCATAACATGAGAGTCCCTTCCATCACAAATTTTTTTTGTATTCTACAATTAAGCTAAAATTGAGCCGTTTTCATCTTTCCATCATTCCATGACGTCAGTTATGAGTGTGTGGGCGCGATGCCGAGCCACCATCGAACAGAGTGACTTCCACGACTGCATTCCCTGCAACGATCTAGTCTGTCTGGCGCCGAAGACGATCCACAAGACGTTTTTTTCACTGCAGATAACAACATTTTGGTGCTTTGCAGTGGTCACTGCAAGCCAGCTTCTTCAGACTCCGCTATCGAGCCGCGCACGAGTCTACTGGGAGACATGGGTTTATCTGATTAGACTTACAGGCAGAATATCCAATCCAGAGTTTCCCGCTAAAAGATTCTAACTTCGTCTGGCCAAAGTTTGGGCTATTCCCCAGTGAAAATTCAAGTGTCAGGTTACGGAAATATATGGTGAGGAGATTAGTAATGTGGTTAGTAGGCCGAAATATATGAGATTTGCGAAAATATTAATTTTTGATGCTTCATCGGTCAAAAAATTGCTAGGAAAGATCATCCAATGTAAAATGTTTATGTGGCTCAACTCTCAGGATTCATTTCGTACTTTCAAGCAGTTTTACGAAGAGAGAAATCTCACACCGACTACTATTCGAACAGATATTATTATGTATTATATTATTTGTAAACCAAGCAAGAAGAAACCATATCAAGGAAAATCATGACGGTGGGTGCTTTATTTAAATTCGCGGGTATTTTGTACTGAAAATATGCGAAACTTTGAATTCAACATGCATGTGTGCAAATAATTCAGCTGAAAATATATTGTTGCTGTCAACACATAAATGTAATTGGACAGAGAATAACTGTGATCGAGAAACTCTGCACCCTCAACAGAGCCGAGCACACGACAGACATGCGCCGGCGCAGCACAGCTGGACGAACGAACGCACTCTCCACCTAACCGTTCATTGCGAGTTCCGAAGCCTGGTTGGGTGGTGATGCGATGTCTGTGTTCCGAGGACCTTCCCGAGATTTCCTAGAGAAAATTGATCACTGCTCTATTGATTAGTTAGCTACACTTTTCTCTTTAGACTACATGTGAATTAATTTATATATGCAAGGTTCTCAGTCTGCCTCAAAAGCAGAGATATTTTTCATCGAGAACTTGACCACAAGCTGGAGTAGAAGTTAGACGAGGGCAGACACCCTTCATCGGGTGAAGGGCGGCGACACCTGCGACAAGCTGTTGATGTCTGACGTGAAGTGTGGATCTGATCCGTCTTGTACCTGAGAGTTCCGGCCAGTAATTTTAATTTCACTGACGACTTGATCGAAGTATTTCGTGTGCGATTTGTTTTGGACGATATCATTGATCGTCACAAATTCCTACGTATCTACTGTCAAACTACCAGTGCTGCATGTTGGCCAGAAAATATATCATTGAAAATATTTTAGCGAATAAATGTGTTGAAACATTCAAAAATAACGCTTGTAAATGTGTTTTGTATATATTGTATAACCTAAGTGCAGCATAAATAGGTGGGACCTGTAACGGGCTAGCAGTTTATTTGTAGCAAATATGCCGACTGTCTTCCAACTATTAGAAATATATTAATGATAAAGACATACTATCTCCTCATCATCAATTACAGTATTTCAAATGATTGA